CGCCTGTAAAGGAAGGTTTTTGTCGCTGGAAATCTTGCTTTTGTGGGAATATCCAAGAGCGCTTTGAAATGCGTGGCCGATCACAGTTTTGACTTGCATCAAATGTTTGTTTTTAAAAATGATGCACATTTTAGACAAACCATGGCAACCGTGGGACGTAAAGGTGTTTGGTCAGGACACGTCAGCAACGACGCTCACAGGAGAGGTTAACGCAGAGGTCAAAAATGAAGCCTTAAGTTCATTAAAAAGTTTTATTTTGCTCTCACAGAAGGCTCTATTTTCAGGCGCACCCCGCCGGAGCAGTGCCCATACATTACCGATGCTTCACCGGCAGGTTTCCACGGTGTCAGGCACATTTCAGTGCATTAAATAGTCAACAACAACCACCATTCAGTTCAACTATCTGAGACAGCACATATATTTAAATCTATATCGATATATTCTGATCTATATCTTATCCGATGAGCTCGTTTGGTACGTGTTTGACCCTCCATCTGGCCGAATTAACTTAGCTAAAACCGCATTTAATACCCAGTACATAAATAGCCACACACGATGAAGTTAATATTTAATAAAGGAAACTCTCATTTTTTATGCCATTATTTGAATTTATGTTGTGATATGTGCGCACAACCCACCTTTGTCACATGGGGTTTAAATATAAGCAACTTAATGTGATTGTCTTTTTTGTGGAAAAGGATGTTTGTCTTACCAGTGGGTCCAACCTTACACAAATCCATCTGTGCTTATTTGAGTGAGTGTCCTCTCTCCGCAGCGCTTACAGCGACACTTGTTGAGGGGCTGCCTTCTGTCGCCATCGTGTGGCGACGCTGTCTTCACCCATCTCTTGATCTCTTCTCCTTATCCCCTCCCTCTCTGCTGATTTCCATAGACTGTATATACTATGGACAACCTGGTTCCGCCTACCGCCTGTGTACCGATTTCAAGCCAAAAAGCTCTCGGTACTTCCGGGATTTTTCCTCATTTCCTGAAACCAGTGCTGTGCAGTAGCGTTGCGCTCATTCGGCCGCGCAGTCGCAGAGGGTCACTGTGATGACGCTTGGCTCAAACAGCGTATCCCCCGGGAGAGCTACTCAATCCCTGAACGCCCATAGGCTGTATCAGGTGTCAATCATAGCAAATATGAACCCCCTAATAACTTTTAAAAACTGAGCTTTACAGAAAAAAAGAGGACTTGAGCACAAACCAGTCTTACAATAACTACATGTCAACATCGCAAGCAGGGGGGAGAAAAATTTATGTTCTATGTAATAAATTTCTAAAGTTTGTCCACAGCCCCATAAACTTTGCTGGCGGAGGCGGGATTTATGACCTATATTGCAGCCCATCAACAGAGGGTGCTGTTTTCGGAAGGGGTTCACCCCGCGAGGAGGAAGACGGCGTCCATTCTGTATACAGTCTATGCTACTTACGCTGCTGGAAGGAGCTGAGTTGGGGAGGGGGGATACTTATGCCAGGCTGCGCCGCTCACCAAAATACCAGTGTGCTTGGGCACGCCCCATGGCGCAGGTGAGGCACGAAAATAGAGCCCACAGAGAGCAGCTGACCTGAAAGGAAGTTAAAGAGGTACCAAAGAGAAACAGTATAGCAGTTATTTCCAGTAACCTCGTGTTATTTAATAATCAAGTGGATATTATGACACCAAAGTGATTCCATACTACAATGGCTTGCAAATTATTTTTGACGTATATTCAGTTGAATGCACTACAAAGACAAGATATTTAATATTCAGACCAATAAACTAATTTGCAAATATTCTTTTTTTTGTTTGATATCTGCGACACATTCCAATAAAGCTAGGACAGGGTCATGTTTGCCTCTTTGTTACATCAGCTTGGCTGTAAACAACATTCAATATTTAAGGACACGAACTGTCCAAGCTTTGTAGGAGGATTTTCAACAGTCCAGGATCTCTGTGATTGTATTTTGCGCTTGATGATACGTCACACATTATCAGTGAGAGACAGGTACTTACTCTTTTACATCAAAGCCACGCTGCTGTAACATGTGCAGAATGTGTCTTGACATAACATGAGAGCATCACACAGGTCCTGCAGATTTGTCGGCTGCACATCCATGATGCTAATTTCCAGTTCCACCTCCTCCCAAAGGAGCTCTATTGGATTGAGATCTGGTGACTGGATTGAACTCATTGTCATGTTCAAGAAAACCAGTTTGAGTTGATTTGAGCTTTGATACATGGTGCATTATCCTGCTGGAAGCAGCCGCCAGAAGATCAATCAATTGATTTTTATTCAGCACCGAATCACAACAGTGTTTCTTTCCTTCTAAAAAGGGGCAGAAACCTTAAGCAGGACCTGACGTGCGGTGGACAGCTACCTGCTGCAGCCGAGTTGATGGAAACACAGAGAGAGATAGGGAAGGAAAGAGACGGGGGACGGCAACAACAATAGAAACATACCGAGTCCAGAGATGGGTGCACTGTTGTCATAAACCTGCTTCCCAAATTCAGCGATGTTGAATTAAGAAACTCCTTTAGATGGTGATCACCCAGTCAGTCCTCTAACTCTAACTTGTGTCTGTTTCGGAGTCCTTGAAATGAAAAAACTTAGAGGAAACCCCTTATGTTAGAAAATGGCCCCTGACTTTTGGAGACCCTGACCTTGTCTATTCAGTCCCATAATGTCTCCTTGAGAAAAGTTAGTCTTTTTTAACAGCAACTCAAGGTTTGAAGCAGACACAGCAAGTTACTGATGAAAGGATTGAAGAAAATCATCACTAGGGCTATTAAAAGTATATCCCATATGTGAACATAAAAACAAACAAAAAAATAATTAAACAGAGTCTCAACTTTACCATAATAGTGGAGATTTGCAGAGAGAGTGAGTCAGGTTAACATTAACTGGTTTATCCTGGCTTTTGAATGGTTACTCATGCTGTAATCTGATAAAGATAGTTTATCGATTAAGATGTCTGGCAGAAAAATGCTAAATAAATCATAACCATATAGAACTGAATGTGACTTTTATTCCCTTCCCTTAAGTTTAAAAAGTGAAAAGGTACAAATAAAGTTAGCTCCTGTTGATGTTAGCATTTTTAACCAATACCAGGTGATATCAAGAAACTACATGTTGAAATTCATACTTCCAAATAATACAACACACTATCAGCATGACTGAGACACTGCTCACAAACCTAAGACTATTAAGAAGACAATAATGGAAACAATAATCTTGTAAAATTCAGATTAATTTCTATACAAATTCACAGAAACCAGTAAAAAAAAAAAAAAAATTAATTAACCACTTTAACAGTTTGCAATAATCGTGTGACAAACTCTCCAGCACTACCGCCCAAGAAACATTCAAAAGCAAAATTCACCAACACTAACCCAACAACTTGTCACTCCCTGACTTGGCATCAGTAACCACTTCTAACTATGTCTGTGTCCCTGACGCAAACCTGAGCTCTCTCAGCAGTTGTTTTTCATCACAGTTGCATATTTTCTTAAAACCCTCACATTTAAGTTGACTCTTCTTGCACTCCTTACTCACTTCAGGAGAACTTTTAGCCAAAAACCCTTGTACACACCTGTTTTACCATTAAAAAAACAAAACAAAACAAAAAAAAACACTCTTAATTGAACTCTGAAACTGTTTACCTTGTGTTACAACCAAGCTTGTGAAGGAAAAAAAACGTAAAACCCCAGTTCCGTGATGTAAAAATTATTTATTGGAAAAAGAAAGAATAAAGTGCTGTTTAACATAAAGTTTAGATGTGGAACAGAGAGATGTGGAGTGCTGCTCAAAGAAACAAACACAATGTGGTCGTGTGGGAGAAGGGCCAATTTCAGACTTATGCTAAGGTCATCCAACAACACCACCGAGGGACTTTGACCCAAGGATTTTACCCAGTTTCAACCATTCATTAAGAAAAATGCAAACATAGGTTTGAAAGTCTGTGGGACAGAGACGTGGTTCAGAGCAAATCAAAATTTATTTATAATATTAAAATATAAAAATGCTTTGACCTGGAAGTGTCTGCTGAACGACACAAAAGGGAGTTAGTGGTGAATTGGTAATAAAGGTTTGAGTCTGCTGTTGAATAAGTTGATTGCTAAAGTTGATTACAAGTGATTATTTTAACAATTAATCAATAAAACACTTCCAGATAGTTAAAACTAACAAGAAGGGAAGGGGACAGGGAGTTGGAGCTAGCCCACCACACATGAACTCAATGCAAACTGGTGTAGACTATGGTGCTCCAGTGCGCCTACCACTGCAACAAAAAGGTGTGGGGAACCATCCAACGTGCCAAATCTCTGCTAGCCAGCCACTACTGCACTGTAGGGGATGAGAAAGAAAAAATTATACAAAAGAAATGATTAAACTCTCAACCTCTAAAAGACAAAAAAAAAGTTCTGACAAAAAGAAAAAAAAAAAAAAAACACAGGATCAAACAGACAAAAAAAAAAAAAAAAATAGAAATAAAAATTTAAAAATAACTAAATAATTAGAATAATAAAAAAATGATAAAAAAATAAAAAATAATAAAAAAACAAAACAAAAAAGGATCTAAACAAACAAAAAAAACAAGAACAGCAGCTGATTGAGCCTGGAAACCAGAGACAGAAATTATTGCATGGTTAAGAAATATCAAAATCCTGCTATTTCTTGGATGCTGTCTGTTAATAAAATTTGGCCACTCATACATGTTTAGGTACATCTATCAAAGTTTCCTTCTGCAAATCAGGGTGAAGTGCAAACTGCAAGCAGTCAGGTAAAAGTGCAAACTGCAATTAAACAATCTCAAAAGAACACACACAATTTAGCCTCTGATAAAAAAAAAGGATTTAAAATAAATGGTCAAATACCATGAACGAGGCCTCATTACCCCTGTCAGACCATGTGGCAGCAAGCAGGCAGACAAAGGAATAGGGAGCTCTCCTGCCACAGGTGTCTTAAATAGGAGGGTAAGGAAAAGGGGCAGGAGCTGATGTAGTTTTGGAAGTGCTGCACGGCATGCAGCCACTGAATCCTACCTGCTACAACAACAAAAAGTGACTCTAAAACTAGAGTGGAAAAATGACACTCTCTGAAATTAGCTCAAAACAGAAGTTAAAACAAAACGAGGGCTGAGAAGCTCCCTATCCCTTACAATTCCCCAAAAAAGATGTGCAATTAAATCACCATGACACACGAATGCCAACACAGATTTATTGACAAAGAATCTAGCAAAGTGTGTCTGTCCCAGAGGTGCTCCAATCGGCAGCCTCTTGAATCTGCCTCTCCTTCCTGATTGGTCAGGCTGACTCAGACCCTTTACCAATCAGCAGCTGGTGACCATAGTATCAGCATCCTCTTACAGTCACACAATGCTGCGGCCAAAACACTTTGAAGCAGTGCTATAAGTGCAACGAAACAGCATTAACATTGTGCTGCCAATATCAATGAATCAACAGCAAGTCCTAAATCCTGAATTCTGCAGTTAAACCAATTTTCCATAAAGATATATACAGTATATGCAGTAGTTTTGATGTACTAGAGTTTCATTGCTCTCTTTACTAGAGAGCAATGAAACTTGTTGACTTAATTTTTCATCACACAATAGAGACAGACACAGATCAGAGAGGACAGTGGCTTCAAAAAAGAAAAATTCTTATCCTCATACAGCTCCTCATTAAACTCATGCAACAACTCCTTCACATTTACTTTTTCAGCACTTACCTGGAGACTTCCCTGTAGGTTCAGCTGGTCTCTTTTTTACTTCAGCTCTTAAACCACCTCTCCCTGTCCTCCACAGTTTGCTTCATAAATCTATCAATGAGTCCAATAAAAGAACAGGAGGTAAGGTTATCATGAAGAAAGTCAGACACCAGAGGGAGGAGTGTCATTATTGCATAAATTGTGATGATAAAAATAAGTTAATGGATAAATACCTTTCAAATTTAAAGTTTGAACCTTTTTCCCCTCCCGCCTCCTCTCCTCTCCTTTCCCCTCCCGTTCCTCTCCTCTCTCCTTCCCTTGGTCTTCCTTTTCTCTCTCTGCAGGAAAATTTTGAAAAAAAGAAAGTTCAGGTAAATATAAAATACAAAGACAAACCACCATGTATGTGATTCAGTTGAGAAATAAGAAATAGTAACATTGATATGAACCTTTTTTCTGAGAGAGTTAAAAAAATTGGCCATCCCACCTCCTCTCCTCTCTTTTCTGTCTCTGTCAGTAAAATTAAATCAAAGAAAGTACAAGTACCAGAAAAAAAAAACTACATTTGATGGGAATGATAGAGGTTTGCATCAACCAAACCATGATAAAGTAAACAAGTATTCAAGTACCTCTTACAGTGACAGTTGAAATTATTGGCCCTCCCACCTCCTCTCCTATCCTTTCCCTCTCCATCCTTTCCTCTCCTCTCTCCTTCCCTTGATTTTCATTTTCTCTATGCAGGAAAATTAGAAAAAAATAAAGTTCAGGTAAATATGAAATACAAAGATGAACCAGCATGTATGTGATTCAGTGGAAATAAGAAAGCGTAACATTGATATGAACCTTTTTTTTGTTAGAGTTAAAAAACTTTGGCCCTCCTACCTCCTCTCCTCTTCTTTTCTTTCCTCTTTTTTCTGTCTCTGTTGGTAAAATTGAAAGAAAGTATAAGTACCAGAAAAGACTACATGTGATGGAAATGATAAAGGATTGCATCAACTGAACTATGATAAAGTAAACAAGTATTAATAAGTACCTTTTACAGTGACAGTTGAAATTATTGGCCCTCCCACCTCCTCTCCTCTCCTCCTCTACATGGTCTTCCTTTTCTCTCTCTGCAGGAAAATTTGGAAAATCAGAAAGTTCAGGTAAATATGAAAAACAAAAGATGAACCAGCATTAATGTGAATCAGTGGAAATAAGAAAGAGTGACATTGATATGGACCTTTTTTCTGTGAGAGTTGAAAAACTTTGGCCCTCCCACCTCCTCTCCTCCTTTCTCCTCTAGGTCTTTTCTCTCCTCTTTTTCTATAAGAAAAGCAGACGAATAGAAAGTTAAAGTAAAAAATGCAAAAAGAGAGAAAAACAAAAGACATTTTAAAACAAGTGGAACAATGATAAACCACTATTGTTATGTACCTGTTCCTGTGACAGTTTAAAACCTTCTGCCCTCCCACCTCCTCTCCTTCACCTCCTCCTCTCCTCTCTTTTCTGTCTCCATCTTTAAAGTGAAACCAAGGAAAGTATAAGTACCAGAAAAAAAAATATGTGACGCAAACAACAGGAGGTTTGCATCAACCAAATCATGATGAAGTAAACCCGCATCAATAAGTACCTTTTAAAATGACAATAGAAATCTTTGGCCCTTTTTGCTTTGTCCTTCCCTGAAAAATAAACAGTTCAAATCTTCACAAAAAACTCAAACATAGGCTAAATATTCTGCAGTATGTTATAAAATATTAAACACTTACCTTTTAAATAGAATGAATACCACTCACCTCCTTACCTCTGTTTTCCTTTGTTATAACTCCTCGTCACCTTTGACCTCTTACCTGCTTTGGTTTCCTGAGTCCACTTTTATGTCTTGTCTCCCCCATCAAACTAACTAAACTAAAAACTAATCTCCCTCTTCACAGACACACACGTTTTTTTTTTAAACTTTTGACAACTAAAACACTAAACACAGTAAAGCCACCACAATATTTCACCTCAAATAACCTGAAGACCTCTTTACAAATCAAGTTTGACTTAAATAAGGAAAATTCTAGAAAATTCATACACTAAAAGAGTGAAACTACTTACCTCTATACTTACCTTTTGGTTAAGGAGCTGGTTTCCTCCTCCACCAGCTCTCAAACCACTCCTCTCTCACCTCTGTGTACAGTCTTACCTCTCTCGCCCACTCTGGTTCAGGGATATCCCACAGTGGGCAAGGCTCAGCTGGCTGGAGAGGACCCAGTCTTGGAGGAGCACTGAGCGTCTGAGCTGCCTCTGGAGGGCCCTGTCCTCAAGCAGCAGTGGCACCCAGAGATTTCAGATGTCTTTTTGCAAAATTAAGCCAGGCTTTGATGTTTTTCTTTGTAAGATAAGGCTTTCATCGTGCCACCCGACCCCATAGCCCAGACATATGAAGACAGCGCGAGATTGTTGTCACGTACTACACAGCCAGTACTTGCCAGAAATTCCTGCAGCTCGTTCAGTGTTGCTGTCGGCCTCTTGGTGGCCTCTCTGACCAGTTTTCTTCTTGTCTTATAATCAATTTTGGACAGACAGCCTGTTCTTGGTAATATCACCGTTGTGCCATATTTTCTCCACTTGATGATGACGGTCTTTACTGTGTTCCATAGTATATTTAATTCCTTGGAAATTCTTTTGTAGCCCTCACCTGACTGACATCTTTGAATAATGAGATCCCTCTGATGCACTCTCTCTGTGGACCATATCTTGTGCTGGAAGTTGGGGCTACAAAAATGTCAGGAAAAGCCTACTAGAACAGCTGAACTTTATTTGGGGTTGATCAGAGGCACTTTAATTGGTGACAGGTGTGTGCTGACTCCAATTTAACCTGAGTTTGAATGTTATTGGTTAAATCCGAACACAGCCACATCCCCAGTCATTAAAGGGTGTGCACACTTATGCAACCACATGATCTCAGTTGTTTATTTTTACTTCACCTCCCTGAAAGATTTCTGTTTGTTTTTCAATTGTGTTGTACAGGTTATAGGTCACATTAAAGATGGAAGAAGTTGTGACATTATTTATCTTGATTTAATTATTTTACATGACAAAAACCAAGCAGTTGAACAAGAGTGTGTGGACTTTTTATATCCACTGTACTTGCCCAATAAAGCTGATCTTAAGATTTTAAGATATGTGGCCGCTCGGAGTGGCTGCATTATCTCCGTTTAACCAACAGGTGTCAGTCATGTGCTGTTATTAAGACCTGCGACTGGATGCATCCACAGTGCATGCAGGTATTAATATAAAGTAAATGAAAAATATATAAAAAAGAAAACCTTCACGACATCTGGGAATAGTGAGTGTTGCTACTTTTTATAACAGTGTTCAATCAATTTGTTCTTTCGCAGGTTTTTTTTTTTTAACTTAGAAGTTAATTATGTAACTCAACAACTTTAAAACAGTGGATTAAAATAGGATACTCTGGTAACAAGTGTTTTTGAGGCCGAATCTCTTTGGTTGGTTTCACCCTTGTGTTTTCTGGTAGCCTTAATTACTTTTATTATCTGATTATCGGCTACAGTAGACTGTCCGAGCATGTGACACCTCTCTGTGGATGGAGAGTATTTCTCTCCAGGACAGTTACCAAAGTTTCCTCCTCCGCAGTCAGTGAAAACCCTGACAGAGTGGGAAAAGCCACAGCACAGACAATTGCTCCTCTGTATTGACTGAGGGATTTACAACCCAGACAAACACATAACAATTTAGTAAAGCTACCGTCTGTAAGTATCTGCAGCTTTTATCTATTCAGTTTAATGCAGATAAACGTAATAAATGTATGAGTTCAGATATCAGCTTTTCCACTTTTATCCTGAATGTCAAATTAGACTGAGGAGTTTTATAGATTTCTGTAAAATCAACTCAATTTAAAACTGCGAAAAACACCGGAAAAAGAATGATGTTGAGTTCAAAATAAAAGCTAGAATCTTTAAACTACATAGTTATTTTATGACAGACTTTACATAAAGTTCAGTTTATTGTGTGAAAAATAAACGAAACAATAAGAAAGCTGTTTTATGTTAGACTTTTTTGATTGAGTAAATGTTTTAGTTATTTTATCCCATCTATTGAATATGAACTATTCTGACGAAATGAGCTAAATGACTATTAATGCATCATCACGACCCACAAAAGCAAAGGAAACCAGCAGTATAAAGATGTACTATTCATTCTGTAATCTTAGAAAAGTCTGATAATTTCGGAATATGCTGCTGTGGAGAAGATTACTTCCCAAAGCATTTTTTACAGTGACCTTGTCAATGAGTCATGCTTAAATGTTCAAACAAGCCTGAAAACCATTAGGTTATTTTTTTATATTTTTTTCAATATTAATACATGCAAAAGTAAAAAATCTACCCACAGAGAGGGCAAAACCAACTAAGAGTTCTTGGGAAGAGTTTTCACGTTTCTGTGAACACCTTGCCGGGGAAGTTTATTTTGAAAAGCAAAAGCGGATGTTTAATGTTTTACCACTGATACGTTAACAAGTTTAAACTCCGGCACCTGTTGTTAGGGGAGGATTGCACATAGACACACTAATCACCAGTAGTCCTCACCACATGGAGAGGAGCAGAGCCGGGATTCAGAGGATCTGTCCGGGGACTGTGAGGAGACCATCTGCTGGGTCCGGGACGTGTGTTGTGGATGTGGATTAATTATCCTTTACTAAGACCAATTCAACGCCTTTGGATTATTTCCACTGAAATGTTTGAGGATATAAACCCAGGTGTGTAGCTCTGTCCGATAACAATTATCATTCCGTATGATGAAGTTGCTGTGTAGTGTGAGAAAAACTCCGCGTAGCCTATCTTTCAGAAATCCGAGCGAACTCCCCCTTGAATGCTGAACCATAATGCTTTATCTTGTTGATAAAAAGCAAAACAGAATTTTCAATGGTAAGAATTTACTTGATACTTTGTTTTACGTCATTGTCGGTAATTCGGCATCCACTCAATACAAGAATACCTACAAAAATTCTAAATCTGTGATTGTTCTTTGAATCATTTACCGAGGGGATTAACGCAAACGGTGGTCTCGGTTTAACAGCCACAACTATTTCAAAGTCGATATTTTGTGAGAAAAGTGTTGTTAATTTTTTTTTATAATTATGCCTAATTTTAAAGTCGGTTCTCAAAATACAACAGCAGCAACTAAAAACAATTTTCTTTAGAATACTAGAAAATAAGACAGGAAATGGTCATATTTTGAGATTATTATCAGGCAGTTGGGTGGTCTTGGGGGATGTGTTTAGCGGAGAAGCACAACCACCTGTTTAACTCCTTTTTGGTGGTTTCTTTCCTTTTCGTCACTTTGAAATTAAGTTCATGTTCGGTTTAAATTTCGGGTAATATTCTATTACAGTAAACGATAGTTTAATATATCATGCGTTTTTATAACTGCATGTGAGATGTTGCTTGTTGTAAACTGGTTCCTCTTAATTGAAAACCGGTGTAAGTGACCAGATTATGTTTTGTTGTAATTTGTGTCTTAGTGTATTAAAATGAGGAACACAAAATATAATTTAAGACTACTTCCAGATTTAAATTCCTCCCACTTATATTCCAATTACTGAACAAATTTTTGAAATATTCTAGGCAGACAAGAGCACCTTGGAGGAGCTGTCCATCCTCATAGACTCAGTCAAAGTGCCTGCAGAGTTATTACTGTCAATTTAAAGGGAAACATTGTCAATTCTGATTGATCCTCACCAGCCTAAAGTTCACACTTCTCTCTCTTCTACTCAGCATCCTTCATCCCTGTTGTGGTCCAGTTCTTCCCCTGAGGTCTGAAGGATAACCATCACCAACCTGAGGAACTTTGGACTATAAGACATGCTGGCTGCCATGCTGCGCCAGAGCTCTGGTGGAGGATCAGGAGGTGGAGGTAGTGGTAGCAGTGGGACAAAACTCCCATTAGGCATCACCAGACTCTCCAGCACCGGCTCAAGTCCAGGGAGCCAGGCTGGCGTTGGCCCCTGGGGGCTGGGCAGACCCACTAAGAGCAACTCTATGAGCTCAGACAGTCCAGATGTCCCCGCGTCAGACCCAAACTACATAATGCAACTCGTCAGCGATGTGCGCAAGTTTGCTGATGTGCTCCTGCAACTGAAAGAAGTTTTCAACTCCAAAGGTAAAAAGATTTAAAAGACAGAATACTTTCATTAATGTGACAAAATGCAAAATCCTTTCTGCCATTTTCAGACTAACTGAAAGAGAAGAGCTGATTTCTTAATTTCTTTTTTCATACCTGATGCTGTTCATGTGTCTTACCAACAGAGACTGTTACAAGCTGTTTGAGCTCTAACTGGGAGTACATAAAAATGCTTATATACTGAAGTTTTTGTGACATTGTATTCAATGGCAGAGAAACATTAATATTTAATCAATAGCTTCCATGAAGAGGCCTCTTTTGGTGATATATAATGTATTTGTTCCAGTTGCAGTTTAGATAGGGTTTTAGTGCTGTTGGATGCAAAATTTTATGTGTGATATCTCACTGTAAACTCTGCTGCTCTAAATGACTGTTTTTGGTTTTTATGGATGTGAACCTTTCAGTTACACAAGCGAGTAATTCTCACCATTGTGTCATGCCGTCTCTCACTTCCTTTTGATGACATGTTCTCATCAATGTGTTCAAACTCGTCCGCTCTTTAGCAATACATTTTCTCCCCTTACGACACATGTATGTCCCGTACGGTCTGAGGGAGTGTGGAAGGAAAAATAGTGAAATGGCGGGGACAGTCAGAGGGGATTATAACAGGCTGTAGCTGCCTGTCAGCTCTTGTGTACACACTCTTGTTTTCATCGCAATGTACACAGTCCCACGGTTGTCTACCTGTTTTGTCCCTCAGCAGCCTTGGCTACTCGGTCAGTCAACCGGCTTATCTGACTGTTAGCTGGATTCTTGCCCTTATCCATGATTCTCTCTGTAAAGTGGAAATTGTGCTTTTATTTTTCTCTCCTAAAACTTTGTGAAAGTTTTTGGTTCATCTCTACAAATGTAGAATACTGCAGATAGTATCCTGCTCTAGTTCAATAGTTAGTTGTTTTTAACTTAATTTTTAACTGCATGTTTGCAGACAGTTGTTTACCATAAAACCTGAAACCATGAACTGGAGGTAGGAGAGTGCAGATTCTGTCAAATACAAAGTTTTTCTTTTGTATCTTTGAAAGATATCACTATTACAAGTGAAGAAATATGCAAATGTTCAATCAGTGTGATTCTGATCACTCACTGACATCCAGGGATTCCTGGTTAACGCAACAGCATTTGTGCGTCTCAGGAGTTCCAGTTCAGTTGCTTTCCCTGTACTCAGGAAACTGTTGATCGCTGTCACAGTTAGACATATAACAACATGCTCACCTGTGCACATCCATTAGATCAGAGCCATAGGTCTATGATAGTCTTACAGAACCTGGAGCCATTAGAAATGATCTGATCACGGCACTGCACAGTAAACTAAGTACTTTCACTTGAGTTTGGGTCAGGAACTCTCTCAAACATGTATATAAGAACAAACAGCACATTGTTTCCCTTTTAAATATTCCAAACCTAACTGAACTGGCAGTAAAGAACCCCGCCTTTAATGCCTCTGATTGTTCGACACAATGCCCTGCGAGTCTGTAATGAAGACTTTGCTCCATCAGTGATGAAACGTATCATTTAAACCATGTTGTCGTGCAGGGGCCGGGCTCAGGCACACTCCTCTTTGTGTACATTTCACATACCTGACTTGTTGTGTTCTGCAGTGGTTTTTGGATCAGGTTCAGATTTATTAATCCTGACCTGGTGAAGACAGTGTGAAGAAGACGAGTATGCTCTGTGTCATGCCTCCCAGGCACTGGAGAAAGGAATTCCAGGCTTTTTGTGTGTGCAGAGGTCAGTAAGGTGCTTGACCCGGCTGGACATGTGGACATTATAGAGTAAGACTTGCAGTGGCCACTTTTGAAGTATGAGAGACTTTTCAGCAACCTGTCAGTGTGTCAGGGATCAAAGCAGTAAATCATCATGTGCAAGAGATCTACATCTGCAGCTCTCAAGGGCCGAGAGTAGCTGCCACCTCAACAAGAAATTTATGTCTCAATTTCATGCGTTTGAATGTTTTTTCTTCAAGCATGACCAACCAATTATTTTTTCTGTTCTATATTATGTAAAGTCATAAATGCATGCAACCACTCTTGCAAAGAAGCAAGGTTGTCACGTCTGTAAGCATTTTGCCTCTCTGCTGATTATAAAGGAACCGGTTTGTAATCTTCACTCAGCTTTCAACTGCAATGACAGACATCATTCCTCAAACAGGCTTAAAAACAAACTACTAAGAAGCTTCATTCAGCAGCTGTTTGCAGCTCTGTGAACACTGTAACTACAGGCTCAGATATGCTAATGTCGTCACTGAGATGCCTGCACGTGATTGTAAAACGCAGAATTCCCATTAGAGGCTTATTTTGGCTAAACACAGGAAAGGGCAGATTTGGGGGAATAGGCTGATTAGGATGTAGAAAACAGACCTCAGTACTATTGTGGAAAGAAGCAAAGAGCCCATTGTGTTTCAGAGTGCAAACCCAGAGAAATGTGCAGATAAATAAGGTATTTTTAACCACAGCCCACTTTTCTTCTTTGTTGGCACATTTGAAGCTGCAGACAGAACCAATCACCGCAGGTGTGAATCATTTAGAGCCAAAAACACCAGATACTGCTGTACTTTTGATTTACAGATGTACCCAAACAAAGTCTTTGTTGTTTTTTTTTGTCTCTAACAGTCTCAGGATTTGATTGGGGGTATCTGACAATGTTAAGCTGCTGAATGCAGGCAGTCAGGCAGGGAGATCAGCGACTCCTGTTGTCTGTGAGGTAAATCACAGTTATTGCCAACAAATCCAGAGAAGCTCAATCCAGCAGCGGTTACTTCTCCAAAATCAGCATCTCACTTGTAATCATGAAAGGCCTTTGCCATGAAATTGGTAAAAGAGTGGAAGACACCAGCTCCATCATGCTTTAGAAATGTATTGTATGAACTGGCTTTAGTGATCCACATGAGCAACTGCAGATAACACAATTTCACCCTAACTGGGAAAAAATTTCAGGTCCTTTTTGCAACACTTGTACTCATCTCGACAACACTTATGTCTTTATAATAATCAGATAAGTATTATATAAAATTCGAACTAATCTGAGCCTATCAGTGACAGAAACAAAATCTTCAAGCGGAGACCCTTTGATTGGGTGGAGGATTTCGAGCAGACTTCACAGCCTGTTTCATTGCTTGAGGGAACAATCTAGTTAAAGAACAAAACTTTTATAAGTTATAGTCAGTTAGATCCCAACATGTGTAGAAAAACATTGAAAGCATCAAAATCCTCTTTGATTTGAGCTGATTTTGACATTAAAGTGACCTCCTCATGTTTCTTGGATTTTCTTCTTCTTGTCTTTAATCGTCTTCAGAGCGTCATTCAGGTCTGGCGCTCTAAGGCTTTAGCAGGGAGCTGCTAACAGATTGTTGCGAGTCACTGACTTGTGCTGTGATTGGATGTGATTTAAATCCCCCCCCTCTAATTTATGGCCATATTGTCTCTGCAGAGCCTGACAATAGTTCAAACCTCTCATTACCCCGAGCTGCTCACTGAAACATCCATGAACCCTCCTCCACAAGAGCAATATTCAGCTTAGAGCCCTCGCAACACTGCCGCCATTAACAGTCAACGATGTGAGTCTGACACCCATTGTCCGAGGAGGAATCCCCAGACTAGCATGCTGCTGCTAACTGGCAGCTTTTGCAGAAATGATACTTTCCCAAGTCAGGAATAGCTGCAGCCTGTGGGACCATCCCCTGGGGAGGGTTTCTCCAGCCAATTCCACTGAGAATGTTTTTAAGAAGTTTGTTTTCCTACCAATGCACAGCATCCTTAAATGGTAATTATAGAGAGGCTGCTGTTCAGCTGTGGCTGGAGTCCATGACGCATGACTGAATCTTGTTTTTTAGCAGTAAGTGCCTGAGAAGAAACTGTTGATGTGCCGTCATTGTCTCTGCACAGCCTGCAGACGGATCTCTACATTCTTCTTTAAGGTCGTGACCATGTCTGCTGGGCACTTGTGAAGGACATGTCAGTAATTGGAGAGGATTATTATTTTGAAGGTGGGTCTTAACGGGGTCAGAGAGGACGTTTGGAGACCAGTGGAGCTGTGTCCTTTTGTGTTGGTGAGGCTGAGTGGGGCCTCTGAAGCCCCCCATCATAAGATTAGCCTAACAAACATTTGGTTCTGCTGTTTTGGAGTTGCTGTGTTTTGCAGGAGATCGTTGGGCACCTCGTCATCTATTTTAGGCTTGAGGGTGTTTTGTTGTGGCTGAGACAGGTGTGTCATCAGTGTTTTCATGCTTGGAGGCTGCCAAGCAGAATGATCACCGATTCCTGTGCGTCAGCTGCTTACAAATGAGAACTGCACAGGCAAGGTATTGAGTGAGGTGAACCAGGTGTCACAGAGACTTTGATTTGAATACTGCTCTACAGGAGTTCAACATTCACTCCATTTAACCTTTTAGCATCTGAATCTGTCTGGTTGTTGATAACGTTGGCTTTACCTTTTGGAGCCGATTACTTGTAATACAACAACATCCAGGTGTTCTCTTTGTTTATTTGCATCTTTTAGACAGTCTGTAGTTTTCTCTTGTGTGCTCACAGCTTTTACTCACACCTTTGGTGTCTTTACACCCATACTTTACTGAGGATATGTCTTAAGAGTGAATAAAATCCACACACACACATCTACATCCTCATATAACTGGCACACATTCCTTCCATACCAGGAGAACCAACCTCTGGGTGTTGTTCTATACTCTCTGATTTACGGCCCAAATCACCTCCATTAGGTCATAAATCATATTCTGTCAGGATGATAACAGGTTAACAGAATATTGCTTCAGCCTGCAGCGAGGAAACAGCTCACTAAAAGTGCCCGATTTTGTTGTTTGTGTCTGAAAACATGAGAGGGATAGATACTGAGATAGAAGAAGCTGTGTCAGTTCTGCATCCCCCATACTAACTCTGAACTTTAGGGGACAGAGGCTTCAGTGTGGTAGCCCCCACCCTCTGTAGCTCCCTTCCTGCAGCTCAACACGATGCCACATCTCAGGGCATAAAAAACAGCTTCATATCCATATTTTTTGCTCTTTTCAACTTTTATTTTTAAGCAATTGCTACATTTGGCTGTTAAAAGTCCTTACACAATAGACCTTACACAATTTCCAGAGGAAAATTCACAGATTTATATAAGAAGATCAGTAAAGAGAGAGTATGTTTTACTTTGTGTAACAGGGGAGGCTATTACCAAAACAAAGAGAAAGACCTCTATAGGAGCTTCAATGTAATTGATGATATAACTGCACATATTAAGATGTACTAGTTTATACTGTCTCTGCTGAAGACCAGAGACTCTAACCAAAGTCCACCGGCCTTATGATCGCTGTTCAAAAATTTGCCTTCATCTATTCTATTCTATTCTGTTCTATTCTATTCTGTTTTAATCTATTCTTTTCTGTTCTAGCTCATTCTGTTCTCTTCTTTGTCTTCTATTTTATTCTATTTTGTTTTGATCTATTCTATTTCTTTCTACTCTCCTCTATTTCATTCTATTCTATTCTGTTCTATTCTATCCTGTTTTAATTTATTCTTTTCTGTTCTAGTTCATTCTGTTTTCTTCCATTTTATTCTATTCTATAATATTCTGTTCTTTTCCTCTCTTCTATTCTTTTCTAATTTATTCTATTCTGTCTGTTCTGTTCTATTGTTTTCTACTATATTCTATTTTATTTTATTCTATTCTGTGTTTGTTTTGTCCTATTTTATTCAATTATATTCTTTTCTTATTCCTTTATTGGTCATCTGTTTGGCCCCCACCATATTTGATCTAAACTTAGCAATTTCATTTTCAAAGTCCCAAGAAAAATCTTTGAATCTTAAAAATCTGAGCCTGTTTGTGGATATGCTTCTATTAATTGCACAGTTTTAATGCATCTATCACAGTCTGCTTCACGGCTGCAGTCTAAAGTCTAAAGAGATCTACTAAGTTTTTTCAAACTTTATACTTTTTTACTCACTGAAACCCCTGAAATGTGTGTGCTGCAGCTCTCTTTGCATGCAGCTCATGAATGTCAGCCCATTAAAAGTTGGTGGTGCTGATTCCTGTGCGGAGAACCATCGGGCTATCGTGCCAGTAAAAGTAAACATTGCTCAATCTCTGGCATTCTTTCTAGGAAGAGAAAGAGCGCAGTTTGTGTGCATTAATGCTTCAAAGTTCCAGCATCATTAGTCACTCTTTAATTCAGGAGTGTATGACTCATATGCCCCGCCTCATTTTGTCAGCTGTGTGTTTTCCTTTGAGTCATGAGTGTCCTCAGTTAATCAGAGTGGAGTTTGTTGTCTCTGTGCTCACACTGAATGTGTGTTTCTGGATTTTAATCATTAACAGGATTCTACTAAAAGTGTCCTCGGGTGTTGGGTAGCACTCAGTGACACACTGTAATATAGCTGATCATTCACTGAGGTGTACTATTTTTACTGCTTTGGAGAAACATTACAATAGTGTTTCATTTGAAATTGCTGGATTTTTGTGTCCTTTTGAGTCTTTAGTGGAAAGATTCAGCAGGTTTGTGGGAAATAAGTGTTGTTTCTCTTTTTGGCTGTCTGTTGAGTATTGTGCTGTGACGCTGAAGCTTTGTGGGAAAGTGATCCTGCACTGGCTCCTCAGAGAAAACCAAAAATGCTATTTAAGTGATTTGTATTCCAAATCACCCCTTGTGAAATACCAGCCTAAAATTAGCCCTACTTGGGCTTTTCACTGACCATTCCCAACTTTCCTAATGGCTGTAACTGAGCGCTCTGTTTAGACAGACTATCCCACAGGGTCTAGGATGCACTGTAAAGCACTCCGTGCTGCTTCTCCCGTCCAAAAAGTTCCTTTTATGGCTCTTTTTTACTGAAGCCATATTTAAAGCGACTGTAAATAACCCCAAAGCACAAGACGACCTGTCCTCCTTACTTTAAAGTGGGCTCTTAAAGATCAAGTTTTTGAGTCTGGTCCCATAGCTGAAGTTCCCAAAGATCTCGCTTTAATCATTCAACTCTCTTATCAGGATAACTAAGCTTCCTTACAGGGATTAATTGAATTAGCTTAATTGTACTGGATGACTTTACCTTAAGAGTACAGGGATTGCGTGAGAGGGTCTCCCTCTGGGATTAAAATGCAGAGTGTTGGACATATGGCGGCTCCGTTTATCCTCTCTGCTTCAGGAAACAAAACATGAAATTATAAAGTGTGCAGAGATTTATCTTTCATGATCCTCATTGTGTTGCAGTTATGGCAGCCTGTATGCAGGTGGAAAATCCATGCTGACCTGTCAAGTTTTAAAGCCTGACTACACGTGAAGATTTGCAAGTTGTTTTCAAGTTGTTACCCGAGGAAGCTCTTCTCTCTCCTTCCTTCCCTCTGCTAAAGATTTATAGTTATGGGCTCTGTTTTCACAGGGCCAGCTTTGTTCCAGGAGGCTGTCGCTGTCTACCACACACTGAGATAAAGCTCCCACAGTACACATGAGGAGCAAAGGATTGTGGGCCCTAAAGGGGCTGCAGTTGGGAGAGTACATACTGCAGAGTTTTTATGAACACAGTTGAAGCTTTTTTGAAAGTATTTTGATAAAAGTAGTATTGTTTAAATGTGGCACATTTAACTAACACTCATTTGGTTGCGTGACCACAAGATCTCCCTCACCCCGCGTGGATTAAGACTTTGAAACAAAGAAGGCAAATTTATCCCTAGAATAATCTCAAGTAACCCCTGAATCTGGGGTCTCTACCCTGCGTGGGATTAAAGTCATGTGGAATTAGGCAGGGCCACATTATATTGAAATCCTGCACTTTGAACATGTGCAGTGCAAATGAACCATCCACTAATACAGCCAATACAATCGAAGCATCTACCAGCAGAGATGTGAAAGGTAATGAAGTCCCAGTGCTAATATTTACACTCTGTGATTATTAATAACTTATTCATTAGAAACCTTTTAGGTGGGTTGTTGTGGATGGAGTTTTGCAGGCAGTCTCCATTGCTTTTGCAGCAGACTAGCAGTGTTGCCTCTTTCACAAAAACTGTAAATGTTTGAGGTTTGAAAGTGAAGTGACATCCAGTCCTGCCTGATTTAGGGTTTTCAGCTGCTTCTTTGTCCTATTTTTTGTGTCATGTAACCCAAATGTTTTCAGTGGGTGACAAGTCAGGACTACAGGCAGGCCAGTCTAGCAGCAGGACTCTTCTCACAGATGTGGAAGCTACCCATGCCATGGACACTCAGGGATACCTTTAAGCACTGTGTTCACAGACAATGAAACCTGAAGTGGTTTTGAGCCCATGCAGTGATTCCTAATACAGAGTCCTGTCTGTTTTTAATACAGTGCTACCTTAGACCAGATTTTCAGAATTTTTGTATGATATTATGAACTGTAGATGATGAAATCCACCGAGTCTTTGCTGTTTCACACTGAGGAACATCATACTGGAAAAGTAGAACTATCTGCTTACACAGTCTCTTTCTCTGGATGTCCATTTTCATACCCAGTCATGTACTAACCTGTTGGAAATCAACCTCATTCATTTGAGATGTTCCTCTAGCTATTGTTTAGCAAAAAACTTGGCAAAAGATTTTAGCTCTCCCTGTCCTGCATTTTTTCAAGTGTTAATGGTACTACGCTCTGAATGAGCCTCAGTATTATGTAATCATTTTTTTTTTTTCACCCCAAAATTTTGGGGTTTAATTTAAAGAGGCTCAAAGTATGTTTTTATCAGTATCTTACTCAGTGTCCATACTTTTTGGGCTTGTCTAGCTATCCTGGTTATAAATCTGCCTGTTGTTGATCAAAAACTTGCTACCAACGATTGAAAGTGTTTTTGAAGAAACACTGAGTGAAAACAAACAAAGAGACTAAAGAAAACTTCATGTTTTAGTCAACGCAGAAGTTTTATTAGTCATATGGAGCTGATGTAAAAAAAAAAAAAAAAAGGGTTATTGGGCATTTCTTCTTTCACAACTTTCTGTTCAGAAACTCATATATTTATTTTTTTCACAGAGGAACAGAGACCCTGTTTGATGTAGAGGTAAACAGCTTTAGTGTGAGGCACCACCAAGTGGACCAAGTGGGGTCCTACCCTGTCTTTTAAGGCTCAGATTAGTTTGTAGAATGGGTTGCGGGGGGGGGGGGGTTCTTTTGGGATGTGATTGACTTTGTCAAAACACAGACAACAATACATCACTTGGATCACCTTCTCTGAACTGATAGCAGCTTCCTAGAACAGATCTCCTCTGCTTCTCTTCAGCTTAAGGAGCTTTTAAATCTGCATATTACATAAGCAGCAGTGGATGAAGATGAGGCCTCTTTGCATCCAGCACTTCACAGGACCGATCAGTATCAACTCTGAAGCTCATAGTTCCTGCGGCTGCATGTCTACAGGAGTAAAAACAGTCCCTCAAACAAAGCTGATCATTTACTAGAACTGAAAACATTTTCCTTTAGCTGAAAACACCCAAAAAAACACCTGAAAGTTCAGAGACACTTGAGGTTGATTCATTTTGAACATCTGCTCAATGAAATATCTTGACAGTTATGAGGCCAAGTTTTCGTTTGGTGCGGACATTCTTGCACACAAAGCCCATTCTGTCAGGATTAGGATGCTGGTAAAGCTACACAGTGTCCTCTTGTTCTCAATGCTGTGTTTGCCCCCCAACCTCAGCCCCTCACCTCCCAGTTCAGCCTCTTGACAGGTGTACTGAAGGGGCCCATCATTGTACTGGTTGGACAGCTCTCCCATCTCTCCAGCCCGCTGATGCTCCTTTACACAGCTTTGAGAGCAACTGTAGTCTCTTCAGCCTAATGCCTGAGCGTTTTGGCTGCCAGCTAGAGGTTGCACGGTGGGGGGATTTGCAGTTTTTCTTAAAGAAAGCATAGTTGGAATGCCAACCTTCAGAGCTTTGCATCAACAGTAGGCGGTGGTGGCGGCGGTGGTGGTGGGGGGGGATCAAGAGAGAAAGGTTGCCTGTCTTTCCTCGCTGTGACAGACAGCTCCAAAGAGAAATGAAAGAGAGGGAAAAACAAAATTCTTCACTCCACACTGGGCGTCTCATTTAAATGTGAAGGACTAAAGAGAGAGAGAGAGTTTGTTGACTTGAAGGAAATCCTGGAACATTTTACCCCTCTTCGGTTTGATTTTTTTTTTTGCCTTTTCCTTATCAGATTTTCAACACATTCATCAAATGTCACTCTAAGTCAAACTTAGTGTCACGCATTTCCTACCTCCAACCTCCATTGAGAGTATTTCCTTTCACTTTGGCCTCCTTGAGCTAACAGCTAACAAGCCTGACAAAAGCAGACACCTGCAGAGAGGCAACAGAAAAGCCCCCCACCTAGGTGGAAGGTGCTGTGTGTCTAGCCTCGGGCTTCTTTTTTAAACGCCAGCTCTTTGTGGAAGCAGTCATGGGAAAAAGAGCTTCAAAGGTAAAGCAACGGGGAATGCCTCCGTTTGAGCATTGAGGTCTGCGATGGCAAAGTTTCCCCTGCCTTTTACCAGCTGCATGTAATCTGCTAATCCGCAGAGTGGACCGCCGGTGGTCTGTCGACAGAGGTGGACCAGGGCCACTGACCGCAGCAGGAAGTGCTGAAAGGAGGGGGAATATCAAGGGATCTATGGGCCACCCATTGCATCGACCCTGCCCAAGTGTTAAAGGTTAAGTGGACCCATTTTGCAAGGTCCAGTTGTGGTCGGCATTTTTTGCATCGCACACAAATACCTGAGTGAAGATGTGGTAGAGGAGAAGGGGTGACGGAGAGGAATGTGGCATTTCACCTTAGCCAATTAGAAGAAGAATCCATTTGGTTTCTGAGTCATGCAGTGATTGATTATTAGACCCACATTTAGGGATCTTGTCTTTTGAAGAGTCTCAAAGAGTCCCTTGAACCTCGCCACAATGTCTTTGAACAGCAGCCACAATTTGGCCGATCTGGTTGAGTAGCAGGAATGTCCAGCTGTGGTCGGACTCAAAGGGACCCACTTCTAGGTTTTGAGTGACACTCATCTTGGCTAACCTGTCCAACATCCTCTATAGCCCCCCCGTCCAAGCTGCTTCCATTTGATCGGACCTCTGCAGACCCAGTTGTGACATGTTTAGTGATTTCACACTTGCTTTGTAGCAATAAGCACCCCTCCGCTCCCTCAGATGTTTTGAACCATAAATAATACATTGCTCCCACCATTTGTGATGCATGACTGAGCTTAGCTAGGGTCAGAGCGAAAGGAATGTTGCCAAGTCATTTCACGGCAGGTCCAAGTGGAGGGTTTGTGCTTGAAAGAGTCAAGTTACTGGCTCGTAGCTGGAAGAAGTCATTAAGTTCCCTCATGGAGCATCAGCATCCTAAACAGTTCATTTTTAACAATGCAGTCTGTGCATTAGAAGATATAAGAGGAAAAAAGTCTGCAGGATTTTTTTTTTCTTTTTTTGGGGCGGCGTTTGAACCGTATAAATGTTCAAGAACTTACTTAAAAATCCTTTGCTTTGTGTTGTCATCACACCTCAAATAAGAAACCAAAACCTTGCAGGTGTGACTTTAAATAAGATTTATATGTGAATCAAAGTCCAGGATGGAACTTTTCCAACTTTTCTAAACCTCTAGCAACATCTCATGCATGACACAAGCAGATCCAAATCTGTACAACTGTAAGCAATCCAAGATCCTGTGGGTGTTTGTTCCTGATTATTGTTAAGCCTCTGAGAGTGATGAGCAACACTTGTCAGCTTCAAACAAGCTTAAAAAAACTAAAAACCTTGAGATGTTGAAATGAGGTGCCCACATTCAGATATCTACCTCTGGAAATGAATGAAAACGAACTTTTGTGTGTTGAGCCCATGAGATCAGGGTTGTATTTTTGGAAAATCTGGTCTGTTTCTTTTTTCTTTTTTGCATGGGCTTAAAGCCTTATCAGTCATTATTGGACAAGTCTACTCAGGATGACAGAAACCAGAGCACTCTTCCAAAATGTTTTTGGTCTTTTATGGAGATAATACTGTGCTTAACTTGCTGGCAGGCTTTGGATCTTTACAGAGGCTGGCACATAGGAGGGATGTCAAACAAAGACCTAATCAGTTAAGGATGTCACCTCTTTATCTATCCTAAAAAACCTTATCCATCCCTAAACCTGCTTTCTTAGTGATGGCCAAAAACAGGCTATGAAGAAACTTGTAAAAAATTGTCCTACTTCTCAGCAGATTTATTCTCTCTGTAAATACTTCCTCATGAGTTTATGGTTGGAGTCTCTTGTTTCCAGTCTTCTCCTGAAAAGCTCAAACTGACACATTAATTGATTCACCAGCACCATGTATCAGTATCTGAATTGAAAAACTGGTGCACTGAACAGATTACCGAGTTACATCACTTCTTCACTCCTCGTTGGGAAGATAAAAACATAAACAAGGATGATGAGAATAAATTTAATTGGCTGAAGAAGTTGACAGCAGGATGCAGGCAGAGTTAAGAGACACACCAACTTATTTCAAAATAAGGAGAAGGAAGAAAAACATTTTGTTATTGATGCTGGGAAAGAGTGAGAGATGTACTCCTAAATCATATTTTTCTCAACTCAACAGTTTTGTTCAGTAAATTTGATGAAAAGTCTAAAAACAGGAACATTGTTTCATCTCAGTGAATCCAGTGTGTTACAGTGAGATGTTTTACTCGTTGATTGTCTTGAAACACAGAATTCTTGTCATATTATTTTTGACCATGTATCCCATCTCTGGTCACCTGGTTAATCCCAACACTATCAATTCACTCTTGGGTCAAACCAAAATAGAGTCATGGCGTTGTGTCTCCATCTTCTTGTTCACCCCTGACCTCCTCAAAATTAAAAGCAAAATAGTGATTGCCAAACTAATAAAAGTGAGGTTCAAAAATGGTGTTTTTTTTTTTTTTTTTTTAACAGAGTTCACAGTTACATAAAAAAGATCTCATTTAAAAGCTGATGAAGTTACCTGATGGCTGGAGGAGGATGCAGGAAGTCTAAAAAAGTCCCAGACAAAGAATATTTCCTGCTCATCAATCATTACTGTCATGACACTTTTCTGACTGATTAGTGATTTTTGATCTTTTTTTTTTAATCCCATCAAATCTTGGATCAAGATATAAAAAGATATAAGCCTTTGGTGCCATGTTCTCAAATTTAAGTCCCTAAATGAAACTGTCAGCCCCTCTCTGATGATCAGTGTTTTGGTATTTAGTTGTCATCTTGATGGCGAATGATCCGACAGTGTTTTCATTATGGATCCCCCCTCACCCCTTGCTCCTGTGTCCCCCGTCCCCACTCCCAAACAAGAGGCTGGAATGTTGGGTTTCCATGACGCTAATGAAGTAAAAACCTGGCTATGTGTTACTGGCAGCCTCAGAGCGGCTCCTGATCCGCGGCCTCCTTCTCATCAGGATCAGAGTCTGATCCCCCTGCAGCCTTCATTCAGCAGGGCTTATTATGCCCAGGAATGTCCCTCTCACTCTCCACCTCTCATAACCCCCACTGAAGCAGGGAAGTGGGGTGCAGGGGTAAATTTAGGACAAATCCCAAGGGAGAGTGCTACCCCAAATAACATCCCCCTCCACCCTATCACTCCTTACAATCCTCCCACTGCTAACCATCACACCCGGACAAAGACACATACTCAAATCCCTCTTTCCCGTGCAAAGTGAAAAGCAGCCGATGTGATTTATTGTTCCATAAATGCTTCATGTGGCAGGCCCATGAGGCGACCGGTTCCTCTGTTTGCTAGCGGCCCCCAGGACAATAGTGAGTTTTCGGTTCTCAAACAAATCCTCAAGGAAAACCCAGCGGTCTTCCCAGGCGAAAACAGAACAACCTTCCCCGTAACTTGTTTGTTTTCTCCCAGTTTGGTCTGAGCTAATATTTGAGCATTGAAACACCTTCTGTTATGCACCTTCTTTTTGCACAGAGAAACTTCCTTTCAAACTTTCTTCCCATACCTCGATGGGACAAAACCAAACTGAAACAAAACACACGAATCAGCTGTTCCTTTTCACTGACGGGAACGGCTCTTCTTTTCTTTGTGTGTCTCCTAGAATGGCAGTCGAGGGGTTAAATAATCAGTCTCTGTACATTATCCTGTGTCCTGCTGGGCTGGTGGACGCAACCATAATGTCTTGCTAATTAGCCTCCATTTAGGACGGTCCAATAGGCCACACAGCCACCATTGATGGAGGACTGAAGCCCATGGAGCTTTGCAAAGGAAGAGCCTGTGTCTCGTGGGCATTCATGGTTCAGTCTTGTCCTTAATAAACCTCCAGCCTGCCGGGCCTGATGCCTGCAGGATTCAGGATTCAGTTTCTCCATCCATGAATGGGTGTATAGGCTGTGCTGGGAAGATTTAGGCTATTGTGTGTGTTTTGTCCTTGACAGGATAATGTCCAAAAATGGGATCTAAACTGACCAGGACTGATTGACGGCTTAAGGGTTGAAGCTGCTCATTGAAAACTGTGACCCCTATCAAATGTTTGTATGTTGAGCTGTGGGAGAAAAAAAGTCTTTGAGGAGATCAGGTTCAGTTAACAGGAGAATATTATCCCCAAAAATGAGCTTCTTTTTGCATTTTAAAGCTTCTTTTTGCTTAACCTGATGTGTTTATCAGCCCTCACAGAGCAGACCTCCTGAAACTAGCTTCAAGTTAAAAGTTTTTTGGTTTATTTTTATATGTACAATTGAAACCACAACTGCAATTGAGTTGAAGTGCTGTACAAGCTTAAAAAGACACAATCAAAAAAAGCAAATAAAGTGTAAAGGATACTAAAAACACAATAAAAACACACTAAATCAAAGCAAATAAAAATGTCAGAGTTGTCTCCTTCAACTCACATTAAGAGTCGACTCTAAGAGATGTGTGGCAGGTGTGAGTTTAAACTTCCAAGAGTCTGAAAGGTTCCTGTATTAAAACAGTTCCTCCATCTCCTCTGGTTTATAGCCTGGATCTAGACACAGAGTAGCAGCATCTGCTGTGTTGACCTCTGCTCTGGCTGGGGCATGCTGGTGCAACAACTCAGACAAGTATGACAGTGCCAGTCTGTGAAAGCTTCCAAAAACAAGACACCAAATCTTAAACTGGATCCTGAAACTGACAGGAAGCCAGGAATGTGATGTGATCCTGTTGACTCTTCCCTGTCAAAGTCAGTTTCTGGTAGTTTTGGAGCTGTGGGCAGGTGTCAGGTCCCACTGGGAGAGGAAATATGTATCTCCATAAAGCTTCTCAGTAGATGAAGCATGAAGGTCTCTGAGTCCTCCTGGTAGACTTTAGGTTGTGGTGAGTGTGGACTTGATAAAACGCACAAGACCAACAGCCAGCCTGTTCAGCTGTGACCTTCTGTGGCTCACCCTCCTTGTGCAGGGAGTCAGTTATCGTCCTCTGGACAACTGTCAGGTCAGCAGTCTGAACCATGACTGTGGTTGTGTGTACTGAAGCAGAGTAAGATGATAAAGGCTCAGTAAGTGTTCAGAGTGAATTAGCTGAATTAGCTTTTCAGGACTAAAATACCTGACAAGAACCTGGACTTTTCCTGTTTCTTGTCAGTTTTTTATTTTTATTTTCGTGAGCTGTAAGCCATAATTATCAAAAGTCTTGGAGTATTTCTCTTTGTGTGTTGAATGTGGAATGTATGGAAGTTTCACTTTTTGAGTTAAATTTAGGGAAAAAATGAACATTTTGGGGGACATTAACATTTCCTGAGCTGCGCCCGTATATTTGGTTTGGAGGGAGGGCAGCCTTTACCTTGTTCCAAATATAACAGTGAAGGTAAGCCAAACACCAAATCCAGTAATCAGTTTTCTTTTAAATTCAACAAGTTAAACTGCATCCATTTGTTTTGCAAAATGAATTTTACAAAGAAAGCTAAGCTGTAAAATGATTAAATGAAATCATGCCCCAGCATTAGCAGCAGCTCAGACATGGAAATTATTAGTCTAGTTAGTTAATACAACGTTTAAATTGGAATTTCTCCACACTCTGGATTTTGTTTGTTGGTTGAGTTGCAGGTAAAGAGATTCTGGGGAGATGTTTTATTTAGAACTAAAAATCAAAGCAATAAAACTTAAAGGATACAATTTCAGACCTTTAATACAAAGCGTGAAGCAGACGCCCTCTCATATCCTTTTATTTTCTTCCGACTTTTCAAAGTTTAAGGGCTGAAAATAGTAGGGCCGTAAAGTCCCAGTCGACTGGTGGACTTATTGGTCGATATGTGCTGAGTCGACCAAAATTCTGATTGGTCGACTCGATTTTTTTCGTGTCAATTTACAGTCTATGGTTAATTTCATCAAGAGGAATGTACCAAGTCCTAATGGGGGTGTTGTCAGATCACCCCCTTTCACAGGTAACAGCCTGTCTCAGAACAACTCCCTTGTTTTGACCATTTTGGATTTGCCAAAATGTCAACCAAGAATTTCTTTTGTTGATTACAGCCCTAGAAAATAGAAACACTTCATTCAGAAGTAATGTCATGGGAACTGAGAGAGGACTGCATGTCCTTATGGCATAAAATAAGCAGTTTATCTTTGTCTCTCAGGGTTGTATACAGTCATTTTTCACTGACAGAGCACTCCAAGCTGCCCTCAAAGAGGTCGACTTCTTCTGTTTGCTCCCGTGCATTGGTTGTTTGGGATTATTATTGAGCCTCGGTCCGATGTGTGGCAGTGCCAGATCTCAGCACCGGCCCTTTTCCTGCCTCGTGGGGAGCTGGGCAGCTGAAGAAAAGGACGAGGTGCTTTCGTCATCAAAAAGCACTCGGTCCTTGGCACGAGAAGGAGCTGTGCATGACATGTGATGAAGATGGATGAAGGTGGTTGCCATGGTGGAGGAAAGGACTCTGCAGGTCCTGTGGAGCAGCTCTTGGCCGGCTTGGAGCAGCGGGGCATGTTGGCAGAGAGGAGTTCATGTTGAGAGGAACAGTCTGGGATTTGTGCTGGTCTTATGTAATCATTTCAGGGTGTCTGTCTGTCGGGTTTCAGCAGACTGTTTGCAGAGGTGATGTGTGTCTGTGTGGATCCATTTCCTCTCACCTGAGAAAACCTTCAACCTTCTGAAGGTGGTGTTTCCCAGCATTGTTGCACCCTATGTAATCACTCAGATCTCTGAGTTGGAGTGGGTCACTGTTGATTTCACACTGTGTCCTGATTGGCTGCAGTCAGGCCGTCAGGGAAACAGCAGAAAAAACATTGCATGTTTGAGTGAACCATAATGTTTATCCAGGAACCAAACCAGATAATGTTATACTTGACTGATAAGATGAGCGTGGCAAAAGGCTGGACTGTGTGTGTTGATAATTCTGAGGTTATAGTTGCCTCTGTTCTGAATATTATCTACCATCACTAAGTCTGAAAGCTACATGTGTGTAAAGCATTGAATAGATCCACTGTAGGACTCGAATTTGAAGAGATCTGTCTCAAACTATTCTTATTTTTTTGTTAGTTTTATAAAGATAAAGTTTTAAAAGCTTCACTGGAGGTACTTTAACTCTGCAACCTTCATCCTGCATCCACTGCGCAGTAAAAGCAGTTTCTCTCCTGCTCTGTTAACAAACTCCAGATAATACAGCACTACATTGATGATATTGTTGACTTTCTTTTTCTTTTTTTACCTTACTGTAATGACTGTGTTAAGAGACTTTCTTACACCCTAGAGCTTTTTAGTGCTGGGCAATATGGCCTGGGATGAGTATTAATTCAACTTTTTTCCCTTGATTTAATTGAGGAACAAATTTAATCAGCTTGTGTTTTGAAATCTCTCACCTGAGATTTCATCATTACAGCTAGGGCTGTCGGGGATACAATATTGATATCAGATATCGGTCCGATATCAGCCAAAAAACAAATCTCGGATTATATCTGCCTGCATCTAAAATCTCCAATATCAGCACTCCAATACAAACAGTCCAATCCAGACTCCACTCTGGCACCTCTAGCTAGCAGTGCCTGGATCCAGCTCGCAGCGCCCATGTAATCACAACAACAGTGCAAAACTGTAGTAAAGGAATAGATAATAAAAGTATCACCAGAGCGTTAAAATACCCAGAATAACTAACACATGCAAGATTATTTTGGGTAGAGTTTCTGAGTGTCAGTTTATATGTAGTTTGTGGTTATAATAGGATTTAATATGCAATGCAAGAAAGGAAAGTCTAACACTGGACTGAATGAGGTGTTTTTTCCCCCGAGAAGATTTGCGCCATGATGCTTTACACTGCTGTGAGGTCAACACTTGGCGTGGAGCTCTTTCGTCCAGGAGCAGACAGGACTGCTCTTTGTGTCCAGAGCAAAACTTGACCTAGATCATAATGTTTCCAAACACTTGCTTTTTTAGGTTCAGGCACCAGAGATTCTTGCTTGAATTGAGAGGAAGATGATAGTTTTTTGTTGCAGTATTTCACAGGGCATGCTCATGATGCTGCAGGCTGAAAGCTCTGTGTTTCATCGTTTGGTTTTTAGAGCAGAGCTGCACAGTCACAGCACTGCACAGTTAAATGCAGCAGATATGATGCTAAATAATGCACCCACTCAGGCAACTTTGCTGCAAACCACCAGCCACCAAACCAAAGCTGAAATAGAGTCTCAGGGATGAGCAGAGTGCATATTTCTGTGGTGCATGAAAACAGTGAGTGAGTGCATGAGTGTCAGAGCATATTTTGTGTTGTCTTCGGTGCTTTGTTCAGGATGTTTGATGACTGTTTTGTTGTCGAGACCTGCTGGTCAAAGTGAACTTGTCACCTGCTGCTCTGTTGGCTGGATTTCCGGGTCAGGGCCTCAGCTAGCATTGTAACGATGGACACGCGGACCCAGAGTTATTAGCCCCGCTGGCGGCACTGTTTGTCCCGCTCCAAAAAAGAGGGCTGATGAATAAAAGACAAAATGGGAGACAGCTAAAGTCTTTCTGATCCCTGCTTCCATGGGGGGGTAATCCAGGGGTGATCGTCAGCACAAATGTAGCTTTGACGGCCTGCATCCATCCCCTGTGTTTGTGTGTGCGTGTGTGTGTGTTTTCAGGATTGTGTTTTACCTATGTTTGCAGAGAGCTGCAATAAGGCCTGACCTAAAATAAATCAAAATTAACACGTGAGTATGATTGCAACAGTTGGAGCATGAAATGATGAAACCACTGGCCAAGCAGCTTACCACATATCTAGTGTGATTACAGCTGAGCAACCTGATAGTTTTGCCAAATGTGTGTTTTTATGTGAGCGTGTTTGTGTAGCGGAGACATGTCCCCCTCTCCTATCAGTCATACTCGCTGTGTCAGGGCTGTGTCACACTCTCCTGCAGCCCTCGGTAGTTTCCCTGTAAGTAGTAAAAATCAGTAGTTGTAGTTCACGTCCTCATTTTCATTTTCTCATTCATGACCTCATTCATGAAGTATGCAAAGAGCAGAGATGTCAAGGTTACTTGATAGCAGAGTGCTTTTCTTCCTTTGTAGACGGAGATGACTCAGTGTGAGTAAAGACCCATTTAGTTCCCACAGTTACATCCCTGAGATCACCAGGTTTGCACAGACTAACTAAGTGCTAACTGAGTGCATAAATAAACATAGTTTCTGTTTGCTTCTTCGGCTATTTTCAGGTGAAGACCCGCTTTAATTTTGGTGTAAGGTTGGCAGGAGTCAGACATGGTCAGTCTAAAAACAAACAAAGCTGCACTGTCACGCAGTAATCCTGTTTCCAGGAACGTTGCACCATTCATTAAAGCAGAGGGATTGTTAAAAAAGCTGCTCTGGTTTTTGGGCACATGATGGTGAAGCTTTGTTGTTACAAAACAGAGAAATCTTACTGAAAGCACTGTGGGAAATGAGGACAAAGTAACAGCCTGAGAAATTGCCAGAAAACCTTTTCCTTTTCATATTTATGTTTTGTCATGTTTTGTAATTGTGTTATTCTCCAACTAAAGTTCACTCACTCTTGTTTTATTTCACATAAATTAAAAGTTATTGACAAATGTCAAACTTTTCCAGCTCTGAGAGTTAATTTGATCATATTTCTGTGCTCCTATCTTTCCAGAGCACCAGGATTGCCTCCACCAGGCGGCCCACGAGCGTCTCGGTGAACTCCTGCGAGTCCTGAAGGCCATTATCAGCAAACACCAGAGCCTGAACTCGGTGGACATCCTCAGTACAGCTGGAACCGTCATTGCCACAGTCAAAGGTCAGCGATGATGATTTGATCAACCACACATTTATCTCCCAGCTTCCCTGTAAAACATCCATGCTACTCCTCCACTCTTTCTTTGGTCTGTTTTCTGTCTGGGCTTATCTAACCCCCTCTGCTCTGACAGTTTTATCTCTTGGATGTCCACTATGACTCTGTCCTCTCTCACTCCTTCCTCCCGAGGTTTCTTCCCAGGGAATGTTTTCTAAGAAGTCCTCTTGTAGCTTCAAAGTAACGCAGTGTTTAAAATGCAGCAGCGTGAGTTAAAACTTCACTCAGAGAGTCAGGAAATAATATCTGGGAGTCAGATTCAGAAGGCAGAGAGACACGGGTGTCTTTTGTATGCTGGTCCAGAGGGAACTACACAGAGGAATCCTTTTCACTCCCTGAGATTATGATCAGGCATGCAGGTCCGTTCTTAACTTGGCCGACACACAAGAATCCCCCCCGAGTTTACCTCGTCTCCATTTGCATCGCAAAGAGGAGCTGCCCGGCTTTCTGAGGAGCCTTCACGTAATAAGGAGCGGTGACATGGTGAGGAGGACAGAGCAGGAGCAGGATCAGAGTGTGAATGAAGCTTACCTTCACTGAAATATTTGGAAGGAGTCCACACACACACACACACACACACACACACACACACACACACACACACACACACACACACACACACACACACACACACACACACACACACTCTCTCTCAAATGGGTGTGTGCATTTGAACGCCATAAACTATAATTAGGTGTAAGAAAACTTCGTCATTCATGCAGCAGCTTGACTTTTAGTGAGTCAATCATGTTCAAACTCGGTGACGACTCTCCGCTAAACAAAGGCTGAGATCTGACAGCTTGATATCCGGATTCATTACATAAAGATTGACGTCTTTTATGAACTTGTTCCATAAAATAAAAATCATTTGACCTTTTGTGAGAAGAGGAGCTCTTCATGATACTGTTAAAATTAGAGCTAACTAGATTGGTGGTGCCGATTTACAGGAGCACTTTAAAAGCATTTTGTAATCATTGACGGATGTCTGTTCCGTCTAATATCTGCAGACAATGCAGGCAGCTTTCCTCCAGTAAACTCATAGATGGTTTGCAGTGTAATTTGTGTGAATTAAGTTTTAATTTCTCAATGTTTTTGTTCACAGAGTAAGTAAAAGCCCTTGCTTGTTGGCTAATTAACATTGTAGCTATTTATGAAGAGGTTAAAGATCCGCCTCTGGTAGTTGGACTAAAAGTTGGGTTGTGTCATCATCAATCTTATGACGACCACCACCGATGGGCATCAAAAATGCCACTTCAGAAACAAATGGGTGACGTCACCAACACAATGTCTATTTAGTATGCAGTCTATGGTTCTTCTGGTATTATATATTGGCTGTCATATGTGCTCATGTAACATAAAATATGACCCGATCTCCTTCCTGATTATCTGTTTATAGTGGCTGCTTATCAACCAGGTAGCTGTGAAATGACCAGCTCATATGATGTACGACCTGAAGCATCAACTTACTTTATATTATTAAATGAATCAGTTATTTAAAAAAAGTATTTTCCTAAGTTAGTCTGGAAGAGTGGGAGTCATCTTGTATTTTCTTAAGATTTCGTAGTAAATTCTGTTGCAAATACTGACCTGTTTCTGTGTCCTACTGCAGCTTCAGTGGTTCTATTATTTACTAGAGTTGGTTGTCTTTTTTAGACTTTGACTTTGGTTGCAAAGAATTGAGATAGAGTAAACACTGAAGATACTTCAAGAGACCATGTTGCAGCAAGCAAGAAAATACTGAAGCACTGATCCTTTTTTTGCAGGGTTTGAAGTGTTAAAGATAAATGAGTCGAGCATGGTCTCTATATATACAGTTATATACAGTATTCAATATACAGTACATTCATTTGATAAACAGCATGATGCAGCATCTTGCTTTAGCCACCAGGTGGCCAGAACTGCACATTTCCTGACCCTTGCGCGCACACACACACACACACACACACACACACACACACACACACACACACACACACACACACACACACACACACACATTGCTACTTTTCAGTGATTTAGCTTGAACCTTTGAAACTTTATTGGGCTCAGTTTTTTGAAGGTATGTCACATGATGAGAAGATCTGTGTTGTGTGATCTGACTTTGGTTGAATTTTCAGAAATAATAGGATTAAAATAGTACTTTTTTAATGTGAAGGTAGGAGAGTACAGTGAATTTGAATTTTATGTCTTTTTTGTGCTTCATCACTCTCGAACCACAGCCAAACAGCTGATCTAAATGGCTGTTCATGCAGAGTTTCGTTGGCCCCTCCTGTGATATTTTGAGATTCAGTCACACATGAAGTTTTTTCACCTCTGCTGCTTTGAAGACAAGTTCCTCTCAGATCAGATTTCTGCGTAGGACTGTGCAGTTGGCAAGTGTTTCGAGTGTGTTGTGCTTTTCCACTGAAACAATACCATTTTTCCCCGATGATGTAACTTCCACATTTGGACCTCTGGTTGGGGCCTGAGCGAGTTCGAGCATTGTGTTCCAGCGAGCCTCAGGATGTCCTGTTGGGGGGTAGGGGGGGCTGGACAGGAGAGGTGGAGATGTTGCAGCTCCGAAGGGTAACGTACTGTGAATGGTGGAGGCTACTGTATCTGACCTGGGGTTTAGAAGAGGCTCCCAGGGCCCCCGGGGACAGTGGACCTCGTCAAAATACCTTTTTTTTCTTTTAAATGTCTCTGACAGAGTGTCCTGGGTTTGATTCAAACTAAAGAATTTTACATGGATTTATTTTTGGTTTCCCCCTCCTGGAACATACTCTGGATCACTAAAGGACAGGGACTTCTCCAACAGGAAGTAAAAGTTTTGGACTGAAAAACTGAGTTTTAGTCCTGCTGGTGGCCATCAAGACCTCTTATTTCAGTGAAAAGCCAGCCAGCCGTCGGAGAAAGTTTGAGGTGAGTAATTGGTAGTTTTGCTGCTCTGGAACTGTGTCAGTGTCCAAAAGTCCTCCAGGAAACTTGGATTCAAGTGCAGAGGATACGTGGGTGTTGGTTGTTGGTGGTCTTGGTTTAAATTATGTATTGGACACACAGAAAGGTCACTTCACTGAGTCAGTTAAGCTTCTGCTCAATAAAAAAGAACAAACTTTGGGACCCACAGAAGAATTGATTGATGTTTAGTGGCGTGTTCAGAGTTTCCTTAATAAAAAAGTGAGTTTTAGTCAACCTAAAGTGTCCACTGCCAATGACCATCAAGACATCCTGTTTCTTTTAATGTGGAGAAATGCTGGAGGAAGTTTGGAGGTGAGTAATTTTTTGCCGTTGTTAGAGCAAATCCTCCAGGAAACCCTGATTCATTGAAACCCTGCGACAAGAGAGTCTTCTTTGGATTGGTAGATGTCTGTAGCTCTTCAGTTCTGTTGTGTGCCACATGATTAAATATTTATGTGTAAAAGGTGAAACTGTCTGCAGGATGTTTGAGGTCTTTGAGGAGACATCTTGGAATTAAAAGATGTCTGTACTTCCGTGTCTTGGTTTGAATGATGTGACATTTACATGGAAAGGTTTCCTAACGAATCAGTGAAATGTCTCTTTTTGGAGAAGGAAACATGGATTTCGCAGAGGATGTCATTCTTTCAGCGTTCTGACAAAAGTTTCTGGACTGAAAACTTTGAGTTTAAGTTAATTTAAAGTGCTGACTACTTCTTGAGATTGCTTATTGATTAAAACTGCGGAAGAAACGTTTGTAGTGTCCCATTACCACTCTTTTGGTTTTCAAAAGTGTTGTAAAGACAACCTCCTCTATTCAAGGATGGCAGAGGAGTCATGTTATTCAGTAGATGTTTATTGTTTTTGGGTCTTTGGCCTTGAGTGATGTGTCATTGAAGAGTCGGTGAAGCTTATTCTGTGGATATTGAAACTACCAAATGACAGAAAAAGTCATTTCTGTCTCCTTAAAGTAGCTCATACTGGTACAAGACTTGTCTTGTCTGTTAAACTCTGAGATAAGAATATGGAAGTTTTTTCTCTTTTGGAAGGTTTATCTGATATTGTCCTAAAATCTTGAAAATATTGCAAAGCAGACACTGAACGGGTATCTTTTGATTGTACGACATCTTTGTTTTTAATTATTTGTCATATAACTAATGATATAATAATGTAATATACCTTTTTTTTAGGGGGCCAAAAGGTCTAATTTAACTTAAGATAAAGTGTCAAATACTGTTCATAAAGAAGGCATATATCTTAGATTTAATATTCAATCAGAGAAGGTTTTAGGATGACAATAGATAAGTTTCAGCATTTTTTGAAGGTCTTCAGAAATCTTCTAAATTGGTCCAAAAATCTTGACATTAATGCCGACAGATGTAAAGTGGCTCATAGTTTTTCATTTTTTAGGAAGAGTATAAGACCTGAAATTCTCCAGACTCATGTGGATTTAATCTTGTTACTCTTGAAGCTTCTTCATATTTTTTGGTACTAGCAGTAGGGTGTCATGTCACGTAAAGGAAGGTTGCTTAAAAAGTCAGTGTGAGGCTTTTTCTGCTAGATGAAGGAGCATGTTTTTTGAAGTTTTTCAGCAGTTCATTTCGGTTTTTAGACAGAAGAACCTGGTTTCAGGTGCCCTTAAGTCATGACTGCAGGTTGTGACTGGTTATCTCTGATAGAGAAAATGCTGAATGAACATTTAATGTGTGACATGAAAAGTTTTTAGCACAGTTTCAGTCCGAGACAGCTTTCCAAAAAGCCTATAATATAATGTTTAACATCTTTCAAAGTAGCATTCTTGGGGTTTAGTCTGGATTTTTAGTTGAAAGTCTCTGATTTTGATGGAGTCTTATGTATGAAAATCTGAAAAAAATCTGGTTGAAAAGTCACTCAGGTACTTATTTGATTTACCTTTTGCAAAGATGCTGCAAAAAAAAAAACTAATGAAAAACAGAAACTTGCAGAATAAAATCCCCTGAAAAAGTTCTAAATTCACAGTCAGAAGGGGTTTCTGGAAGATGTCCTCCCTGAGGATCTGAACTCCAGAAATCTCCATTGTTCTCCTGAAAAGGAAAGACAAAGGAAATCATGGCGGTGGCTGATCGCTCTGTGACATCACAGATTTATTGCTCATGTTTGGGCCAGTTTTCTGTGCATCTCTCGCTCTCTCTCTCTCTTTCTCTCTCTCTCTCTCTGAGTTTATTTTCTCTCTGCTGGGTCAGAACAGGAAGTTTACTGCAAGGACTGATTACAGCCATATTTACTGGACTGTTTTTCTGCCATTCTGCGCTCAGTCATCACTGTGTTTGGACTCTCAGCAGGAAACTACTGCCTCTCCAGATTACAGCCAAATATACACACTCTCAGTCAGTGCTTATCTCCTCTGATTTAAGGTGCAGCCTTGTTTTTGGATCTCTCTGAGGGGCTTTTCCACTTTCCAGTGTTTAAAAATACTGAGTGAATAGTTCTTGGGCTCCCAGTGTGGTTTAAGGAGTGCAGGATGACTCAAAAGAAATTTTAATTGACGTCATGCACAGGATGATGAATCACGCCACCAGATTCCTGCCTTAAAAATGGCTATTTCACCGGCGCCAGTGCAGGATGGGCCCAGAATAAAGGGTTGAAGTATGAAGTTTGTAACGAAACTCTGACTCTGACATTTTCTTTCTGTCTGACAGGAGTGAACTTTAAGGAGGTGAACCAGGAGAACAAACAGAAGCTCTTTGGAGAGATCTACACAGCTATCGACACCTTGGCGTTCACCTTTGGAAATGTGTAAGTATGATGTCATCACTGTCATTCCTACAGTTCATTTTTATTCATTAGAGTATATCACAGTTCATGCAAATGCAGCTGACATTCCATTTCTAAAAGTCACTTTAAATTTAGAGCAGAAAAAGCTGATGGTCTGTTAAAGAGCTGCTGTTAGGAATCTTTGGACAATTAAAAAACAGACAGAAATGAACACTGGTGCCTCTTCATGATCTACAAAAGTGAACTAGACCATCAGAGGACAGATTGTTTATATGTTTGTAATTTTAATACCTGTAACACCTGCTGTAGTGTAAGGGGACAGCTGAGACAATCAAGAGAAAATCTTCTGTGCCTGCCTTGCGTCTCTGTCACTGGGTCGCACAGGTAGTTGAGTTCTTGTGTACAAAAACAACAGGTGAAAAGTGTTAACACTTGCAGTATGTACACAGACTTATATTTGTGTGAAGGACGTATTTGAATGTTTGCTGAAAGTGAAAGAAAAGAGAGAAAAGAGAGGAAAAGGGAGAAAAAACTTACCATTGATTAATTACCAAACTTCGCACCTCCATTTCATACTGTGCCAATATTTATATCTGAAATGTTACAGACATTTAAATTGTTTAGCTCAATTAAAATAATGTATAGATTTCACATGCATCCTGTTGAAAACCTGGTCCAAAAAACAGCTTATTCTCCAGGAAAGACCACTAGGACTTATCTATATCACTTGTTGGTATCACTTGTTCTCCATGGGGGGAGAAATCTGCAGAGCATATCCAGGACCTCTGCAGCACAGCTTCTCTGTGGCTCTCCAAAAACCCACCCACTGTTTCTGTAGTTGGAAAATAGAAGAATGATGAGCTGTCATTTTTGCTGGTTGAGGTGTAGCCACAGGAACAGCAGACTCAAACAAAGATAAATTACAGGCAGAACACGGTGAACACGCAAGCTCATGTCAAAAATGACACAGGGATGAATTTGCCCTGAGGCAAAGTCAGCAGTCGTGTTGTTACTCACATATTTTGTATAACTGGTTAGATATTCATTTTTTAATAAACACCAAAGTAGAACCTGCTGACTCAATACTAGTAGAACAGTATCAGAACATTTTCACATATTAAAATGAGATTGGAAAAATAAAGTTTTAATGCAGTTTGAATATTCTTAGATAGTTACTCGAATGTAAATATGACCAAAACATTGTGTTGATTTAAGTTATGAGTCTTTAGCTGGTTAAAAGTTAAATTATGTGGCATAGATGACTACAACTTCTGCTTTTAAAATCTTAGCTCCATTTTTCTCCTGCTGGTTTCACAAGAAATGTGCAGAGCTGACTGATATGTGGTGAATAGTTTACATCCTTCACTCTTCTGATCACTCAAAGCACTTTTACATCTCATGCCACATTTACATACCGATGGCAGAGGCTGTATTCACACACCACTGGGTGCAGCAGGTGGAGTTGGGTGGGGTCAAGTGTTTTGCCTAAGGATACCTTGGCATAAAACAGCCAGACCTAGGATGGACCCCTAACTGTCTGACTGGGAGAAGATCTAACTCTACCACTGAGCCACAGCCGCCCCTGCAGTGGGGAATACTCTTACTATTGACACAAATGTCACCGCAAAAAACAAACGATCTCTTCAAGGAGATAGGAAAAGTTTTAAAAACAGACTTTTGAGTTGCATTGTGAAAACAGGATGCTGAAGTACAGGAAATTAAGCCCTTTGTATTCCCAGGTTTTACTGCTTTCTTTTGCTTTATTGAAGAAGTCCTCTTTTTAAAACTTGAAAATGAAACACCCAAATGATGATCCCTATTTTTGTCCTGCGTGTGTGCTTCTTTGATCAGTTCTTGTTGTCTATTTCTCCTCAGAGTGTCTGACTTCCTTATGGGAGATGTAGAGAATGGATCAGTGCTGGGGCTCCCCCTGATGAAGAGGAGCAGGGTAAGACAAGTCTAACTCTCCAGTTTTTTAATTTTGTATTTGTAGTACGTTGTTTTCCCAAATCAGCCTCTGCAGACTCTCATTAATATCAATCCTAAAGGAGGACTGACAGTGTGTTTGTTTGTTGTGCCTCCATTATCCTCGAAATACATCGATCATTAGTTAATCCTGTGTCTCCAGGATGTGCCCTACTGCCCCTGGATTGTTAAACTAAAGATACGAAACATTACCAAGCAGACTGCAGAGGTCAGAAGTTAAGTTGACACTCGCAGGTTGACGCATGTTCCAGAAATGGACTCCAGCGATGATGAATTGATGGGATGAATTGTTGTTTTCCTGCAGTAGGTTTCATAACAGCTCTAAAGAGGAAGTGCAGTTCAAAGTGAGATAGCAGAGAGTGGCGTGCTTTAAGAGGGGAGTCTATCCTTCTTCATCAATTTAGATTCTGTTCTTGTCATGTCTTAAATTCAGTCTTTCGAGAACGTCTCTGTGGAATCTGGAGGATCCGGTCCAGAGAAAGATGATCCGCCAGGTAAGACACAGAAACACACACAGACGCATGTCTGTGAGAGGAGGATAATAAAAGTAATTCAGGAATATTCAAGTTTAAACTTCTTTCAGTCTTCAGGAGGTTTCTGTGTTTGAAAATTTTGGCCTTATGTGTTCTATGATCGCTCCACAAAACTCTTACTGCTGCAGGGTTGATGGGCCCCACTAAAGTCCTTGTTTTGCCACTTTCAGGCTCAGATTGTTTCTCTGAATGTCTTACAGCATTACAGAAAGGGTCTCCTCAAATGTACTGTACATACTCTTGTTTTGAGAGTTTGATCTTTTTTGTCTTTTTTTTTTTTTTTTACCTCTGATAGCTTTCACATCGTTTTCTTTGACTCATTTGGAGTAAAACACTAATTTTACCTCGTAAAACACAAGAGTTAGTGTACTGCTGCTTCATACAGATTGTGTTTTGGTGCGTGTTTATCTGTCTAAATGTCAGTCGTAAGTCTTAGCTCTAGAATTGCTACATGGTTAAACAAACTGCCATTACTGTTATCATTGTTGTGCAGCCATCTGCCAATAGCTGGGCTTTAGCTCAGACTAATGGACACTGCCATCATGCTCAAATTCTCTATGACCTGGATCTACACAAGCAAGCACAGATGACATTTGATCAGTATCTCTGAAATGGAGATCAGAGCGATGTGTGTCCAGCCCAGACAGGGTTTTTCTGTCATATTTTTGTCACCTTATTGAAGGATGGCTGAAGAGAGGGAGGAAATAGAGGGAGTAGAGAGCAGGGAAAGACATGCAGCAAAGACATCCAGTGACTGATGCGAGAGAACTATAGCCTCTATATTATGGGGTGCTAGGACTTCAAGGCCATCGGCTACCTGCTCCTTATTTCTCATATACTGGCAGGTCTGCTTTGGCCTTATTACAGGACTCGATGTTACTGGTGCTAGCTTTTCATAATAACAGTCTGCGTAAAACTCTGAGTGTTTTAGGGACAAAGAACTTTGGTGGACACACTTTGAACCAGTCTAGCATTATGCCCAGTTACAGCCAGTCTGAAGGACAGCTGAAAGAATCTACAGAGGCTGCAGCAATTAAACACTTTTTTTTTTAGAAACTAATTAGCAATTGAGGCCCCAAAGGAGCTGAACAGTGAGTGGATTTATGAAGTGTTTCTCTAGTTTCTTAACCACATGGAGTGTTTTTAGGCTACATTTAACATTCATTCATTCACTCACTCACACCATTGATTATACAGGATGTTATACTAAGCAACCAGTGCTAATCCTATTCTTTTGCATTTACATACCACCAGCAAAGCCACAGAGCACTTTGGGGTTCATTTTCCCACTCTTGGACTCTTCGAAGACACTTCAGCTGATCATTACATTTTGCTTTATTATTATCACGGTCTAAACCTGTCAGCATGAATCCCTCTGGTGGTCCCTCTGTTCAAGTGGTCGTAGCAGACTCACAGTCTCTGAATTAGCCAGTATAACACACACATGTGGTTAGTCGTGTTTTAAATGAGGGTTGGTCATTTCCTGTCATGTTTAACTGTCAACATTGACGTCCTTCAGGGCCGTCTCCACCCATGCAGGCGGAGGAGGTGGACCGGACGCTGCAGCGACAGGACAGCGGCGTGGAGTCAGCGCTGCTTTACGCCAAGGCCTGGTCCAAATACGCCAAAGAGCTGCTGGCGTGGGTGGAGAAACGTCTCAATATGGGTGAGTGGGGGCACAGGTGGAAGTGGGATTTCTAAGAGGCAGCTGAATGGCATCTGTCAGTCTGCTGAAAACACAGAGGGCTTTAGTTTGCACAATTTATACCAACTTCTAGATGAAGTTGTTCTCAACTGGTTTTCCAGTTTTAGACTGATTTATCCTGTTTTTGCCAGGTTTCTTGTTTTCCAGATTTTATTTCTTTATTTGTTTAAACAAAGCCTCTGACAGCAACAGGTGGCTAAAAATGTCCAAGATTAGTATAAATTCCTCACACAGGTTTTTAGACCTTTTCTTTTTTTCACGTCACACTGAGCTGAGAGGAATGATATTAAGACGGGATTAATTGGGATTGAGTTTCCTGAGAAAATGTTCTCCATTACCTGAGCTGGATTTAAAACAATGCCGTTTTATTCAGGCTGAGGCAGAGTGTGCAGTGTGAGGGCCTTTTGTTCTGCTCACCAGTTAATGAATACTTCAGTTTAATACTTAATCGCTGAGCGAGTCAACACGCTGACACTGAGCGCTCAGTCAGCCTGTACAGTACTGCTGTTATCAGGCAAACAGACATGCTAGTTTCACATGTCTGTTCTGGTTAATGCTTTCTTTACTCATTGATTTTATGGATTCCTCTCAGAGACACTTGAAAATGTTCACCTGAAAATTATGTTAGGTTGTGCTGTTCAAAAGTTGATGCAAAATGAATTTATTTCTGCACACTGGAAATACTTTCAAATGCACAAAATGCACAAAAAGCAAAAATGCAGGCTTTTGGATGGGATTCTCTAAGTTTAAAATTTGCATTATGCATTCATACCATACATCATACTAGGGCTGGGCGATATGGCCTCAAATCAATATCACAATATATTGAGCAGTTCACCTCGATAATGATAAATGTACGATAACTACTCCACAAGCTGCTCATCCCCTCCTACATGAACATTGTTTACTTCAGCCGCTACAACTTTTGAACCATCCTCCATCTCCTCACCTGTCTTTCCCTCTTTGTTACGGACTGGATGGTGTGGAGTCACGTCTCTGATGTAGGACAGCGTCTTAAAGGGACATGAGACTATAACCTACCCACACACATCCAAAACCAACTTTTATTTATTTATTTATTTTTGACACTGATTATATTGACTTGGGCAAAATGACGTTGACTATTGTCATAAATTTCAGTATCTGTAAATTTTCAGTTAATCGCCCAGCCCTACATCATACAGAGTATCAGCTTATGATGGCCACAAAAACATATCTTCGGTGCCAGCCAATAACCCTCTATGCATCTAAATCTCATATTTGGGGTTTGCCTCTACAAATGGCTGTGCAGCTCATCTCCACCTCAGCCTCTGCTTTTTATGCTGTGTTTGATTTTACCAGTATCATATGTGTTGGTACTGTCGCCGCTGCTCTCCCTGCCTTGGCCTCACATGTATGCACATGAAACAAAAGAAAGGTGTTCTCTCTCTGCCTCAAACATATGCTGTAGAAGGACAGGAAGCTCACAGAAACCGAGCCATTCCACCAACTATAACCTATTGCATATAAAATAGTTTATTTTCTTTGACAAGAGTGGTCCAGACTAAAGCTTTTGGTTTTTTTTTGCAGATATTGAGTGTGCAAAAAGTTATGCAAAAATGGCCGAATCTGCCAAAGCGCTGGCAAGTCAACAGGTGAGTAGTTTCTCTTTCCAAGTGTTGCTGCAGATTTGCTGCTTCCTTCTTGGCTGTTGGGGACTGACATCAGGACTTTCCCCTTCTCTTTGTTTCAGGAATTTATGCCTTTCCGTGAGACCTACATGACGGCTTTCAAAAATGACATTGAGTACAGCCAGCTGGTACTTCAAACAGCAGCAATACTCCAGAGCAACAAATTCATGCAGGTAATCTAATCGAGTGAAAGAAGCATTTCTCAATTGGGACTTTGGGAGGATAATGGAAACAAAGGACTTACTGGCAGTGTGTGTCGGGGGGTTATGTGTGTGTTTCCAGCCTCTCCTGACCAGAAAGAATGAGCTGGACAAACTACGAAAGGAGGTCAAGGAGCTGTGGCAGAGGGAGCAAAAGAAAATGGTGAGTTGATTATCACAGTGGGTGCATTTTGTAGAGGTAGAGAAACAGAGCCTGGAGATGTTTACTCTCCTGGGGACTCAGTTCAAGAGTGCTCTTTAAGTGCCTCAGGGTCCTACACACATGAGAGTGCACAAAGATATATAGGCTCTGCTTTAAGCAGCTTGCAAAGAAAGTCAGTCTGTTCTGGTTTAGGACAGAAAAAGCAGCGAAAACTGAGCTCCAAATACTGATCATTTTAAGTTAACACCATTAACCAGTTAAAACTGAATAACTTTTAAATTTTAAAAAGTTTTTTATGTGAATAAAACAAATCAAAGCTGCTTCACCTGTTAGAAATAAAATAAACATGTAGTTATTCTAAAATGTATAATTATTGTTCAATCTTTAGACTACTAGAAATTTAAATGGTGAGTTTTAACACTACATTTTTTTGTTCAGTTAAAGGGCTGTGCAGGTAACCATGGAAATGTTTACAAGATCCTTATTTATTTCCCTATATTTTCAGGCTTTTGTCCAAATCACCAGCAGATAAACTTCTTTGTCTGTGTATTTTATTGATATGGACAGATTTAGTGGCATCACTGAACCCCCCTCCTTTATTTGTATCCATGTGTCTCTAGAATGAAGCGGACAGCGCTCTTAAGAAGGCTCGGCTGCTGCAGGCCCAGCGGCAGGAGGAGTATGAGAAAGCCAAGGTGTCCACCAGCCGGCTGGAGGAGGAGCACATCGGAGGAGGAGGAGGAGCAGCGGTGTTCAAACAGCTGGAGAAGAGGCGGCGGCTGGAGGAGGAGGCTCTGCAGAAGGTACAGTTTTTAGTGCATTTGAAAGAACATGAACAACCCTGACAAAACTGTAGTTTTTTTTCCTTAAATGTAGTATCTTTGTTTGGAAAATAAAGCCCTGAGTTCTGCAGAATCCATACACTCCACATATCCATACATTATACACAGTGTCAGTCATGCCTTTATTGGAGCCTATCATCTCTGGTACAGATATAAAATTAGGTAAGCAGGTAGTTAAAGTTGATGATGTGATTTTCTTCTGTCTGCAGGCTGAGGAGGCCAGCGAGCACTGCACAGCCTGTCAGCTGGATGTGGGCGTGAAGAGAGTGGACCTGGCTCGGACCAAGGGTGTCATCATCTCTCAGATCAGAGAGATGGTGTCTCAGTGCGACCTCACCTTCAAAGCTGTAAGTTCTGAAGCCCTGAAGCACTGAACATATATCCGACATATATGACTTCACTCCATGCTAAAGAGGAAGAACTCTGTCTTTGATTCCTCATCTCAGGTGACGGTGAACTGGTTCCAGCTCCAGCAGGCTCAGGTTGTCTCTCTTCCCGTCAACCACCAGACTCTGTGTGAAAACGCCAAACAGTACGAGCCGGGCCAGCGCTACATCGACTATGTGAGGAGTTTACCCACCGATGGGCCTCGCCTGGAGCCCCACTCCTTTGACTTCAATGTCTCACAAAACACAGGGTGAGATGACTAAACCGACACATGTTCAGGGACCTCCATCAGCATTGTTTGGTTTGAGAGTGATTTAAGTCAGATAGTCAAGGAAGAGATAAAAGTTTCCTGTTTTCCATTTCAGATAAAAGTGAACTCTTTTGGTAAAATAATCTTTTTTTCCTTCAAGACGTCCCAAAATAAAATGAACATTTACGGGCAGTCCAAGTCATGAGGTCATTCCCCTTATCTGAATATCAGCTCCAAATGAAGTGGACTCTGGCTCCTCAAACTGGAGTATTTTGTCTCATTTGAACCATGTTTGCCTCCTCAGTTATCAGTGTTTATGTTTACTCTCTCAGATTTGATCAAGGAAGTGACTGACTTGTTTTTTTGGACAGATGAGGCTGCGGCTCTCACAGGAGTTCTTAGTCACAAAGTCTTTTTTCTTTGGGGACATAATCAGTTTTTCCATTAGAGGTGTTTATGATTTTACAAAAATAGAAATATTTCAACAGTTTGAGGCACAGAAACATGGTGAGAAACATCCGTCTGTTTAAAATAAGGAACCTAACATCACCTGTTGGTTTGTGAACAACAGTTTTAAAGCCTCATCCTCTGCGCTTTTGCTGCCATCTTGATTTTTGGGGTCAGCCATGAATGTTTTTGTACGAGAGGGTGTTGTTGGAGGGAAGCAAGGGATTAGCATTTGTTGCATTACTAGTTAAGCCATGTTTCAAAAATGATAGTGGAATTTTCCTGAGTAAAAAAAACTGTGTGTCAGACTCCTTGGGTGGTCTGTGAGTCCGACATACCGCACAGCAAGACAGATTGTATGTCTTACATTTAGGCCTGAAACCATGTCAGGTTTTTACCTCGCGGTTCTCAAAGTCAGAAGAACGAGAGTGAAAATATTACTGTGAAAAAAACAACAACAAAAACAACTATAAACTTAACAAATACAAAATGACTAACATGTGATCATTGTACAGGGTCCTGAGGTAACATTTGTAATGAACGGTGTAATTTTGTGATGTAAATAAGTTTGATAGATGGATCTTTTTTTTTTTTTTTTTTCAAGTTTTAGGATGATTAAGGTCCAAGATGAAGTTTTAACTGCGTCACTCGCCCTGAGACAGAAACTTCTCCTTAAACTAAAAGTCGCTCATTTTAAGTTCCACCTCAAATTGAGTTTTTCAGACCTCCCCTAGTGGACATCTGAGGAACTGCGTTTTTTTCTAGCACTTAAATGTAGGCTTTCCTTCGGTTAAATTCTCTCTGCAGATTGTAAATCCAGTAAAATGTGGTCTTCAGTAGTCTTTGGTGGAGTTGTAGAGGGAGAAGCTTGTTATGGAAAACTTCAAACATTGATGTTGGTCAGAGCTTCCTGTGGAAATGACTGCAGTCACAGGAGAGGGAGGGGGACAGATGACCAAAAAGCCTTCATTAGCCCTCTAACTGAATACACATCGACTCTGACTAACATGGAAAACCTGCTGGTATTTAATATACTCATTAATGGTGTTCAGCTCTGTGTAAACCTTTGGTCCAAAAGATTTGGTTTCCTTTTATAGTGAGCGTTGTTATTAGAGGTCTGTGGTCACACACACACACACACACACACACACACACACACACACACACACACACACACACACACACACACACACACACACACACACACAGAAAATAAGAGCTTGCTTTGTTCTGTCCACGTTTGGTTCCCCTCTCTTCATCCCCCCAACTCTGATCCCTCTGATCAAAAGAGCTCAGTTTTGGAAACAGGAAATGAAACTTCACACACTCACACACACCCACAGCATCAGCCCTGAAAAGGTTAAAAATAGCCCCCTGACCTACTTTCTGTGTTTGGTGGGATATATGGAAAAACTTTAGTAAACAATGGTCAGAAAATGTAAACGTATGTCAGTCACAGGTCTGACTGAGTCAGCCATTGTTCAAGTCATAACACAAGGATATTCAGGCTGGGCTGCTCTCAGGCAGTATCATGTAGGTATTGGATGTAAGCTATTCAGTGAGTTTATGTAGATTTTTATGAAGTGACACTGTTATGAAGGACAGTGGGCATGTGCAGTACTTGAGTTAAAGAAAAACTGCTTAACGTCCTGTGGTTTACTTTATGGTTTATCATAACATATTACATCATATCCTGTCTCATTAACTGTGTGGTATTGTATTTATCTTTAATTGTTGTATCATACCACACTGTATCACATCACATCATTTCATATCATAGTATACTGTATCATATTAGTAGTATGGTTAGGTATGCAGTATTTCAATGTATTGTTTTGTTTTGTTTTGTTATATATTATATTGTACTGTATTTGTAGGGAATTGTATTGTCTGCACACATTCACCTGCCTTCAAAACTGCAGTGATGCGATCCTGAGAACGTTTTAAAGCTAAGGATCAGACAATTCAAGAGACAAAACACATGACAGTTTTTCCAAAGTGAAAAATCTAGTTCTTCTGCCTCCAGCAGGCATGAGTCTAAAAACCTCTGAGAGTTTACCAGAAACATTTTATATCTTTTTCTTCCCCAGACTTCCTCTGAACAAGCGCTCACTGAGTGCCAGCCACTCCTCTCACAGCAACCTGTCCCAGGGGTCTGTGACCTCTGACCTTTGTGCAGAAGATGTGGACAGTCCTGTTAATGCCCAGCACCCCAAGATCGCAGAGAGGCGCTCCAACAGCAGCACTGACATCCAAGGTACGCCGATTTCATCAGAGAGGATGGAGAAATTTATCGTATGCCTCTATGTGAGGGGGTTTCAGTGGCTCCTATATGAGAAAAGCATTTCACAAATACAAAAATATTTCATTAAACATTGACTTTATTTCCACAAAAACATGTCTTTTTGTCTTTATGGCACTGACCTTGGCTCCCCTGTAGGAAAGACATTGAAAAAGCTAAAATACCAAGAACAGTTGCTCTGTGTGTATTTTAAAGTTTTTTAAATAGGTCTAAAGATATAAGGTAACTGAAGTCTTAAACTTTCTTTTTGTTTTGTTTTTCTGAGCAGATCTTCTCAGCTGGTATTAAGCTAAAAGGCGCTTCAGTGGCTAATGGAATCACAACTTTAAAGGCCTCTTTAGCTTAAAGGAGAGCAGTAAGCTCAATAGGTAAACAATACCAAAGCTGAAAAGGTGCCAACTGGCTCTTTGCCAAGGGCGTGCGTCAATCTGTCAATGTTCATGTGCCATTTCAGAAATTTGATATGAGCATCAAACATTTAGAAATCTTTTTACGTCATCAAAGAAGAAACCCTTTTTTTGTTTAAGTCTTCAAGCAGAAGTTGACCACAAACAACTTTCTGACTGAAAACATACTGCTAAATCCAGTGACCGCTTAATAACGTGTTTTCTGCAGCTCTTCGGATCCAGGCCCCGTTTCGTCCCTGGGCCTCGGCCAGTCAGGGTGGAGGGATGTGCAGCGACTCTGAAAGTGCTGGAGGGAGCAGCGAGTCCCGGTCCATGGACTCACCCACTGCTAGTCCAGGTACATCTGCACAACCGGACAACAATTTTATTTCTGTTTACAGTCTGTTTCCTAAAATCCACCATTATCCTTCCTCCATCCGTCTTTCTTTAACCATTTTCTCAAGCTTTGAGTCAGATTCAACTTCGGCAAACTTGGAAAACTAAAAAAAAACAAAACAAACAAAACCAAGCAGGTGTGAAACATTTCTGTAACGCTATTGTACTCAGTGTTTGTCTTTACGTAATATTTAACTCACGGGAAAGTTATCTAACAACTTCAATCGCTGCAAGAATCTCTGTGATGTGACATTCAGGGAGCTTAAACACCTGAACTTCCTCTCAGCGTTTATCTCCACCACTCAAGCGTGAAATCAGAGTCACCTGGTGGCCCTCAGTCCTACACATCACAGAGCTCTTACATCAGGTCTATGAGAGTGATGTCACCGAAACCACCCACAGACAGAGGTGATAGACAGGAGGGACATTCCTCTGCTCTGACTGCTTCCTAAAGTTAAATAATCCCTCTGAAGGTGATGTTCACTCAGCTTTTAGTTGCACGTTATCTCAGATTTAACAACTCCTGACACTGAGACCTCTGTTAAACATTATGTAACTCACAGTGTCTGCATTACGCAAAAACAGATGAAATTAGTCACAGGTACAGGTGAGGTTGGGCTGAGTGTATCATAGCGGGGTGTGTTTGTGTAGATCTGCATCCTTCGCACCTCATTATCAACTGTATTAGTCCCCTTGCAAAATTTCTGCCAAAAGAATATGAATTTAAACCAAGTTTCTCAGCTTTCCACTTCTGCTGTCTTTATTATCTTTTCTTCTGTTGCATTTATTTGCTGAAAACATCTCTATTCACAGTGCAAACACTGGGGCTGTTGCGCATTACTCACACCTTTGAAATCTGGAGGTTCTTTTCCCCTGCTCTTTCTCATCGCTGTGGTTAAAAAAACAAAACAAAAAAAAAACATGTTTTATTTGTTGTGGGTGCAATTGTTTGGTCTTACCGTGACATGCATAACTGTGCAGGAGACTTCAAGAGGAGATTACCAAGAACCCCCTCCACCGGCACCATGTCATCCGCTGATGACCTGGACGACAGAGAGCCTCCATCTCCCTCTGATACAGGTGAGTCAAAGCAGAAGAGATTTAAAGCCCATTTAATATTATATTTCATATGTCGTAAATCACTGAGGTAAGACACATGAAAGTAATGTCAGAGTTTTCAAAGAAACATACAAGTGAAGTTTGAGGTCCTGATCTGCGGCTGATCTGCAGAAAATTTGTCACTTGATGATGATGATGAATTTATCTACTTCGGACATGTATGCAAAGAAATAAAATAATAGAAAAAAATGTCATTTACATACAAAGAGAGGGGAAAAAAAAGAAATGAATTATACACGTTTGAAAAGGAGTAGGAAGAAGTAAATACTTTATATGTTGTGCTGCTGTAAACTGACCGGCTGTGACCCTGAGCTGCAGCTGCTGTTTTCGTGGGTCACACGGTAACAGAAAAAAAACTGACAAACACATTTTTTATTTGTGTAATATGACTTAGAATGAAACCAATGATGGTGGTGGTAATTTATTTACATGTCATTCACACAAAGAGCACACTCCTCATGGCTACACAAGACATCAAAAGTCAGACAGAGTCACTGAAAAGTTTCCTGTTTATCTACAGCTCAGCCTGTAAACATTCCTTATCCAGATGCATGTTGTCCTCATTTACCTGTTATATTTTTCCACTGTGTCATTTTGAAGTCTGATTCAAATATGTTTCTATAGAATGATTCTTCCCTCTAATCATTCTGGTTGTTCTTTATTTCTTCCTCTTTGCAGGACTGAGTGAGATGGTCATCGAGACAGCCAGCTCCCCAGGGCCCTTCAGAAACACTCAGATGTCCAAAGCTGCTCAAACACACAAGCTGAGGAAGCTCAGAGCTCCATCCAAGTGTCGGGAGTGTGACGGCCTGGTGGTGTTTCATGGAGCTGAGTGTGAGGAGGTAACCTTGGTTTCTTTTCTTCTCTCCTTTGCTTAAGAACTAAGAGAACTAAACGCCAACCAACCATAATCCTCTGTTTGGACCTTTGGTAAATAAAGTGAGGCCAAAGCATTCAGAGAACGACAAGTCCAAGACGAACACTGCCAAAGTTTCCAATGGCGTCTTTATCAGTCGTGGTGAGCAGAAATCAAACACAAACAAAAGAGAGCGACCACCTCTGCCCTCATCAAAACCTCCGAATTCAAGCAAAAATTTAAACTGGCCAAAAGTTTTCCTTGGGGACCAAATCCAGTGGAGAACAGGCCGTGGAAACTGAAGACCTTTTGTTATCTTCTGAGGAGTCGCCTTCATCAACCCTGTGCCCCCCGCTGGTTTACTTTAGATCCAGTTTCTCTCCATATTTATAAGATGTTCAGATAGAAACAAAGCAGTTACTGGAAGAGTTTCAGGGTTATGTAATACTGGAGGACATCTCTGTAATGACCTCTGATGATGACTGAACATCAGTTGTTGGGATTTTCATGCCTGTATTTACAGGATAGGACAGTGGGTAAGGTTGGAAGAGAGAAAAAGGATGACTTGCAGCAAGCCACTGCAGGTTGAATTTGGCATGTGATCAGTGATAGTGGCAGTCATAATAACATACGTCTGTCACAAACCCGAGGCTAACATCGCACCTTTTTGATATACAATACTGTAGCATAATGAAACATTTATACAGGTGTACAGGATGCATTGCACATTACAGATGTACAGAAAAAGGGAATTGAAAATACATCTTACACTCCATTTTTCGCAGAAGCTATTATCTTTCCATTTCAACAGAAACAACAACACCATGACGGCAAAATACATCCTAATGCTAACAAAAAAAGCCCAACTTAAACTAAACCAAACAGAAGGTGAGTCCAAGAAAGACAGGTCTGAAACCAGACCTAAAGTAAACCAAGTAAAACATACAGGATCATTCTTGATAGAATAGGACAGACAAAAACAGGCACGAAATGTTTGGAGCCAAGTGTTAGCACAGGGAGTGAAACCAGCAACCTTTTTTGAACTAGACTTCATTTAAATAGTTAAAATATTGTTTTTTTTGGTAACACTTTACAATAACCATAATTTATAAATGGTAAATAGATAGTTAATCAATTTTAAATCATCATTTAAAACCAGCATATAGACCAATTATAAATGGCAAATAGATAGTTTATTAATGTAAGTTAATGGTTACTTTACCATTAACAAGCAATGAAATTTAATTCATAATTTTCATTAATTATTAATGGACTATTTATTAAAGGTTTATATAGGGTTTAAATAATGGTTGTAAAAAGTCTAGATTTAAATGTGTGCCAGTAGCACTTTGTAAATGGTTAATATTTGGTTTTTAAACTATCTATAAACATTACTTAGATGGTTATTGTAAAGATGGTTATTGTAAAGTTGCAACTGATGTTTGTAATACTTTGTAAATGATTAATAAGCCACCTATAACCACCTATAAATATTACTGAGATAGTTTTTGTAAAGTTAGGGTTAGGATTATGTTTTTAAAATTGTAAAACTTTTTTTAATTTACTAATGGTTTATATGCTATTTATAAATGATGATTAAACATTAATAAACTACCTGCTTACCATTTATAAGTTATGGTTATTGTCAAGTGTTACCATTTTTTTTGGACTGTTACCATCAAATCACCTAGAAAGATTGCCTTGCAGTTGCAGACATCAAACCTGAAGCCAAAGCTCTTCCACTGATATTCAAAATGTCCAACACAGTGTTGCCTTTATAACTGAGCTTCATGTCAATCTGTTTCCAGTGTTCGTTGGCCTGCCATAAGAAGTGCCTGGAGACTCTGGCCATCCAGTGCGGCCATAAGAAGCTCCAGGGGCGGCTTCACCTCTTCGGCATCGACTTCACCCAGGCGGCGAAGAACAGTCAGGACGGTATCCCCTTTATCATCCGCAAGTGCACATCAGAAATCGAGAACAGGGCGCTCAATATCAAGGTAGTTCAATTGAATATGAAAGATCAAATACAGATGTTGTTTTGTTTTGTATCATTCTCCTCCATATCTTTCAAACATACTCTGTCACCACAAGGACAGTTGTGTTAACTTTTTTTTTGTGTGTTTATCAGCATCTAAAGTTAAAAAGTTTTTGCTGTTCCTGCTGGTTCTGTTAGTTTTCTGTCATTGTGGTGATGCTGTGGGGGAAATACATGTTGAATGTTGATTTATTGTCTCTTTGAAGGGTATCTACCGTGTGAATGGTGCAAAGTCTCGAGTGGAGAAGTTGTGTCAGGCGTTTGAGAATGGAAAACATCTAGTGGAGCTCTCAGAGCTTTATCCCCATGACATTAGCAACGTACTCAAACTCTACCTGAGACAGGTGAGCTGGTTTTCTATGTCCCCAGGTGAAAAAAACCCCATCAAACCTGGGCCCTATTTTTACACAGTCTGTGATTTAAAGGCTTCAACGTTACAGGGTTTAAATTATTCAGGTTGCTTCAGTCTGCCGCCGTGAAATAGGCTTTTATGTCTTCAGTGTATCTCTTAAGGGCAAATGCCTCAAAGTTGATCTAGATTCATACCAAAGGACTGCATGTCACACTCACGAGGTATGGTTAAGGGAGTTTGAAATGAGATTGTAATTTTTTTACAGAAATTACGGATAATTTTTAAACAGAGAGACTTTTTCCCTTCTTTGTTTTTTATTAAATCAAATCTGAAGAGTCACATCTGCACATCTGCAGTTTTAAGGATTCTCTAAATATTCTGTTTAAAGCTTTTGCGTTTGCTTTGTGTCCGGAAAAACACTGTTAAAATGTACTTGCCTTGCCTATTTTGGTGAAACATGAAGATGATTATTTTTAAGCACAAACACCTGTCACGTAACTCTCTTTCTAACTCACAGCCAAACTGCATCAACAAGACCAGCTATTTAAAGCTTTACAGAACATGAGAGTTGCTTGTCTGCCTCTGCAGTGTCTCTCTCTGTTATCACATGGTTGAAAAAAACACTCTGGATCAGCAGCAAACATGTGAAATGCCAGACTCACTCAGAACCATTAGAAAACTAATAAATGAAGGCAGAGACAGACTTTCAGCTCCTGTAACCTGCAGGATAGAGTTTCTTTAAGTAGAGGACATGGGAGTTGGTGGTTCAGTGATACCAAACCTTGTTGTTTATAATGCATAGGAATATCTAAAATAGCACCCCTGTCCCACTGTTTTTACATGTTAAGTATGGAGTAGTTATAAATGCACTCTCATCTGCAGAGGATTTATCCAAATAAGGAAGTTAGCTGGTTAATTTTGTCCTCCACAGAACAAAGCTGCTGCTGCTGTATTTATTTGTTCGTGTTTATTTTGGTGCAGAGCTCCAAACTCTCTCTGTCTAATCTTAAACACGTGTCTATTTCTGTCCCAGCTGTTTATTTACTCACATATTTCAGCTGCCTCTGTTTATTATTCACTTTCTTGTTTTCTTTTTCCTCTGCAGCTTCCTGAGCCGCTCATCCTTTTCCGCTACTATAACGACTTCATCGGTCTGGCGAAGGAGAGTCAGAGTATAATCGTGGAAGAACTAGAGGCGCTGCGGCTCGGTCCGACCCCTGTTACCCCAGCCCAGGTCAGCGTAGATCTGAACCGGGTCCTCTTCAAGATCAAGGACCTGCTAAAGCAGCTGCCACCAGCTCATTATAAAACTCTGCAGTTCCTCATAGAGCACCTGCACAGGTAAACAAGGCAAAAACTACACATCTCTAGTACAATAAAATGAAAAGAAAAGGCTCTTCAGAAAATCAGGGTATGAATAATGAAGATTAAGTTTAATTTTTAGGCACTTTTCAGTAAATGAAAATGAAGCCTGAAGCGCTTTTCTAAGGAAAAAATACAATTTTAAAGAAAAGGAAAGAGCCACTCACAGAGGCCGTTTCTCTCCTCAGGGTGTCGGAGCGATCAGAGGAGAACAAAATGACAGCGAGTAATCTGGGGATTATCTTTGGTCCAACGCTGATCAAACCGAGGCAGGCGGACGCTGAGGTTTCCCTCTCTTCTCTGGTGGATTACCCGTATCAGGCCCTCATCATTGAGCTCCTGATCAGACACTACCAGATGGTCTTTGACACCCCACTTAGTCCCCTCTGCACCTCCTCACCCACAGAGAGCGACACCCAACCACGCCTCACCCAGCAGGACAAGGAGCAGCAGCTGAGCCGGCACTCTAAGTCCCTGGGAGACATCAAGGAGGTAAAGATAAGATTGTATAGTTAGAATAATGGTAAACTAATGAACATTTGTGCATATGATTTTCAACAAAACATTTGACTATTTACTTTGTTCTTGTCTGTTTTCCTCTTACAGCAGAGCTCTAAGGCTTATAAGAGGCATTCCTCGATTATTCCCTCATCACATCTGTTGGCCGAAGTTCAGGAGACGATGCCGAGCCTTGATGGAGCAGGCTTTGAACCCGGTCAGTATTTTTACACAGTTAGACTGATGAGCTCTAATTTTTTTTTCCATCTGATAAAAAAAAAGCTTCTTCTTTCAGGATAGTATGGTTTTCCGTATTACTGTAAATGTTAACCTGTGAATGATTTAACAATGCTGCCAATTTGTGTACCAATTTGTGATGTACATAGGTTTAAGATTTGATAGAACTTTATTGATCCTTTTGGGGAAGTTTACACAGGGAAATTAAAAAAAAGTAGCCATAAAGTAACTTTGTTTAATTTTAAAAGGGTTAATTATTGTGCACTTAAATAATCTTATAGAGTCATATGATAAAACTGATAGATAGAAACAAAAAAACAGACAAACAAACAAACATTCATGATAAAAATCTGTGTTTCTCCAGCACTTAACTTGTGAGCCAAGTTGATGCCAAAAGCAGCTCAGATTTTGAGAGTTTGTCGATCATTGGGTCTCCAACAGGAGTTTTATTGTCTCCAAACTCCAAAACAGACAGGTCCAGTCATTCAAACGAGTCCAACACTAAAAACTGGATTTTTATGTTGAAAACGAGAACCAGCCTGGACTGCTAGCTAAACTGCCACTACTTGACATCTGAATAATTTGGGATTTTTATAAGCGGTACAGGTTTTCTGCAAAGTCCTTTACCTATTGGCAAGAGACAAACCTGCTAATGAAAACTGGTGCAGACACTGGATAAAGCAGTTTCAGGTCCAAAATTAGGGTTTCTTTTATGCTCTTTGACAAAGTTTTGGGGGCTTCAAGCTGAGCTACTGCTAACTAGCAAACTTCAATCTTTTGTTCAAGTTTCAGGAAGTGGCTGATGTTACCTGTATAGAAGTAGTCTGATCATTTTTGAGTGACTGTCTTGTTTATTTAATTGTGGAGTAATGGGCTCTGTTCTATCCAAATCCTCCTTACATATAAATGACATCCCAATCCAGCATTAATTATTTTTTGTTTCCCATTCAAACTGCAGGTAACTGATTTTACTTTTATTTTTTTCTCTATTTCTAGCTGATCAAGTGGATTCACAGACCTTCAATGGAGTTTTGTCATCAAGCATCCCTGAAGCTGAGAAACCCGCTGAAGGAGTCCTCCGTCGTTACCAGCATAACACCATCACTAGAGTCCAGCTCCGACATCCCCGACACAAACTGTCCTCCCGGCCAATGAGCATGCCAGCGGAACAGATTCACAACCGAGGACAGGTGGACGAGAACAACAGCAGGAACAGCACCGAGCAGGAAGAAAGGAAAGGAGGAAGCTGCGACCAGTCCATCGAAGAGGTGGATGAATCTGAGAGTACTAAATCAAGAGCGGGGACACATTACCGGAGTACTTTCATCGACACCCAGACTTTACGTAGAACATGGGACAAACAGTACAAGCATGAAGTTGCTCCTAGAAGTGTCAAAATACTGGCCACTTCACCTCCAGAGAACACAGGAGAGGATGCTAGCGGCTTATCAGCGTCCATGCCGCTTACTTTCTCTTTTGGGAGCACTGTTAGCAACCTCTACCCAAACAGACCGTACACGGTTGCAGTGCGGCCCAGCAGGACTTTGAGACGGGAGGACAATGTGACCAAATACAACCCTGTAACCACAGCTTTCAGGGCTCCCAGAACTCTCCAGCCTCCACCGGGGACCTTCTACAAGCCCCCACCGGGGAGCAAAGCTAAAACACTGCAGAAAATTTCTTTAGCTAACAGTGCTGAGGAGGAGGAGGAAGAGGAAGAAGAGGAAGATGAGGAAGATGAGGATGATGAGGATGATGAGGATGAGGATGAGTTGGGAATTGAGATAGAAGTGTCTGTGGATGAGCCTCTAGAGGAAGAAGCAGAGCATGCGGCCATGTCACAGTCTCCCAGCTCCAGCCCTGAGGAACTGGGCCAAAACCAGGCCAAACCAGTTTACCCGAGACTGAGGCCCAGACGCCTGCAAGAGGTGGAGCACCGAGAGGCTCACTTTGTGTGATGGTCTGAGAGATATTAGAGAGATAAGTGTGAGAAAGAATAAAAACGTCTGCATGGACTCAGCAGAGACAGCTTCAGATGTTGTGTTGACGACGTTGAACTGAACCTTTTGGTCCTGAAAAACAAGATAGACAAACAAGATGCACTTAAAAGGCTGTCATTTTCTATATGAATCACAAATGTTTCATTTACCAATCAAATGCTCAGTACACTCTGGCAGCAGGTCAGAATATTTAATTTTTTCAAACTGTGCAATTACATTGTGGTTGAGTATTTTGTACAAAGTTCTTCCAGGCTCACTCTATGTTGATGTATGTTAATAAACCAAAAAAGAGACAAACTATCTTCAAGTTGTTACAACAGTGCAACGAGACAATGTACCGTGCACTAATTTGACGTTGTTACTATGACACAAATCTCCTCTATGTCCTGTTTTACTGTGGATCTGAATGTTTTAACCTGTTACATTTTGAGTAAAAAGAAAATTCATTTGCTAATAACTTGTATAAAAAGCAGTTTTATGACCTTTGTTACAATCCGTGTGGGGTATCTGTATGACATTTGAAGCAGCAGTTGCAAAGGGTTTACTGTGCATCCACTTGTTTTTATACAGTTGAACTTCAATGTCTTCAACTTTCACTGATCTGAAAGCTTTTAGAATTGCCACTGGATTGTATATTGACATTATCTTTCTTATTATAAGATAAAATATACATTTCTTTATAGCCAAAGCTTTTTTTTTTAACTGTATAGTTTTATCAGTTACCTAAACCTTACAGGTTCCATGTAAGTAATTGGAAGTGCATCATGTATTTAAATGCTATCTGATTTTCGAGCTAATGTACAAGTTAAACAGAATGTTGAAAAGTTCAATGTAAAAACAGGTACATGAGAAAACACCCTTTTGTAACTTATTAAAATATATTTGACAAAAATGATCTGACATTTGATGGCCTTATTTAAAGGGAATTATGATGGGGCTGCATGTCATTCACAGAGATGGAAGCCTATTATCACTGTGTTTAATGTGAGTGTTTTTTACTGTGAAAGTCTTGTGTGTAGGAGATAGATGCACTTATCTGTGTGTGTTAGCCCCACCTCCCTGAATACTCTGAGTGTGTTAGTGACAGAAGGCAGGAGTGGGCTTCTATATGTATGTGTAAGCAAAACACTGAAATACCAGATGAAAAACTGTACTGAATGACTGCATTTTACAGCACTATGAGGGCTGTTTGATACTGAAGAGAATTAGGGCCAATGGTCAAAAAGAAAGGTCTGTTATGTATCATTATTATTACTATTATTACTATAGGAAAAAAAGAAGATTTTTCAGATTACAGTCAGAATTCTGCCTAAGGGTTTTTCCAATCTCTCAGGCAGATTGTTTGAGGATGAAGAAATTCAACTGACATCATAGCAGTTTGCTGATATCAAGCAACAAGTCAGAAACGCTGGCTACTCTACAGATGAAAAAATCTGAGGCCTACGTAGCTAGCTAGCTACCTTCAGCAGTCTCAGTGTGAGTACGTGATCTAACCAGTAAAACAAACCAACTGACTGACCAGTACTTGTTTTGTTTCTTTTAAGAGATTTAATGGTAGTATAAAGAGATAAACAAGCCTCTATTTATTGTTTCAGACACACCGCAGATTTGAGGAGATTGTTGAACAGTGAAACGCAACTTTGAATTTTTTTTTTCCTTTTTTAGAAAACTAATAAAAATAAAATAAAATAAAATAAAATAAAATAGATCCCAGGTTCTACAACAAGGCAGATTTAATAATGTGTTAATGTGTAAAGGTGGGCTTCAGTATATTACATTATTTTTTTGCAATGTTAGCTTTTGCAATAAACACAAATGCAAAAACTTGAGGGGTTTTTTTGCCGTTAAATCAGGAATTGGAAAATTACTTGAACTTCAGCTTATATGTCTCTTTTAGATCATGGTCATGCTTTAAAACTAATCTGATGCAGACAAATAGAGTTTTGGATGTCAGGTAACCTCAGATTAACTGATAATGAGTTAAACATGCAGGTTATGTGTTAAATATAAAGAACTGCAAATATCCTATAGAAACTGTGGTTTTAACTACTCTTGAGTATTTATTAATTTACCTCACCTTTTATTGGTATCACAATATTGCACAACTTTATAGCACATCACGTCTTCTTCCATATTTTTTAAACATATTTAATAGTAGAAGACTTATCCAGATGTGATTTACAATAGGAGAAAAGTTTTTTCAGAGGTAAATAGGGTTAAATTCAAAGATTATAAAGAAGAAAACTGTCAATTTTTTAAAATGTTTTGGTTAAAAAAAATAAACTAGCACCATAGCTTTTGTAGCTTTTGTTTGTCTTTAACAAAAAGTCTGTCTCTGTTGGGGTCCATATCAGACACTTTCAATAATAACCTACGTGGTTGATGTTTGTTTTATAATTTCTTTCTTTTTTTTTGTTGTTTTCGCTCTTCCTTACTCATAAAGCTCAATGTTAAATCCATCAATATCAGCAGCTGATGAAGATCTGTGAATATCAAATCCGACACAAACTTTGTCCAGGTGCTACCCCTCTCCTGTCGGTCATTCAGACCCCCAAAATTTCTGGAAAATCAGTCCATTGTTCTAAAAATAAGAAAAATAAAAACAAACAAGAGCATTACCTGGGTGGACTGATTCCATTTGAATACAAAGAGCTGCTTGGTCTAGTTAAATGTGCAATAAAGATTTGCATATTTGTCACCCCGCCAGCGTTGGGATTATAACAGACGGAGGGATTATACGGTGTAACCTGGGCCTGGGGGTTAGGTCATGTAGAGCTCTACAAATGGATAAGAGTGTTGGCAGTCTCCCAGAAGTGAGAAAGGAGATTAAAGCAATCTGCTTAACTATTCACAAGGTCTGGATTCTCACTGTGTTAGCAACAACAAGGCGTGTCGGTGGGATATGTGGTGTTATGCTTTATCTGTTGCACATCAAAACCCTCTCCAAGTCCTCCTCTGAGGTAAGTGATTTGTCATACTTGATAATAGCCATGTGTTGATATCCAGTGACAGTAGAATATTAGATACAGCAGCTGTAAAAAGCACCACGCCTCTTACAGGGCTGGATTAAAGTAAGTCTACCTTCATGCTCAGCAGAGACTGTGAGGTGTTTAGTGCTTCTAAATGCTTTCAGTCATAATAATAAAAAGAAAGGGAAGACTGAAAAAACTGTTCTGATCATGTAAAGTGTCTTGAGCTCAGTAAGCTTGTTACAGGACTAACTCTAACCTTCACATTGAACACTGGCTGAGTGGATGAATAGACACCTTTATGAGGAATCTACCGAGGGGTTTAATTCTCAAACTGTCGCTCTCTTGATGCAAAGTATCTTCGATCATTATTGGTGCATTGTTTCTCAAATTTGATATGGCTTCATTTAGCTCATTAAGAGCATTATGTGTTGGTTGGGTGCAGGTTTGTCGGCTGGTGCCAGCCCCTGCGGGGGTAAAGAGGAGGAGTCATGGGGGCAGGAAGACAGGTCAAACTCCTGTTGTGGAAAAACTGGACCATACGCAGGAGGCAAAGGGTAAAATCCATTCATCAACAGCATACAACACCATCTATTTCAGAGTAACCAAGGGTTGAATTGCTTTAAAGGTGCAGTGGGTCATCTATAGGGCTTTCAATGATACAGACTTGGTATAGAAATGAAATCATCATTTAGATTTAAGTATTTTTTCAGTATTTTGGCTGAAATATGAAAACTGAATATCTTCTACGAGTGGATTCCCTTCCAGGATGGCCACCACCTTGCACCATCATGTTTTTATGGTAGCACAGAATAAACATTAACAAACTAGTACCTACTTCTCTATGTAGTGCAGCACCGGTGGTTGGGATGTGAAAAATGAAAGAGTGGTCATTGTTTTGCACAAAAGACTTTGTATTGAGAAACATTTAAAGCACACTGTACCTTTAAAGTCATTCTTGGATGATACTGATTTTTACTGATAAGCTTTTTCTGAGTGGACAGGCTGTGATTAGTTGCATAAATTCTAAGATAAACTTGCTTAGTGCTACTTGAACCCCTGCTTTTGATTTGGCTCAAATTTTATAGTTATTGAATTGGATATGGATCCTATCCAGTCCTCTCCTCATTTGTGCTGCAACTTTCCCTGAAGTCATCAAAATCTGGCCTGATTTTTTTCTCATATTCCTGCGGACTGACTGACTAACACAGAAAAACAATTTGGACAACAAGTCTGCATTTTTTGGGCAAATGAGCTTAGAGTATAATCTTCCTCATTCACAACCATGGATTGTGGGGAAAAATGTGTTGTTATAAAAATGTCAACAAAAATAATAATAATAACTAAATGTAGAAAAACTAAGTTTCTGTGGAAATCGATGAAGTTTTGGCTGTGATCTCTGTCCAGGTGCGTTTTTTCATGGAGATCATGTGGCCTGTGATGCTCTTTATGGGACTAGTTTGGCTTCGAAGAGTGAACCCACTTTACCGTCAACATGAATGTAAGAAAACACCACAGAAGTATGAGAAACATTTATACCCACAGAAATATGACGTCCTGTGTGATCTGCAATGTTGGTTTTCATGATTTTCTTCAGGTCATTTCCCCAACAAAGCCATGCCCTCTGCAGGGATCCTGCCATGGATCCAGGGAATCTTCTGCAACGCCAACAATCCTTGTTTTCAGTACCCCACCCGTGGTGAATCTCCAGGTCTGGTGTCCAACTACAACAACTCCATGTAAGAACCACGTGTAGAGCTGTTATAGGGAAGTCATCATGAGCTAAGGGATGTGTTCTGGGGTTAAAGGATAGCGTTATGTAACTGAGTTAAACTGAGAAAATGTTTGAATCTTCCAGTTTAATGTTTAATATATTTCCTTTATTCCTCCATCTGCATGATTTCTGTTTGGTCTTCCTTCTCAGATTGGCTCAGTTTTACTCAGACGCTCAGGAGCTTCTTTTCAGTGACCCGGCTTTTCTGCAGCTCGGTTGCCAGTGGAATGAGCTGAACGCCATGAGTAACTTCATGAACTCCCTACGCACTCATCCTGAACGTTTTGCAGGTCAGTGCTTCAGCCTTTCAGCAGCACCCTGCACAGAAATCTCTCTCCGTAGATGATCAAGTTCAGGATGAATGGATGGTGTTGCAGGTGTGCAGTGAGCAAGGGGGAAAAGTGAGGTGGAAGTACGATGGTGTTTATGGGTAATTACAGTTACAGGCACATATGTTATGTAAATCCTGTTATGGTGTATCGTACACTGCAAATGAAATGACATCTTGCACGAAACCCAAGGTCTTCTCCCACTTTATTAAAAATTCATTTTAGCAGAAAAGATGCCATCAGACTTGTGACTGATAATAAAGGCTGATGTTTTTCATATTTAGGGTTGACTTTCTGAGTTATGACTTGAGTTTATTTGAAGCCACATAAACAAAAGGATGTGTTACATCAGTTAGTAGTGCAGGCCTCAGATTTGTTACTGTGGTTAGATATACAGGATGTAAGTGCAAAGATAATGTCAGTCTCTGCAGAGACTTCAGATATGTTGTGGTTCTGAGTATTTAGAGTTATTTTTGTGTCGTGCTTGTGGAGAAACTGTTTGAAAACTATTTAAAAGAAGGGTCACGCTTCATTTCTTGCACCTGCATGATTTTTCTGTCATATTTTGTATCAGTGAACTCTTTCGTCCAAACTAGCTTTGTAAACTGAGAGAAACAGTTGAGGGAGGATCTATGGCTCAGACTAGGTTTTATAAATGTTACATCTGTGACCGTCAGAATCAAGGTCTCAGTCTGTATCAGGCCTCAGTCATTTCTCGATCAGTCTGTCTGTGTTGTACACGCTGTAACAGGATTACATGACATGGGTTTAAGAAGGCCCGTAAGTTAATCTGCTTATTCTCGCCACCACCGCGTTGTTTATTTGGTGGGAAAGCAATTCACGTGTTCCCAGTCCATACTGAGCTGACCCTGAGGGACACACAGAGGAACACTGATCCCATCTCTGGAGACTCCATGCAAACATTTCTCTGTAAATATATATGTTACATGTTCATGTGTAGTGTGTATATTTAGCATGTTTCCCTGCTGGTAAAATAAACCTCTGTGATGGGAGAGAGACAAGGCCGAGAGCATTCCAGCCTGTGAGGGATTCGGTCTGCTCGCTCTCTGTGCTGCTGCTGCTCTCATGGAGAATGGTGTTGGTGGACAAAAACTGAGCTCTCACAGATACAGATCCACATTCCTCTTAAGTTCCCATGAGCCCCCAGGGGAGACAATTGAATAATGTTTGAGGAGTGAGTTATGTAAGTGAAGAAAGAGACTCATCGTAAATGGTTGTATCAATCAGAAGATGTTTAAGTGAAAGTGTGCATTATGTACAAGGTCTTTGATCATGAGCAGGTTAGCGTGTGAGTCTGTGTGGAAAAAACATTGTCTGTTCATGTAGAGCTCGTGTTGTATGATCTTTTATCACACAAAGTAACTTAGCTTTTTTTTTAAGGGTACATTTTTGCTGAGAGTTACAAGACAAGATCGGTTCACCAGATGTTTCTGAACAAAGTCAGCATTTTTTTAATGTCAAAAATCAATCAAGTCAGTTTACATAGCATCTTTCATACCAGTCAAATGCCATCCAAAGTGCTGTACAGTGATTGAAAAACATGAAAAGTATAAAATGATGAAAAAACATGAGACATAAGAAACAGAAACAGATGTGGGAATAAACCACTGCGCACTTGTAACAATATAATTTAATAGAAAAGAGTCAAAAAAGACTAAAAATAGTTAAATTGTAGAAGATTAAAACAGCTTTTGATAAATAAACACTAAACACAGCAATAAAAAGAAGGGGCTAAATAATAATAGATTTGAATCAGTGTTCTGTAGAGCCGTGTTATTTCTTAACATCTCTGTGTCATCTCTGTCAGTAAATGGGAGTATGGGGTTATTAATATTCTACAATACAATAACAATACATCTTAGGATATGTATGATAAGACAGTATAGCGTATTAAAATGTGTTGTTGTACTTATCTTTGTTGTCTCCTTGGTTGTGCAGCTGTTTTGTCAGTGTGAGTTGCTTTTCAATGTGCTAAGTTATAAACCTGGTGTGACTTGTGAAAAATAGAAGTTCAGTATCTGTGAGTAATGTGTGAAGTTCCTCCATCTGTGGTTAGCCAGCTGCTTCCTGCATGTTTGATTTCCATGTAACTTTGTCGCTCTCTAAAGAGCTGCTTACAGTCTTTGACTCAAGTATGGCCATGATGGGAATATACTCTTTTGCTCCAGCCTGTTTACTAACCGTATTAACCCTTTGTTGTCCATCACAGAAATACATCCTTACATCTTTGGCTCTATGTTCACATATACATCTTCTTATCTTGTGAGCTTTTGGACGACTATGGGACAGTGAAGATTTCAAAAGTTCCTTAAGAGCAGGGCTTGGCTAGCTTCCTTTCTTTCCTCCTTTGCCCTTCTTCTTCTTTTCTGTCTTTTGCTTCTTTTTCCTCCTCTCTCTTCCCTCCATTTACTCTCTTTCTGGATAAAACAGTCTCAGCCCTTCCCTCTCACCCACTTGGCCTGCTCTCTAGTTGGCGTTCGTGAACTTTGTCAGTCAAGCGGTGTAAGTTGAGGTTGAAACTGTTTTTTGTTTGGCAGGTAGAAACTGAATCATGCACAGACAGGCAGCTGAAACAACCAGACTACGACATGTTTCTTCATCCAAAATTCCAGTCTTCGTAAGGCTGTGGATTTGTTTCAGCTTGTCCTAAGCATGTGCCAATAACTTTATCCTGATTTGTCCATTGTTTCTGGTTTCCACTGCCTGACATAGGAGAAGGTTTAATATATGTAGTCTAAGTTTAAAAAGCTTGATGGGAACTTGATTAGTGTAATAACTCGAGTGCAAACACAACAAAAGACTGGCCAGACTTCACACACAGAGTTGAAGACAAGATGTTGTTTTCAGTTACGTCATCTATTTGTCTCTCTCTGTCTCTGTGTGTCTCTGCAGGTCGTGGGATAAAGGTGGAGTCGATCCTGAAAGACGATGAGCTGCTGACGGCGTTCCTGCTCAGAGACATCCCTCTGGCAGCCCCTGTGGTGAATCAGCTCCTCACTGCCCAAATACGGCCTGAGCAGGTACAAACAAACAGCACACTCATGGACAGACTGTAGAGTACCATATTTTTACCAATGACATCCAATCCAGATCTTGTTTTTGCTTGGTACACTGGCAGAAGATAAATGTGGCCTATGATAAGTCCAGTGAGGTTTTTAGATTTGAAATAAGGAAAAAAAACTGCCAAGATTGAACTGTTTGCAGTTTAATTCAATCCATCCATCAGTTTTTATGAATTAAGTTCATAATAATAAAGATTTCAGACTGCTGTAGATTTAGAAATGGTCTATCCTGGGCTTTACATACATTACAAAGGACAGACAGATATAAAAACCAAGGATTCTTTAAATCGTGAGATAATCGTGGAAGCCAAGATAATCCACTCCCCCATTTCCAAAGCATGGCTGAGTTTTAGGGCCACATTTTAGAGGGAAAACAGTCTGAGATTTAAAGAAATAAGTGGTAGATGTGTAATAAAAAACAATAATTTAAGAGGATAAAGTAAAAGACTCACAAGAATCAAGTTACCAACTTGGACAAAATAAGTTTTGACTTTAAGTTGTGTACACATACATTAATCTACAGATATGTCAGATGAGCAACCAGCTGCTCATACTAAAGTGAGGACTGTGGTGCAGCTTGTGAAGCTATACAGCAGTAGTTTCTCTGATAGATATCTAAATACGTGATTATGTATTTCAATATTACAGTCAGTAATAAGTATCAGGACTCTTTAAATGTTGCGCAAGAATGAGTCTATTCTGTAGAAAGCTGTCTCAAAGACAGCTTTACTGACAACAAAAATATGTTTTTTCAGTAATTACAACTTCATTCTAATCAATGTACAACGTTTTGCTTGTGGATGTAGACCTTATTCGTGTGAAGTTTCTATTTTAATTTGGGTAAATTCATGATTTTTGACTTGAAGACTTGGATGTCATACAATAACAGCTTTGATCTTTTAAATTTACTTTTACTTTTTACTTTTACTCAGCTTTTTAGCTGACAGTTTTCAACATTCAAACTTTATTCATGAGATTTCACAAAAACGTATTTTTTTTAATTTATTACTTTTTTTCTTGTACATTAACAACTGAATTCTCATAAATAAAAGACTCTTTTCTTTTCTTCATTTTTGTAAATTGAGACCTGGTTCTTTTGGTTTTACGTTTAAATTCTTATAAATTTACAGCTTTACTCGTCTCTCTTTAATATTACAGCTTCATCCATGTGATTTCATGAGACTTACTTATTTGTAAATTATTATTATTTCACCACGGCTTCCTTCTTTTACATTCACAACTTCAAACCAGTCTTTTAAGTACGTTTCTATAGCAGTTTTTCTTTACAGCTTTATTCATATGTATTTTCATCATTTTACAACTTAATTCTTGTAGGATTTGAAACTTTACTTTGATAAATGTTAAACTTTTTCTCAGAATTTTGTGTCTTTTTTTTCACAACAGCATGGCTCTATTCTCATAATATTATGACTATGCTTTCATAATTATATGGCTTTGTTCTCTGAATATTCTGGCTTTACTTATTATTTATTTTACAACCACTGCATTCTCAAAACCTCAGATTTCTATTTATCCTTAACGTGACCCTGATCCTCTGTTGTTTCAACATCCGCTTTTGGGTGTTGGGTTTGAAGAGCACAACCACACTGAGTTGTTGATCATCATCCAGACATGTTTGATTTTATATCGTACATAACACATCAATGTCAACAGCAGTTCTTCTGTTACAGAGGAGGTTTTCGACGAGCTGAGACTTGTCTGTTCTCTCTGTCCTCCGTGGGAATGTCTTTTAGTGTGTGACATATTGACTTCAGGTATGTTGTACGGATCTGATGCTGAGCAGTAAATCAGGCTGTAATAAATCTCCCTTTGGCAGTTTACAAAGTGCTAACACAAATAAGTTCACACATTTTTCAGACACCAGTGGCTCCTCCTGGGGTTAACTGTGTCGCTGCAGTATTCTGTGCGGGTATTCTGTGTGTAATCCCAGTTATAGCAGGTTTGAAAGCTGTCCCAGAGGTTGGGCTGCATGCTTAAGTTTGTACCTCTTATGTAAGTTTTGGGGGAAGTTTCAAGCACGAGTGAATCATCAACTTTGACAGACTTTTTCATGAAATGGAATCAATGCTGTGTAGTTGCACAGGTTTCTGAATGAAAGTAACCTTCCATTTACCATGCCACAGTAGTCTATTTTGCTTCTCAACAGCTACAGAGAGCTGCTGTGCTTAAATAAAGTGAAATGAAACTGTTGACTAAAAAGGGGAGATAGCATCACATAAATGTTGTCCAAAACCATGAAATTAAAACAATAGAGTCGATTTCATGGGATCTTTTGGACAGTACTCTGACTTGTGATGGGGAGATTTCGTTCTCCTTCTCAGCTGCTGCCAAAGTGACTGAGAGGGTTGCCCTAATTAAAGGATCCACAGTCCGATCCTGAGCTCCTCAAGTCCGCATGTCAGGGTGTGCTTTGCCAAGATACTGATCCAAAACTGCTCCTGAAGCTGGGTCACCAGGTTTAAGTGTATGAGAAGTGGATTAGATCCTGAAGAGCAGAATCTGTTCTGATCCAGTCTGGTGTGTTTGACCAGGTCATTTTTGGTGTCCAACAAAAGGGCTTTTCATCTACCTTGTCATGATGTTTCATTTTCTTCGTGCAACTTTCCATGGTTGTATCTTGTCTCCTAAAAAGAAGCACAACACTTTGTGTTGTAACATTTTACAGAAAGCCTTCCACTCGGTTATCCCGTTATTGTTCTTAGCAACTATGATATCTTTGCCATCAGAAATCTCTGAACATGTGTGGAGCCCCTCCTGATGGTCAAACCCATTCTTTCCATCCTGGCTGTTCAGTTTGTGCAGTCAACTCTGCATATCCACGTATTTTATTTCATACACATCTTCCGCTGAGTCCTCTGAGGGTACTAGCAATCTTTTTTTAAAACATGTCCTGCATAGTGTAATTTGCTGATGTTGGAAGTTACTCTGATGCAGGAAACAGACCAAATCTGCTGACAAGTCAACAGATGATATCACAATGCAATGATATCAATGTGTATCTTAAGTACTTGTTTATAACCAGCCTGACCTACATACACTTCCTTTATTTCTGCCAAGTTTGCCTCAGGGGTCCCAGACCTGCATCTAAAGGACATCGCCTGCAGCTTGACCCTGCTGGAGCAATTCCTCATCTTCCCGAGCCGCAGAGGACTCTACGCTGTTCGACACGCCATGTGCATCCTCCCTGCTCAACGGCTCCAGATCATTGAGGACAAGTTCTATGCCAATGTTGACTTCTTCAAGCTCTTCAAACTGGTCAGTGTTGGCTTGGATTAAGAGTGCTCATATAGATGATGGTTTTTAAAGGATTAGGGGACTGTTTCAGTCGAAGATACAAGAATAAATATCTGCAAAGGTAAACATAGCAACTATCTGAGCCAAATTAAACTCTCATTAGTGACCTATAATGTTGTGGAAATGGTGAATGACAGCGCCTAAACCCACGCCTCTACTATTTTCATCATTCAAGGGAGAACTATGAGTTTCTTAAACCTTCTTCTCATCCGCCCTTTTGTTATTTTGGGTTCCTCATGACTAATAGGTTTAATTGTTATGAAAGATTGCTTCAGCTGGAAACTGTGAAAAGAGGTTGTTGCCTAATTTCTGACGTAGCAGCTCTACTTGCACTCCTCAAATCCTGTAGGCGTTTAAATATCATGTAGGAGTAGGGTGGTGGGGCCACTGTGGGAGGTAGTGCTAATGGAAAATGCAGTCTTATCCCCAATAAAAAACATCCGTAATTTCACCCAAAGTGGTCACCAAATCAACGTGACATCAAACTCTTGACAGAAGCTCATGAACGAACTCTGGTTCGCCGTCATGATGATGAAATTCTTAGTGTTTACACTCAGGTCACATTAACATTTCATTGAGAGGTCAACTATTGTCCAACTCTAATGATGCTGATAGAAACATCATATTTAAAGAGTGAGAAGCATTCATTTGACGTCATTTGGCAGAGTTGTTCATTCAGCTCTTGAATAGGAGAGGACAGTATAGAGCTGTGGTTGGATTAGCACCATTTGGGATGTGGCCAATTTAATTATCGTATTTACAAAGACCTTCAATGGCAGCTCACTGAAGTCTGAGCCAACAGCTGGCCAAAGGTCTTTAGGTTAAGCTGGCATTGGACACGGGAGTATTTGGCAGGATATGACATGTATAAGACAGTTATAAACGCAGTAGGATGCTGATAAATCCATTAATGTGATTTATATGTGAATTGATCAGATTTTATAGTTCAAATGAGTTTTATTGGGGTGTGAAGCTGCTGATTAGTGTTTTTAAATGATAACAGCATTTAATGGTCTACACTTCTGCAGTTCATGTCTGACTCCACATCAGGTGTTTGTACTCGGATCACATCTGAATTGAGATTGAACAAGCTCACACAGGTCTGTTATCCAGCAGTTTACAGCCAGAGAAACAGATAAACAGCTGTTAGTATATTTACAAGAGCTCTGACTCACGGATGTTTCTCAGGAACTCAAATGAAATAGAGTCTGAATCAAACCATCAAAACTGGACCCCAGGCTTTTTAAAGAGCTCTGCATTTAATAGGGATGTGTGCATCCAGTCGAAAAAACATCACCACTCTTGCCAGGCAATAGAATTACTCATCAGTTTGATGACGACTACCACCTGGATGTACAGAAACGTGGGTCACATGACAGCTGGTGTCACAGCACAGTTTGGCATATTTGATTCAGGAAAAGGAGATAAGGTTGAATGAAAGTCGTTTCTAAGTGGCTCCACTGAAGCAAACTGTTACACACACAGCTGGCATGTAGATGCTAACATGCAGACACTCTGTTAAGCTGAATGAAATAAATTGTGCTCAATTTGGACTTTTTAAAATTTTTATCCGTAGTTTAGATCAGTTAGGTAGTTGGGATTCAAATCCACTTTCAATCAAACAGCGAGTTGATCACTGCTCAACATCTGTAGAATTTGAAGACCTCATGTCTACAAGTCATTTATTCAAAAAGGTAGAAATGTTTACTGTAAAGACATTGTAACACATTTATTGCTGGTTAACTATATGATTAAAGCTCCTATGAGGAACTTTCAGTTTGTCCCAATTTTGGCACCGCCTGCGGATAAGACTTTGCTTATCTTGTCCTTTACATGCTTTAGTGGCGACTTTTGACAAAAGAAATCTCATCCTGTTGACTTGTCACAGCCAAACATGTCGCTCTTGTGAATATTTTATGAGGAAAAATTAAAATTATTTGATCTAATTTCTAATAGGTTTATTTTCTTTTGGTTGTCACGTAAAGGTAATATCAATATGACTCTCAATGTATTTAAAAAATTTACAAAACTAGGATATTTAAACCCACAACATCTGTTTTGGGGCGCTCAAAGGTAAAAGTTTTAAACTATGTTCCTGCACGATAACTTCTTTTGTGTTCAGCAATGTGCAGTTTAAATGAAGATGTGTAGCTCTATTATCACTGTGCTGCCAACTACCCATTTAGCAGTCAACACCAGTTGATGATCCTAAATTGAATCACAGCTGTGAGAGTTTTATATATCTATGAATCATCTTTTATCAGTACATCCTGCTGTCAGGACTGTTTTTACTGGGTTTAGATTGTTTTAAATAGATTAGACTTTTTGAAGCTTTTTGCTTATTCCTGTCTGAGCGACATTGGTGGCAGCTGAAAAAAGATATCCTTAAATTTTCTTAAGTCTGTGGAATGTACTAATGTTGTTTTGTTCTGTAAAAATACTGGATTGCAAACAGTTCAAAAGAAAACACACAATGACGTCCAGGCTTTTTTTTATCCAGGAGGGACTTTCTGTCTTTACTAAGTGCTCAGTGATGCTGAATCCATATCTCTGAAGAGGAAGGATGTCTTCTCTGGAAGTTCTTGGCCTTGGCCTCATGTGCTTCCTGAACCTTTAGCCTATTGTGTGGTGAGCTGTCTGGAGGATCTCTGTGCACACTAGCAGATCCTTTAGGGACAAGAATACCAGCAGATCAGATTCAAGGGAAAGATATTACTCATTAATGAGGAATCTGGTCCACCTTTCAATCCTTCTTCTGCCTCTCTGGGGTTTTCATTTTTAATTACAGAGCCAAACTTTAAACAAACAGTTTGGTTTGTTGTCAGTAAATATATACAGTATGACAAACATTGGTAGAAAAAGAAAGTGGGAAATTGTTTAGATCATTTCTGGTCAGTCTGCTGCTTAAAATGCCTTATATAAGCTCACCCAAAGAGCAGAGGACACCAAGAACATTTCTGCATCAGGAAGAAATCACTTTCACAGTGATGTTCTTGTGAGAAATAAAGTGCAGCATGTTGACAGATTTCCAGGTGAAAGTTAAAACATATTTTTAGTTTTAAGATGATGTATTTGTGTTTCTTTCCAGCTTCCGCTCGAGATGGGCAAAAAGTCTAAAGGCATCGACATCCGCTCGTGGGTTTGGGTCGCCTCTGCAGTCTCGGACAAACTGAGAAAGGTAAGACTCATGGCTGACACACGGCTTCAGTCCAGGTCCATTCAAGAGTTCACCGCCCTCTAATTTTAGCCGCCAGGAAACAGTTGCTTCCTCTTGCCTGAGTTTTTACGCAAACACAGACGGTGGGGGATATCATTTAGTGCGTATGAGGAAGGCTAAATCCAGAACAGGCCTCGTTAGGCTCGAAAACAGATACATCATCATTTCAGGAGAATCCCAATGAAAACAAAACAGTGAGGCTGCAGGGACAGGTGAAGCCTGTGGATGTGGAAAAGGTGTAACTTCAGCACTGATGGATTGATCTGTTTGTGGTGTCAGATTTAGCTCTGTCAGTGTAACACCCCAGGGTCAGTTTAAATAGTTATTCTGACTCATGTACCAGCACTTTGTCAGATTTATCATTATGCAACCGTTTACAAATCCTTTGTGGTCTACCTGCTCTTAAAACATCAAGTGTGTGTATGTGCCTGGTGTTACCGTTCTCTCTGTTTGTTGTGGATGTTTCCACGAGACTTTAATTGTGGCTGACAGTCCCACATCCTGTTGGCAAGACTCTAGTCTCTTTGTCCACAATGGACAGTCTGATGTCGAGACAGACTGCAGGAAGACACTGATTCAGTCATTTGCTTCTTATATCAAAGGAGGAATATTTCAGTGAAAACAAAACAAACTAGAGTACAGCCTCTCATTTCCGTACTTTTAGACAAAAACTTAGAGGGACAGACAACACTAGAGAGAGGATTCCTTCATCAACTTTTGGATCCAGCACTGGATCTGTGTAACACATGAACTAAAGAGAGAGAAAAATGACTGAGGCAGACATGGACCAGCATTTTCACCATAGTTTGTGACTTACACAGAATTCAGGCCAGAGCAACATTTGCACATGAGCTCTGAACAGCCCAAACCTACATTAACCAGCAGCACAACACTAAAACACTTACACAATTGATTGAATTTCAGTTAAATCTTTAAACCAATTTATTTACATGAATTATTAACATAAAGACACACACTAATGCCAACCTGCTGAACTAACAAGAAGATCCCTCTTTTAACTAGACAACCAGTGTTTGCAGACGTTATTTAGCTGTTTAACTATTTTTTGTCATCTGATTCATTTGTTGTCTTCATCAATAAGGATATTTCTACTTCTGTACTTTATTGCAGATCAACAATGCATGTTTCATTGTTGTTTCAATGTTTATTTCCACAATCAGTGATCTTGTCATCCCTCCTGTCACCTTGTGCGGCATGAATTTCTCCTGATGAAATGCCAATCTTTGTTGTGCATGTGCTGTGATTTTACTTAATGATTATGATAATAATAATTTTATTTACATAACACTTTAAAAAACAAGAGTTTACAAAGTGCTTTAATCTGCAAAAACAAAGAAAGATAAAAACAACAGAACAACAACTAGAGAACACTTGGAGGAAAGAGCCTAGACAAGACTAAAACCCAGACTACATGTCCTATGGAGACATTGGCAATAAAAATATTATAAGTAAATTAAATTGAATTAAAATCGGTGACAGACATTAAAGTTTTCATGAGTGTCACGTGAGCTGGGATGTCATTAAAACAAAGACATCATAAGAACCCATGACACCCAGCCAACAAAGGAACCCAACCTCAAAAACCTGAGACCAAGGGGACTGAAGTTCAGAGACGCATGTAAAAGAGAGGGAATAAGAGCGAATAACATTAAGAGAAGTCCAATTGTCCTGCTTTTGTTAAAAGCCTTGATAGTCTGTCAGCATTTGGTCATACTTATCTCATTGTGTGACTCTAGAGGGGTGTACCAAGATTGTTTTGACTGGGGAGGCACAGCTTCAATCCTGACATGTGGATGGCCAAAGTGTGTGCATTATTAACCGTTTTTCTGTCAGTCTTCACTGTTTGCTTTTATAAAATACTGTCATTAAATTGTTGAAGAGATATAATATTCCTGTGTATGAGTTTAGTGTATATAGTGATGATAATAGGTAAATGTGTATTAGAGAGTCAAATGTTAACGTGTTTTTTTAGGTCTTATGATTTCCTGCCCATCCAAACCTCTGAGCTCCACTGACACTAAACTGATTTTAATTTAAAGAGGCCAAATGAAGTTCTGTAAGACATGGTGTCACTTCTAATTCATTTAAAACAGTCATGGTGGTGAAAAAATGACCTTCTTTCGTTTCCACAGTTATACCAGAGAAACAGCTCCAGGGAGCTGCTGCAGGTGGTGACTCCTCTTCTGCAGAACAATCTGACCTTCCGGCAGGTGATGACTGCTGCCTCCAGCCTCATCTGTGGATACTCTGAGGGAGCTTTCTCCAGGGTCACTTCCTTCAACTGGTACGAGGACAATAACTACAAAGCTTTCCTGGGGATTAGCAGCGGGCGAACCCAGCACCAGTACACCTACGACAACAGCACCAGTGAGTAGACTGTACAGATGTTAGAGCAGATGTTACTTCAGTATTGCTTTTTGACCAAGTACCTCCTAGCCTGGTGTCACCACACCCATCAGTCAGCTCACTTTGACTTTTGCAGGTGGGTCTGAAGTTGTCATTCTGAAAGCTTTCCCACCAATTTGAAATACACCAGACCAATCATAGTCCTTTGTTTAGAAATGGGGCAGGTTCTGTTGGATGAGAAGCGCCACTTCAACCTTTTGGTAAACAACTCCTCAGATGGCAGCTTCCTTTGCAAAGTGCGCCATTGAAACCTGACATTGTGACCTTTGTAAAGCAACTGGAGTTTGGATTTCAAATGGATTCTGCTGTCTGCTGTGTGACACAGATGAGCATATCTTCAACTGGACAGCTGGAGGACTGTCAAGGAGAACTGGTCTACCAATACTGGGTTAGGTGTCTTTTTCCTGTAGCTGGAACATTGCCTCAAACTTTGCTTCATTTGTCTGAATGAGACACTAAAGGAGTGTATTCAGGTACTGGAATAGACCTTGAGAACATCAAAGAAACTGTTTGTAGCAAATCATTTGTGATTATGAATACAGAATTGAGCTAAAGAGACCCAAATGTTTTTATTACACCATGCAGTCAACCTATCGATTTCTGCCACAAAGCTGCTAGCTATGGGGGTCAGCTCGTTTTTGGGAACAGCCTCAAGTGGACATTTGGGGAACACTTTTGCTCCGGCTTCATTTTTGGTTTCATTTCTCAGCCCTAAAAGGAGAAAAATAAAGCTGGACAATCTAAAGCGTTGTCTGGATCAGGCTGTTGTTCATTCATTCAGTTCCTCACCTGTGATGTGTCTATTTTTCTGGTAACTTTTTTGAGTGTTGTCATTTACCAACTTTGATATGTGTATTTATAACATGTCTGTTCCTGCAGCTCCTTTCTGCAATGATCTGATGAGAGAGCTGGAGTCGAACCCTGCCACCAGGATCGTGTGGAACTCAGTGAAGCCCATGCTGATGGGACGGATCCTCTACGCCCCAGATTCTACGGCCGTCAGGCAGATAATAAGAAATGTAAGCAGACTTTAGTGCAAAAGCATAGTGTGGTCTATTATTTTAAAGAGTTAAAAAAATCCTTAACCTTCTTACTACTGTTTTGTTGTAAGTCCTTTGGTAAAGTCTTGCATTAGTGAAACATTCAAGACTTAAAATAGATTTTTTTCTGCTGTGTTTTAGATTCATTTCATACAGTATCAGGCTCCTTTTAGATGAGATGTGATGCATTTTTCACTCTCTAAAAAAGTGACAGTGACAGTGCAGTTTTGCTGTAAATACATTTTTGCAGCAGCACTAAAATGGAAAGAAATTAACTATTATAGAATAAATAAAAAGAACTGCCAGATTTATTTCTTATAGGATTCCTGTCACTTCTTTGTCATCCTTGTCTTTGATTTTTTTGGCACAAGTGGGTATTCTGCCGAGAACAAAACATCTCAGGCAGAAAGAGGATCAGTTTTCTTGGTGTCATGTCGAGGCCTTTGTGTGTGGATGTAGACCTGCTGGTCAAAGCCTCTCAGGGGGGCAGCGGTCATGGATGGTTTGGTAGCAATGGAAGAACACAAGCTGATCGGCTGTGGTGACTTCCTAACAGTCCTCTGGCGCCAGGGCTTTCTCAGTGTTATGTAAGCAGTAAGAATCTGTCCTGTGAGACACACACATACACAGACACACATAGACACACACACTGGTGCTTCCTGGTTCTTGACCTTTAATGCCCTCTTTGTTTTCCTCTTCCCTCAGATTGGGATCTTAATTGTGCTAAGAACGTAATGACAAAGGGGTTAATCTGTTACTTAAAAAGACTGAAAACATGACCTCTACAGCCTCTTTGTTCTCCTCTCTGTCACTTTGTCATGCATCAGATTGTTTTTCGAGGAAACGTTGTAGACTCCTGTTCAGTCCTGAAGCTCTTACCTGCACCCTGTCATCAGTGCATCACCAAAAATCCCGATCACATGATTTACATCTAAGTAAAACCACCAAACACTACATCTTTGCAAATCCATTTTAATATAGCAAACAGTTCTGGAGATTTGGCCAATATTAAGGTGAAATGGCAAAGCTTACAGTGAAGGACAGATACTTAGTTTTGTACTTAAGCTTTGGTTATTTATTTTTATATTTCTGGGGTCTAGGATCCAGTTGATTACTCCTGCCAACAGCTGAGAAACAGGCTGCATAACTCCAAATTTATTTATCATGGCTGACTGAGTGCAACCACTAGAACTTCTTGTTTTTGCCTGATAGCCTCAAATTTTTACTCTAACGGTCAAACATCTGCACAGAAACAAAAAGCAAACCTCACTGCGAAAGAAGAAAATATTTGTTTGGATACCTTAAGCAGTCTAAACACAGTCTCCAAGACCACCGGACTCAATCAAAATAATTGATTTTCAGAACTGTTTTTTGGTATAGATCAAATATAATATCCATAGATTAACAGACAGTTTTTCATCCTGTACAAAAACACAATTTCTTGCTTTCTTGTTTCACTACTTTTTTTTTGTCTGGTACGAGCATGAGAGGAATGTGTGTGTTGGCCTCACCCCTGCATGATCTGAGTGTGAAGGTGTGGGCTTCGGTGTTTGATTTGCAAAATAATTAAAAACAAGTCAAATAGATTTATGTGTCATGAGCCAGAGTTGAACAAAAGGAAAAGGACCCAAATGCAGACAAAAAAGGATTTATTTAAAAAGATCTAAATGAAAAGCAACAAAAACTTTTTTTCAAAATGTCCACGCACGTACGCCAAACGCACGCACGCACGCACACACACACACGCAGTGAACCAACAAGGACAGGGGACCATAGACACACTGTGAAACGAACAACAGGTGAGGCAAACGAGACACAAGTGAAACTCATGGGTGATTAATGAGGGAGGGACAACTAGGGAAGTAAAACCAGACTTGAAACACAGAGAAACACTGAAAACTGGTCTAAAAAAATAAAACACTGAGAACATGAGGAAAACAGGGTCCAACACAAACTAAAAACTCACAAGTCCGGACTACAGGGGAACAGGAACACTAGGGAAAATACACAAAATGCACTCAAATAAAACCAGAAGAAAACTAAATACATTGAACATATTATGACATTATGCTAACAGGGGTGATTGTTGTGGGCTTCTCCAGTACAAGCTGGAAAATACAGGTTTCAGTAATGTTATACCTGCACAGTCTGCATGATAAAGTGATAAAGCCAATGCTTCATGCAGTTCTTTTCAGTGAAGCAGCAACTGGAAATGCACTGGAAAGCACAAGCAAAGCAGGAATAGGAGGCAGTTTCATTCACTAAGACCCAGTGATATTAACACAGGAACTCTTCACATAACCTGCAGTGCTCACAGCTTGAGAACTGGCATACATAGGAGTTTACTAAAGTTTAAGTTAAGACCTTCCTGTTTTTTTAAATCTCAGTTTCTTAATAGTTTAAAATCAAACAGTCTTAACAAAGTAGCTTAACCCACTTTGAATCAGGCTTTGAATGAATAATGTCAGCAGAAATTTGTGTTATCTGGATACTTGAAGATTCTTTGTAATGTTTTAAGTCCTTGAAATGCAGAGTCATGTCTAAATAAGGAATGGGAAAGTTATATAGATCTCTCTCTTTTGGGACAGCTGGCCTTTGAATTTAACTGTGACATTTGTGAGTCATTGTTCACCTAATATACTGATCTGGATCTGATCAAACCCTCAGATAATTCAAGTCACACAACAACCCGAACAAACTCATAAACTGGGAAAACAGTAGACCAGCAGCTGGAGGGTTCTGCAAAGTCAAATCAGGTTTTTTTGTGTATAGGGGTGTGATAGATTTTTTTTAAAAAAGTGATATAACAGCTGTTTCTGTATTTAAAAGAGTTATCTTACTCCTATAAAAAGGTCCATCTCAGGCAGCTGAAATGAGAAAAGATTTGTCTTTGATATTTTTTACCATGCTGTCAAAATCTTAAGATGGTTTCTGTAATTAATAACTGTGCAGTAATCTTGTTTTTGCAGCATATGTAGATTTATGCAAAGTTAGACACAAAAAGCAATGAAACTTGGGCATCAGAAGGGAGCCCTTGACTGACCCTCCTCGCAGGAATTCACCTTATAGAACTCCCCTCCCTCGTCCTCCTCCTCTTCCTCCTCCTCCTCCTCCTCCTGCATGCTGTTTTAAACTGCCTGGGGAATGGGGAAGCGCTCACTTGTGGGAACCTGACTGGGATTCACTGGGCCAGCTGAATGCTTTCGGCCAGTTGTCACCAACGGCCCCCATTGTCACCCCAGCTCCATTGTCCCCATTGTCACCCAAAATCAGGCACACACAAGAGGAAGGCGTTTAATTGGGTGTACTCTTGAGGGCTTTCATCCCCCACTGCACATGACTGAGTACTGAAATAGCCAGCCTTTGGTATTTGCCACACAAAGCACTGTACCCACACACATCCAGGCTTTTTAACGATAAGCGTGCGGTAAATATTTGACAAATTTGGCACAGGGAGAGTTTGTTGCAGAGTTTTCTGACAGAGCCTGCGGGAATTCGGTGTGTGAGAATGTGTGTGTTGTCTTTGCAAAGCCTGTTTTCACAGAGGGTTTGATGTGGGAATGGTATGTAGCAGGAGATTAGGGGATCTGTGACAGTGTGTGAATTTCACTGTCTGAATGTTGTGTAAACACGTACACGTGTACACAGGCGAGACTTTTCCCCACTGAAAACTTCTCTTTCACGTTACTCTCTCATTATTTTTGCATGTTTGCCAATTTTTCTGAGCTCTTAAACCCACAGTTTTTTTCTTCAGGGTATATAATGTTCAAAGCCACCAGGGTCAAGATCCCTTGCTTAATGCGAAACTGAAAAATATTCAGGCACATTAAAACTGCTGATGGATATACAATATTTTTTCTCTTTTTTTATTCTTTATTTCGTGATTTCGACAGCCGACAGCATCACAGAACATAGCAAGGCATGACAGCCTCTTTGTGTTTATGTGTTGTTACCATACAGTCTATGGTTATTACTCTTAGATTTTGGTCATTATTGTCCCATTGCATAAAATTCTGTGATAACTTTTTTTCTTTCAAAATTCTTTTTATTAAGTTTTCATTGGATGCATTTCAACAGTACATGTCAGGGATTCACTTCAACACACATACAAAAGCAAATGAATAAAAAAGACAAATAAATCTGTAAATATCAAAGTAAAAACAATGCAAGTTAAATAAAATAAAATAACCATATAAAAGAAATAGAAAAAAATAAAGAAAATTAAATTAATAAACTAATAAAATAACTAATAAAATTAGATTAAATAAAAAAAAAAGGGGGGGGGGGGGCAAAAAGACACAAATACAAACAAAAATTCTGTGATAATTATTCAGATAAAAATATCCAAATACTACCATCTTATCGCTTATTGCTACTTTCTTTTAATTGACTTCTTCTTAAAACCTGTTTATATTGAAAAAAAAAAATCACCACAAGTATTTAAATATTCAGTCAGCCTTCACACATGCCCTTAACTTTTGAAATTTTCACATACTTTTCTCAGACAGGTGCATGTTTGAATGCAAACAGAGAGATTTTTTTCCCAGCATATCTAAACTTATAATTTCTGGTAAATTTCTGCAGTAAGTCAAGGTGAGCAGTTGGTAAGAAGCAAAAGGAATCATTCAGAAAAAATGATGGTAGCTACATCATGCCTTTGTGCCTGACAGGTGGTGCATGGTGAGTGATTCATACTCTTCTCACAGCATGTTCTTTTCCAGGCATACACTGATTCTGTCTTTAAGTCTTTTCACATGTAGCACTAATTTAAAGGCAAAATTTTCCACCATAATGTCAAACTAAAGTGAAGGACATGCAGCCAAAAGGCTTAGGGGCAGACTTTACTGAAACTTTTGAGTAATTTTAAAAATGTGTAGGTTAAAATGGTCATGTTCATCTCTCCTGCAGGCGAACGCCACCTTTGAGGAGCTGGAGCGGCTTAGGAGGATGGGGAAGGCCTGGGAGGAAGTGGCTCCTCAAATTTGGTCTTTTTTCCAAGATGGAGTTCAAGTCAAGATGATCCGGGTAGGATATTATTGTAATGTGTCTATATTGAAATTTGACAAGGAGCCATTTCAAATAAGCTCACTCTTTTGTAAATATTGTAAGAGACTGTATTACACACGAACAACACTTAAGTTGAAGTTAGAGCATAGCAGACTGCAGCAGCTCGTACTGCTATATAAAAACTATACATGGAAATGGACTGTAAGCTCTTTGGGACAGGACCCTCTTTTTGGGTTAATTTATAATTAACTAATTTATAAACACTGTGTCGGCATGAGCCCCACACCAACCTTCACCTGTTCCTCTCTTGTTCAGTGATATAAATAAAATATTGAATGAGAATGAAAGCATAAAAAAAAACTCTACTCTCATCTCATCTGCACTTGTCTGCTGAGGACACTGAGGTCTTTCTGAGTGTGCAAGACTCTGTTACAGTGTCACTTCCTCTCATCCCTTTCGGGAGGCTGATGGGATCTGAGCAGCTCCTTCAGGAGCTGAATGAGGACACCCTCGTTGCTGTCTCCTCACAGACCAATCTAACCAAACCTGAGTCCTGATGGTCCAAAACTCTCCAGGGTGTTTATTCAATCCTGATAACTGCTTAGTTATCAGAGACTCAAAAGTGTCTGTTGTGCATTCAGTACAGAGAAGAGCTATCTGATCCAGCAGATTATCAATCAATCAATCAACTTTATTTCTATAGCACATTTAAAAGAACCACAGGGGTAGCCAAAGTGCTGTACATTGTGACATAAAAACAAATAAAACAAGCAAAGAACGAGATAGAGCGAGCAAAAATACATAAATGCAATAAATAGATGAATATATAAATAAGCAGGCTCAAGGCAAGTGCTAAGATGAAAACAAACAAAATAACACTAAAATGTATTAAAAGCCAAGGAATAAAAGTGCGTTTATAAGTCAACCTTTTTGATGTGAACTACGTAGGGCATCATATCATAGTATACTCTGTCCAGTACTGTCAATATTTTGTAAAGTTTTAGACAGGAAAGTCAACACTTGGATTTACGGGCATGAGTTTTGTGTATTTAAGCATAAAAAGCTGAAATCTACTCTGTAAATCATCATGCTCCTGCACACCTGACCCTTAAAGGAGAGCAGACACACTGATTGATTTGATTCATGTCACACCTATAAATAAAACAGGAATTCAGTCTGCCCTCTTTTGGACATTTATGAAATAGAATTACATTCATAGTGTTGCTGAGCAGCTGAAGAAACTGCCTGTTTTGAATGTTGCCACCTGAAATTTACACCATAAATGAAGTCAGTCAGATGATATTTATATATTAAACATGTTGGGGACAAGATCAGTGAAGTCTGCACAAGGGGCGCCCCACCTGACACAACTGAACGTTCCAACTGAACGTTCCTTACAGAACTACTGATTGTGCCATACACACAAGACCCTGTGCTTAGACCATTTAGACAGGGCCCTATAAATTTACAGGGATTATAATTTACAGTATGCATGTTGTAAGTATAAGTATATTGTTATGTTAATCTCATCTTGTCTATAAATGCTTTCACTTAAAAAAAGTTGAATGTTGCATATTCCTCTTCCTGCTTTTTTGTTTCAGGACACAATCCGAAACCCAGCAGTGATGGATTTTATTGACCGTGCCCTGAAAAACACTCCGTTCACCTCTAAACACATCCTCAACTTTCTACACAACGGCCCACGAGAGGATAGTCCTCCTGATCTTCCTGATTTTGACTGGAGGGACATCTTCAACCTTACAGACCGGGTCATTCGGATGCTGAACCAGTACGGGGACGTGAGTGTAGCTTCGATCTTTTATCCCCATTTTTAAATTACTGGCCCCTAAGAAGTCTTTGGATCTGTGAAATGTTGATAAGTGTGGAATTATACTGACGAGTTAAAGGCGGCTCCACATTTCCAGGTGAAAATGAGGTGTCAGAGTAGTTTTTATCAAGTTTTCTACCTTTTCTCCCTCTGGACAGAAGGAATGTAGACTGAAAGTACCTCACCTGTAAAGGGTCAAGTTCTTGGGCAGACCTTTTCATCATATAATTGGATTTATCAATGGCTTTGTCTCTTGTTGATTTCAATTTTCCAAAAGAATCTACCGTGGCTGATGCAATGTGAGCTTTAAGATAAGCTCCCTTCAGTCTCTGCAATCCCCCCCCCCCTCCAGAGACACGGTGATCTGTCCAGGTGGGTGAGAGCCAGAGCGACAAACAAGCTGTCGAGCCTCTTTTTGTCTTCCACTGATGGAGTGGAGGGTAAAAAGAAAACATCACAAACCTTCTCCTGTGAGGGCTTCACACATTTGGAAGAGCTGTGCCTTGGAGACAGAGTTAAAATCAGGCCTTTCTCTGCAGAAGCTAATCAGGATGAGAGGCCTGTCACTCTGGGGGGTGACATGGGGGGCACTTGGGGCACTGCTGGGTGGATGGTTGGTGCTCTTTGTTTTTGTCTGAGTTGAAGCTTACAGCACTTGAGTGTGACAGAGAGAGAGGGAAGGACTGAGGCCGATTAGATACAGCTGTCACTCCACCCTCCGTTCTTTATGCGACCGAGACAATGACCGTGGGCTTGATGGCTGGTTGGCTGCACGTTGGTGGCATGCATGAGTATCCCTCCTCACTGCTGTGTTTGTAGGTGAATTCTTGGGTGAATTAAGGAGAGGCGTGTGAGATCTGAATAATTTGTTGGGCATGTTTAGTATCTATTTAAGTTTGCAAATGCCTATATGCGTGTATTCAGCACCATAAGCAGGGTGTGTATGTGTGATTTAGTTTGTAGAGATGTCTGAGCAGAGAAACTTGGAGGGTAAATTGTTTTGGATTGTTTCCCTTTGGACCGAGGCCCTCTCTGTTTGCATTAGTCTACAGTGAAAGGCTATATCAGACACGCTTTGCAGAGAAGAGACATCACGATGCAGATCACAGTGACTCGAGCCAATGTTTGTAACTTTGGAATATTCAGCTTTTGTTGGAGACTCAAGGTTTGTCTTGTGGTTGTCCACTTTTATTCACTGAAACTGTCAACAACAGAGTCCTTGTCTTTTGGTGCACACATTTTTGTGTGTGGAGAGCAGTCATGATTTTGGTGATCCTCTCATTTTTTCAGATTGTATATAGTGCAATTATCCAAGGTGCAGACAGAGAGAGGTGGATAGAGACAAACAACAAAAACAACAGCCCATGCAGACATACAGTTTAAGTCCTAATTATGATGGTAAAAACTGCAAATGAACCGTTCGCAAAATCCACAATTTAATAACAACAGACTGATCTTGGTATATTTACAGCAGTCAAAATCAGCAGGTCTCAAATAGGCAATTATAATTATAATAGTGCTACTGCATGCACAAACTAATAGACCTACATGCAAATCTGCAAGGTGCAGACTGATAAAGTCGATCTGAGTCATCTGGTTGAATTCCACTTGTTAATATGGCTCTTCTCCTCTGGTGCATTAATGGTATCCAGCTCATTACTCCTGGGCCATCACTAGGTTGATCTACTACGTCATGTACCAGAACAATGCAAACTCGTTAGAAAGAGGTTGATGTGTCAGAGAAAATCAGACAACCTAACAGCTTAGCACCTTTTCTCTTAAGTTCTTTACATCCCGTCTTCTGCGGTTAAGTTTTTATTTATTACTCAGCATCCTACAGTGCATTTATGCAGTATGCTCAGGCCAGTTTTTGGTCTGATTGAGACACAGGGGAAAAACTGCATTTTGAAAGTACTTTATAATTCGACTGCGAGGAATTTGATTTTGTGTAATTTCAGTCAAACCAACATATTTATATCTATTCTAAAAGCCCAGTTTCAGTCAGACTGATGCTGCAGGTTGGTTTATTTGAGCAGTATGTAAAAGTACAGACTGATTTATACAGAATCCCTCCCAAATAACTATGACGGATGAATCAATCTATGTGTTTATTTATCAAACAAAGAAGCCAAGTCTTGATGGCTCTTATTCAGCTCACATGAAGTGAATTAGGTTGTTCTTGTCCTAAAAACAGGCCAGACACCCATGATGTTTCTGTGGCTCGGCTTACACTGGTATGCTGTACTAACACCTGTCCATTTCTGTGTCTGTCTCCTTCACGTTTATCCTCCTCAGTGTCTGAACCTGGATAAGTTTGTGGCTCTGCCTGATGAGGACATTGTCACTTTTCGGGCCTTGGATCTGCTAAAAGAGTCAAAGTTCTGGGCTGGTCTCATCTTTGTAAACATGTACCCCTGGACTGCCAAAGTCCCGCCTCATGTTAAGTTCAAGATCCGGATGGATATCGATGCCGTGGAGCGGACCAATAAGGTCAAAGACAGGTCAGAGTCAGAGTCATGTTGTAAATTCTCTCCTCAGTATAATGGGGATTGGCTGGACACAAATTATGTTTATTTCTCAGGTACTGGGACCCCGGCCCTCGAGCTGATCCGATGGACGATCTTCGTTATGTTTGGGGCGGTTTTGCTTACCTGCAGGACATCATAGAGCATGGGATCATTAAAACCCAGACTGGGAAGGACTGGCCGCTGGGCGTGTACCTGCAGCAGATGCCCTACCCTTGTTATGTGGACGATCTGTGAGCTCAAATCCAGTTTTATGTAAAGTTCTATCAGACTGACTGCTGAGTTTAATTTAGTTGTTTTCATTTAAAGGTGCGGACATGATTTATTACTCTGTTCTTTTTTTTCTGTTGTCCTGGAGATGTGAGCATGATGTGCTGTACCGAAAAACAAATTCCACCATCTCTGTTGTGTGGCCATTAATAAATGATTTTGATTCTGATTCTGATTCTATACTTGAATCATCTCCACCATCTTATTTGTCCCTCTTCTGCTCTGCCCAGCTTCATGCTGACCTTGAACCGCTGTTTCCCCATCTTCATGGTGCTGGCCTGGGTCTACTCTGTGTCCATGATTGTGAAGAGTATTGTCCTGGAGAAGGAACTCCGTCTGAAGGAGACCATGAAGGCCATAGGGGTCACAAACGGTGTCATCTGGTCCACCTGGTTTATTGACAGCTTCCTAATGATGGGCACCAGCACTGCTCTCCTCACTGCCATCATCATGGTAAATAAGCACTCACATAAAGACCGAGGGATCCTTAAAGAATCACTTAGTGAGTGTTCAGAGGGCTGTGATGTTAAAAAATCACAGCCCTCTGTGATGAGTAATCCAGGGTCTTGAGTAATCCAGACCCAGAAATATGAACAAAAACAAAGATAATGACTCTCATTTATCAAACTCTTAAACTACAGGATGATACTAAAGATGCCTCATCTCCCTGTGAAATCTATGCAGTGTGTAAATGTGAAGATATCGCACTTTTTATAGTCAATCATTGGCAGATCTTTTTCCTTGAATAATGAATTGATAATAGCCTGTTCTGATTGTGTTCTGATCAATGATTAATGAGTGAACTGTGAACACATGACATCATGGGAATTATGTCAACAGCTCTGCAGTAATGAGCTGTCAATCATTAACTGCACCAGTAAGGTCACAAGTCGTCACTGGTGTTCAGAGGCTCATGAGGTGTTACAGGTGGACTCATATGCCCTCTAGTGGACAAATAGTGTAAAGCAACATTTTTAACTAAGATGTCAGAAACATGTTCAAAAGTTTTCTGCTCTAGTTTAGTAAAAAATAGCTCTTGTGTCACTTAATATAAACAGTTGACTAAAAACTACCAAGAAAATCTGTTAAGCATCCTGGAGTATTTCTTTTTGTTAAAAAAAGACTTTGAAATCAGTTTGAATTAAGTAATAATTAAAAAACATGAAGACTGTAGATATAAACAGTGTTTCTCTGTTTCTGTCCTGTAGGGAGGGAGAGTCCTGAACTACAGCAACCCTGTCATCCTCTTCCTCTTTCTGCTGACCTTCACTACAGCTACCATCATGCAATGCTTCCTCCTCAGTGTCTTCTTCAACCACGCCAACCTGGCAGCCGCCTGCTGCGGCATTGTTTTCTTCACCCTCTATCTGCCGCACATCTTCTGCTTCGCCTGGCAGGAGCACATCACCAAAGACATGAAGATCCTGGTGGTGGGTGATACACCTCTCAGTCAGCCTGAACCACATCTAAACCGGCCAAAGAACATTCAGTAACAACCAGACTGACATAAAAGCTGAATATTTGTGGTCTGCTTCACTACATCTTGTTGTTGAGTCTTGTAGATACATTTTAAATACCTCTGATCCCTTTTAATGCCCCTCTGGCTCAGCATCTCTCAATTATTTCCAGCTCTTCTCCCTTTATGACCAAACCAGTCTGCGAGACATAACCCATTGGTTTCTTAAGAGTTGTTATGAAGCCAAATAATCGAGGTCACCATATTGAAAATGCTAACTCAAATCCAACTTCGGATGCATATTAATGTTCAAATTTAGCCTCTATATCGTCTCATCTGATGAATTACAAAAAACATTAGCCCCAGTACAGTGTGTACAAATCAATATAAATTAATGAGTTGTATTTGCTAAACTGTTTGCTGTACAAGGTTGTATACATGTTTTATTCTGCAGCATATTAACTTGTGTTTTCTTGGCTTTTGCAACCAGCTTCAAGTTGACCCTCAAGGAACTGCAGCTTTTTGCACTTCTGTGTATTTAGCAGTAGAAACTCCATAAACAAAGGATGACTATAATCAGATAGGACTGACCTGGTATAGTCTAAAGTCTTGTTTTTTAAGGTCACTAAGGGTCTAATTTGCTGTTTTATCTGAACACTTTGATTTTAACTTACGGCATGTAAAGCTCTGGGTGATTCATTGCAATATACCAGAGATTATGTGAGTTAGAAAATAGATTAATAAATTCTCTCCTTTTCCCTCCAGAGTCTACTGTCTCAGGTGGCTTTTGGTTTTGGGACCGAGTACCTGTCTAGGTATGAGGAGCAGGGTCTGGGTCTGCAGTGGGACAACATCCAGACGAGTCCTCTGGAAGGGGACGAGTTTTCCTTCCTTACGTCTATCTGTATGATGGGACTGGACACTGTGCTGTACGCGGCACTGGCCTGGTACCTAGACAATGTCTTCCCTGGTCAGTGCTCCAGAGAGAAAATATGAGCGTTGATTAGATAAGTTTAATTTCCTGAAAACTTTACTGTAGTTTATGTAATAAATGTGCATCTTTTTTCATCTCAGGGCAGTATGGAATCAGTCGGCCTTTTTACTTCCCATTCCTTCCCTGTTATTGGCTCAACAGTGTGGCTCCAGGTAAAGGTAACCGTTGTTTACTTTGGCAGATAATGCACAAAAGAAAAGATACATACAGATGTTTATGTGCAATTATTTCCAAAATCAAGATAAAACATCACCCCTCAGTCGGTCTCAAATTGTTACTCTTTTCCTCAGATAAAAAATGCTGTGATAACCTGGCAAACAGAGATCAAGCACAACAGCTGAAAACGGAAGGTAAGGAAATCCAAGAACAGGAGAAAGACAAAGAGAAAAACCGAGGTGAGAACACAGACCGGGAGAGTAAAGACGACGACAATCTGGAGGTAAAAAAGCAGAACCAAGAGAGAGATCTGGACCAGGAGAGAGATCAAGACGAGAAGCAAGATCAAGATAAAACACAGGAGAAGGAGGAAGGGCTGGAGAGACCCAGGGTCCTGGAGGGGACCCCCTCAGTGTGTGATCACCACGATCAGCGTGAGAGTATGCAAAAGGGGAACCAGGTCAAGGAGGACCAGGACCAAGATGGTACCAGTTGACCTTTTTCCTTCTCCTTTCCTTTAAAGTTTCACAAATGTGGTTTTGATCAAATCTAAAACAGTGTTTGTGACCCCCTGAGAAAACAGCCCATCAGACAGCTGTTTTTGATGGTCTTTAGACTTATTTCTGATGTCTGGAGGACAAGTTAGAGCTTAATTCCACTGACATCATGTCAGAAATGTTGAAGTCATAGTTATTCAAGCAAACATTTGATCTCTGCCCAGCTTCTCCGTTTGCTCTCACTTTCTCTCAGTGTATGTGAACTCAGAGACCTTGTGTGTGTATGTGTGTGTGTGTTTGTTTGCTCTTTGACACATGTGTGAAACACACTGTGAGCTTCAGTTTCACACTGAGTTAATAAGTGATGAAAAGTGTTTTCTTCACACCCCATGACATTCCTATCCTCTGATACCATACATCTCTGACCCTTCAACATTTGTATGAAAGCGTTAAAACAAGTTTTTGGCACTTCTTAGATTAACAGACAAATGTCACATGTTCATAGGAATAAAAAACAAATCGATTTATTTTCTTTTGGGTTAATTTGTCAAATAATTAAAGGGCTAACAGTAAAGGCACTACAAGAAAACTGTAATTTATTCAATGAGCAAGAAAGATTATAAGATAATTTAAGAGAGTGAAGAATTTAAGGTTGTACAGTATTTACATTTAACTGCCAAACTAAACTAGACCATACGAGACTAGATTCAACCAAACCAGAGAGTTCTATATCAAGGTGCACAACCCAAAACTAAGTTTGACTAAACAGATTCAAACCAAACTCTTCTTAACCAAGTCAAGCTAAACTATACCAAATAAAACAAATAAAACATTGTTCAGTCAACATCAGTTGACTAAACAATGCTATACTGGGCTATACTCAGCTTTGACTAAACTTGACTGAACTAAAACAAATTACCTAACCAAGCTTGACTTAATTAAACCAAGCGCTTCAGACAGAGGCTGAAATGATGATAGTTTGATAACCAGAGGGAGTAATTTGAGGCTTTTTTAAATCTGAAAACCATGTAAGGAGGTATCAGAGAGGAAGTATAGAGGCTGAAAGCTTCATACCCCTCTTTAATTGAACTTCCGTTGGCTTTGCTGAAAGTAACTCGATTAGCCCATACTTATCCTGGCTATATTTAATCTTACTTAAAATAAACTAGATTAAACTAGACTAGACTTCACTGAACTAAAACACTAAATTAAACTACATGCCTCCAATGGACTAGACTTAAATGACCTTAACCTTGCTGACTAAGCTTTAAAAAAACTTTAGCCTACAAAGTATTTCAAGAACTTTTTTTTTATACAAAGACTGTTCAAGTAAGAAAAACTCCCATGCTGGATTTCTCATCTCATTTTGTTAGAATCTGAAAGTAAAAAAAGAGGATTTATTCATGCAAGGGAAGTTGCAACACGCTTACCTCCCTTTTTTAACTATCAGTAAAAAACTTGTGACTTCATGGTGATACAATGCATATAAAGTCTTAATAGCGCTTTATCATACCAAAGCTTAAAATTCTCTGTTTCATGGGTAACAAAAATAGCTCTGCATTTACTCTGACTTTCTTGTATTTCTGGACTTGAGCCTGAACTTGTAACAACTGTAACATGTTCCTTTGGGTGAAATATGCCTGAAAAAGCTGTTCGTTTTTTGACCTTTTTGTTGTAATGAAGATTCAGAAACAGCTACATCCACCCTTAAGGCTATGATTGGAGCTGAGACTTGTTTGTAGGGTTTCTCTCAAATAACATGTATATTTTCTCTTTGGTGTTTGCAGGCCAGCAGTTCTTCGAAGCAGAGCCTGTTGATCTGATTAAAGGTGTTTGTATCCAGAACCTGGTCAAAGTGTTCAGTGGCAGCTCCACACCTGCTGTGGACGGCCTCAGCCTCAGTTTTTATGAGAGTCAGATTACAGCTTTTCTGGGTCACAATGGAGCTGGGAAGACCACCACCATGTATGTACACAGATTGTTGACATTTAAGAACAGAAAATCATTAAAATTTAAACATGTAAAATTCATCTCCATGATGTAGAAAACCTCTGTATCTCTTCTCCTCAGGTCCATCCTTACAGGTATGTTCCCTCCCACCTCTGGAACAGCCATCCTCTACGGGAATGACATCCGCACAGACATGGACATCATCCGTCTGTCTCTGGGGATGTGTCCTCAACATAACATCCTCTTCCACCAGTATGCATCCCTCCACACGCTCAGAAGTTGGTGTAAACAATGATATCAATCTGTGTGGGTCATTCAGTGTGCACATTTTTCTCTTTTTCAAATCCAGCATGACAGTAGCAGAGCACATCCTCTTCTACTCACTGCTAAAAGGCCGTCCGTTAGCAGAAGCCCAGGAGGAGATGGAGAACATGCTGCAGGACCTGGGTCTGCCTCACAAGAGGGACGAGCTGACCCAGAACCTCTCAGGTCTGTGAGGGTGAATCCCTATCCAAACAGATCTGCAGCACAGTCATGCTGGTTTTTTTTGTGTGTTGCACAGTTGTTTGAAATGCTCTGATTTGTGTACTTGATGATATTTTATTCCAGGAGGCATGCAGAGGAAGCTGTCCGTAGCTTTGGCGTTTGTTGGAGGGGCTAAGGTGGTAATCTTAGATGAGCCGACCTCAGGTGTGGATCCCTACTCCAGACGCTCCATCTGGGACCTGCTGCTCAAATACCGTGCAGGTATGCTGACCTCTGGTGGCTAAAGGAGGGAACTGTGAAGACTGAATTTGTTAGTTTATCATTTAGAATATAATAAATACCTTCCACCTAAAAGTTTCTATTGAACAAATTACTTTCTGGACCAAGATAATTTTGTTCTCAAAGGCATTAAATAGCATGGAAATTCATATATTATAGTCAGCTATATTATAATGACAGCTTAGAGAGTGGTGAAATGTGAAGTTAGAAATATTCCACTCACACTGCACCATCCTGGGTCTCTCTGGGCACTGTGTGTGTGTGCTCTAACAATAAATAAATAAATAAATAAAATTAAAAAATAAGGCCACTTAATGATTAAAGGTAAAGAAATCAGCATTTGACTGTATCAGGGGCTATCAATAAGAATGTGTAGGTATTCAGAAAGCTACTGTGCCTCTGTTTTGGCTGTGTGTTTTATGTGATGTAAGGTGTCTTGAGAGATGGACAGCAGAGAGAATGATTGAGGGAGATAGAGAGAGAGAGGTGGGCAGGAGAGAGACTGATGCCTGTAGTTGAATCAGGTCCAAAACGGCAGTAAGGCTGCTGCAGTGATCCAGCAGAACCAAAGCTCAGGGACTCTTTAAGTACAAGATCATAGACTGTATATAGAATGGACGCCGTCTGCCTCCTTGCTGAGTGAAGCCACTCCGAGAACAGCACCCTCTGGTGTCGGGCTGCAGTATTGGTCATAAATCCCGCCTCCTCCAGCAATCCCTATGGAGCTGTAGACAAACTTTCAAAATGTATTACACCGAACGTAATTTTTTCCCCCGGTTGTGATGTTGACATGTAGTTAGTGTAAGACTGGTTTGTGCTCAAGTCCTCTTTTTGTCTGTCCATTTTTGAAAGTTATTAGGGGGTTCATGTTTTCTATGATTGACACTTGATACAGCCTATGGGTGTACAAAGATTGTGTAGCTCACCCAGGGAATATGCTTTGAGTCAAGCGTCATCAGCGTCATTTGACAGAAAATATAATGATAGAAGGTGGAACCAAGTTGTCCATAGTATATACAGTCTATGGTACAGATGCTTCCAATTTAACACAAGTCCTTTATTCTTGTGCTTAATAACTGTGTTTCCACAACCAAGCCAGATGTGTTAGTAAAAAAAAAAAAAACATAGACAGGCTTTTTCCTGCATTTATCCCCCTGGTACAAATTATTACCACACTATCAATCCTTTCGTCATCTCTCTGCAATTAAAAAATTTCAGGGTCAGAGCCCCTGAAATTTTCCAGAGTGCATGTCTGAAAAGGATTTCTGTCCCATTTTGCAGGACGCACAGTGATCATGTCCACTCACCACATGGATGAGGCTGACCTGCTGAGTGATCGGGTGGCCATCATCTCTCAGGGTCGTCTTTACTGCTGTGGCTCACCCATCTTCCTCAAAAACTGTTTTGGAGCTGGTTTTTACCTGACACTCGTCAGACGGATGAAACATGAAGCTCCAAAGGTGAGAAACATGAAACATTCAAACAGTTTCAGTGATATGACAAGGTTTCATTCTTGTTCATCAAAATTAAATAATAATCTATCTGACTTGTGAAGGAAATAATGGGAGTGCACCCTAATTTCTTAGTTAAAGACGTGAATTGAGATTGGTACATGACTGACTAAATTCATGCAGGAGATGTTGCAAAAAAAAGAATCACTTCTGTTTTCGGTTCTCACCCCATCCTGCAGGTCAGCTGTGACTGCTCAAAAGTTTGTTCCTGTAAATGTTCAAGATGTTCAAAGTTTAAAGCCAACCAGGAGAAGAAGGTGGACAGACAGCTGGATGGTAAGACTGGGTTGCAGACTGCTGTCTCACTCTACTTGCTGCACAAGACTGGTAGTGGGATTTTGAATAAACAAAAGTGTTCAATTTAGACTGATGTTTAGAAAACCCTGAATCCTCCTTGGCCTTTCAAATCCAGGTAATGTAGAATCCATCACGGCCCTCATCCATCACCACGTGCCGCAAGCTCGTCTTATCGAGGCTATCGGCCAGGAGCTGACTTACCTGCTGCCCAACAGGAACTTCCAGCCCCGAGCGTACGCCAGCCTGTACAGGGAGTTGGAGGAAACTCTGGTGGACATCGGCCTCAGCAGCTTTGGTGTGTCCGACACATCTCTGGAGGAGGTGTGTGGAAATAATCATGCAGAAATGATTGAAGCTGAATCAAACAAAGGTCAAAAAAGTGATTCATATTCTCAAATTCAAATCATAGTCCAGGAAATGGAAACAACAAGACAATACATCAAACAATCTGAATGGGACAATCTCTAATTTCTGGAGTATAAGTGATATTTTCCTTTCTAGCTCTGATCAGCAGTTTAATAACAGGTACAAAGAAAGTAATGAGAGTTTTATTGAAGCAATCTGTCACACAGTCTCTGCCTGACGTTCACCTTCACAGTCATTAGGTTGTGTTTTATGAGGCTTTCTAATCAAGAGCAGCTGTTCGTCTTTGCTCCCCTTAGTGAAATAAAATCAATATTCCTTGTAGATCTTCCTAAAGGTCACTGCTGATGGGAATGCAACCAACAGGAAATGTGTACAAGGTAAACACCAAACATAAACTCTTCACTCATTTTTCTCATCTTGTCAGAATGTGTAATTCCTGTTGCTCTCTGGTTTATATTTCAGTGTTTTACATCTCACTTTTAGCTCTCTTGGGTAAAAATGCAAATGTATAGCAGCAAATCTCTCAAATTTCACACAGCTGATTTAATGTTATTGTTGAAACTAAATAATAGGTTGACAGCTTACAAATCCAGATAAATGCTGCTGCGCCTGTGGGAGAAACACAAAGTGTAATACAGATGTGAGAGCTTACAGTGACTCACAGTGTTAAATGAAACTTTTAGTGTATTTCATCAGGACAGTGCACATTGAATCATCATTGAGAACCTCAAAGTTAGGTGCAGATTAAAAAAAAATACTTTTTTTGAATTGTATGCTGAAGGTTGTGGAATTAAAACCCCTATCTGTGACTGTTCTGTAACCATGTAAGCTTTCAAATATATGAGATGCAACTTGAAAACTATTCTATATTTGCTCAGAGTAATCACACTGTCAGAATCTCATACCCACATTCTTTAGCATCTACTCAGTCAATCTGGACCTGAGCTCTTTCTTACAGAGACAGACGGGGTTTTGCAGACCAATGGCCAGGGTCCGTGTAACGTCCCAGGAGGTACTGATGGAAGGGGGTCGTACCAGGTCAGAGGTCTAGGTCTGACAATCAAACAGTTCCTGGCTCTGCTGATAAAGAGGATGCATCACGCGACCCGCTCCTACAAAGACTTCTTCGCTCAGGTAAAGATACTTTGGTCACTTAGAAAAAAACAAAACATTTTGGAAAACAACCCAACAAACTTTAACAACAATATAAATCACAATACATGAAGCACTGAGAAAACACAACAATATTTTAGAGGTGACATTACTTCACACAGCAAAATATCTCACATGATCGACATTTCATGGTACAACACATTTCAGAAGAGGCAACAAGCCTTAAAACACAAAGTTTCACAAACCAATCTGATGTTTGAGGGAATATCATAACTCAGGAAAGATCAAAATGAAAGAAAGACAAATACGGTCTCAATTAAAATCCCACTCTGATCGTTTCTTTTTTACTACTTAAAGTGTTCTCAGTGGTCTTTAAATTGTGATTATGAAGTTTTTAGTCAAAATCACGTTACCTGTGTCATTTTCAAGGGCTCTTCTTCTGCAGAGCTCCAGTAGCTCATTGGCAATTCAACTCTGATTCGTGAGCAGAGACAGCGCTGCTCTTCTCACTCCTCTTCATGCTAGCTTGTAGCCTAATAGTGACAGTGTAGTAGAAATGGCAGGTAACTAGGAGCTATGCAGCTCTCGGACACTAATGTCTTTGGGGACATGATGAAAGTTAAAAACATAATTTGCTTTCTTACAAGCGTTGCAATCCGCTAACACACGCTTGTTCCGTGACAGTCCTCTCTACTTCTCCGAGTCTGGCCTGCATAGCAGGGCTCGGGTTACAAATGTTAGGTGTTAGCCTGTCCTTCAGATTTAGAAAAAAGGCAGTTTATTTTACCAAACCCTTCCACCTCCAGGATTCTCATCTTGTTGCTAAATCTTCTGTCTTCAGTCTTCTTCTTTCTTTCGGTAGATTGTCCTCCCGGCCAGTTTTGTTTTACTGGCACTCACGTTCACTTTAATTGTCCCACCTTTTGGAGAGTATCCGAGCCTGACTCTCAGTCCGTGGATGTATGGGCGACAGTACACCTTCTTCAGGTGGGCATACACTAGATCACCTGGCACTATTTAGCTTTGATGTTGTCTGTAGCAAAAGTGGGATTTTAATGTCTGTCTGTCTGTTGCAGTAACGAGCGTCCTTTGGATGCTCAGATGAGATATTTCGGTGAAGTCTTGCTGGACAAACCTGGCTTTGGGACCCGCTGTATGGCAGAGGAACCACTGGAGTGAGTCACCTGTCTCATATTTACATCTTTAGTTCAGACCTTTCTTTGTGAAATAGTTTAAACATGGTTTAATTTTTTAATGGCAGAGATTTCCCCTGTAACAACATCACCACAGAGTGGGAGATGGGGCTGGTTAACCCTGTCCTGATCGAAATGCTGGCTGGTCCACAGTGGAACCCCCTCAAACCATCTCCGGACTGTCAATGCAGCACAGCCAAGAAACTCACCATGCTCCCTGTGTGCTCTGAGGGGGCTGGAGGTCTGCCGCCTCCTCAGGTAGATCAGTTATACTGAAGATGATCCCCCTCAGCACGCTCTCTTACTTGTTATCACTGACTGCACTTTTATTGATATTTAATTTTAGTACAATCATTTTTGAATGTTGTAACCTTGCCACTGCTATGACAAGCCAACACCTGAAGATGCACAGATATTTGCTCTGTCCTCCATTAAAAAATAACCTCTAATTTGATCTAATCAGCTGCAAACACCTGTTTGGTATCTACACTTACATGCCCTGAATAAAAAGGGTGATATTTTTAAGGGTTACAGAAAGGCATAGTAAGATGTCATCAGTGTAGAAACTTTAATGATGAGTGTCTCAGATTCAATGAAAACTTTGTATTATTTCATTCACCAGAGGATCCAGTCAACAGGAGATGTACTCATGGATCTAACAGGCAGAAACATATCTGACTACTTGGTGAAGACCTATCCCAGCCTCATCAGAACCAGGTATAAGACTCATTCTTGCATGTTTTAGAGATAAAGAGTGAAAACTAACAAAGATATTTGAAAGTTGTTTGTGTGTTTGATTGGCTTCCTTTTAATTTCCAGTTTGAAGAGTAAATATTGGGTGAACGAACAAAGGTAAGGTCAAGTTTTTTCTTTAAGCTTTTTTTAGTGACTTCACAGTAAGGTCCACATTATATGCCATAAGACATAGACATCAACCGCAGAACTGTGGTGATGTGCAGCAAAGCATTACGGCTGAGAATCAAACCTTTGACTGCAAGGATGAGGACTACAGCCTCTGTAGACAGGGTGTGCTCTTTAACCATAAGCGCTCCAGAGGTGGGATCATTTTCTCAGGCAGTTCAACCAGTTGGGTCGCCTCCTGCTGGGTATCAGAAGGAAGTGAAGGAGGTCCAGAGTCTCAGGGTCTTGTCCATGAAATGAATCATGAGATTGTCAAGTGTCTTGGTGCTGTGTCAGCAGTAATTTGGGCATAACACTGAACTGTTGGGGCAAAGAGGGATTTGAGGGTAAACTTATGATCGAATAGTCCATCTATATTCTGGCCCTCACAGATACAGGCAGCAGAAATGGCTGGAGGGTGGCTGGGCTCAGCCTCAGAGGTGGGGTCTTGAATATAGAGTGGGAGCTCAGGGTGGAGGTGCCTCAGTGCTTTCATGCACAGTTTTTTTTCTATATCACTTGGGTGTAGATGGTGGTGTGGTTCTCCCTTCAATCAATCAATCATTCAATCAAACTTTATTTATATAGCACCTTTCATGCTTTTAAGCTGCAACACAAAGTGCTTTACAAAAAGGTAAAAACAAACAACGTTAAAAAAAACAAAAAACAAAAAAAAAACAACAAACAACAGTAAATATAGGGCACTTAAATAGGCATAAAACCCGTCCCTTCCCACCCACAGCAGCACATACAGGCATGCACAGCAGCCCACCCCACACACACATACAGAGTTTGTGCTGGTGAAGTTTCTTTTCTTCATTTTATAACTGGACTTAAACGAAGTAGATGTCAGCAGAGGTTTCTCTGTGGTGTCCAGGTATGGAGGTATATCAGTGGGAGGACAACTTCCCGTTTTAAACCTGCAGCCAAAGACCATCCAGGATGTGGCAGCCCAGCTGGGTCGACTGCTCAACATTACTGGGGTATTTCTTTAAAAAACCTCATCAGAACTTTGATCATACTTATATGTTTTTTTTATTGCCCTTTTTTGTTTGTGGTTTCCTTTCACTTCACATGTCTCACATATTTGTATTTGTTCCAGGGCACATACTCCAACCAAACTCTTAGAGACATAGGGCTATTCCTCAGGTACATGGAGACTCAAAACAATGTCAAGGTGAGTGAGAGTATCACAACCTAATAAATGCTTTGAGTCATATTGCAATAAAAACCTACATATGTCATCCATTGTACTTTGCCAGGTGTGGTACAACAATAAAGGCTGGCATGCCATGGTGTCATTCATGAATGTCGCCAACAACGCCATCCTGCGCGCTAACCTGCCCAAAGACGCTAACCTGAATGAATATGGAATTACCGCCATCAACCATCCTCTGAATCTCACCAAAGAACAGCTGTCTGAGATCACTGTGTAAGCGACCAAAAAATTAACCCCTTATTGAAGAAAATTCCTTTTTTTTTGGAGTGACAAAACGAATCAAAAAGACCCAAAAGATAAATGAAAAGAGTTTAAAAGAAACACAAGCAGGGTGTGAATTCCATAGTTTGAATTTGTCCAAAAATGTAAAATCTGTAAATGCAGTATCAGAATTTTGGTAAAGAGGTCCTGGTTTCTGAATTGACCTATCAGGGGCCAGCAGGCTTTGGTGTATGCAGAAAAAACTGCTTGTATGGAGAGCAAAAGCAGATGAAACACAATTCATCATAATTATATCCCAGCTACCCTCAGTGGAAATCGGATGATGATTTATGTCTTTATTAGAAAAGAAATCTGCACACAAAACCAGCCAAGAATCTGCTCTGAGTAAAACTAATCTGCATTATGAGGCCATTTTATTAAACTTAAAGCTTCTGTCAGGAACTTTATGTCTGTAACGGTTTTGGCGCCCCCTGTGGACAGAGAAAACCCTTCTCTGTTCCAGTTTGGTCATGCGTATTTGAGAGTACTGTTTCCCCACAGAAGTGTCAGCCATTAAAATGACTTCATTATATTTGACATTCATCTCAGTAATTGTTTGCCTCTGGAGGACATAAAGCAGGATCATGGTTTCTGTCTGTTTCATAACCAGTCAAAAACTCTTCACAGCACATACAAACCAAAAGAAGTTTGTTTCTTTATTAGGTTCACACTGCTGAAGTGAGCCAGAGTGATGCCTCTGTGAAACCTACTATTCAGAGGGACCCTGAGACTCAGATGGAGCTCTTCAGGGGGAAATTTAAACCAAGATTGGCAGTTTGTAAAATCCAAGAGGAGAGATTTCCCTTTTATTTTGAATGCAGAGTTGCTTGTGAAGTTGCTCACTGGACTGTAAACAATGCAGCAGGCCAAATAAGAAGTCTCTGCTGGAAGTCAATCAAAGCTTACCTCAGGTCAACATTTCCAGGGTCATGCATTTTTGTTGTGAAGAGGTAGATGTCAGTCCTTTTCAGATCTGTTGACACTTTCTCTTGATTGTATTGATTATATTTTTCCTCTGCCGTTTCGCAGCCTCACCACCTCAGTGGATGCCGTGGTGGCCATCTGCGTAATCTTTGCCATGTCCTTCATCCCAGCCAGCTTTGTCCTCTATTTAATCCAGGAACGGGTCACCCAAGCCAAACACCTGCAGTTTGTCAGTGGAGTCAGTCCACTGGTCTACTGGATGGCCAATTTCTTCTGGGACATGGTGAGGCAGTCCTGATAACATCTGAGATGTTTATTCAGACCAACTGGTTATTGTCAATCATATCACAGGGTGTTTCCTGGTTCTGTTTAAACTAAGACCAAGGTCTGAACATCAACATGTGAAGAGGCTCTCTAATAGTTTCTCATGCACACAGCTCTGTAGATTCTGATGTCTGCCATGATTGTTCTGTCTGCAGCTGAATTACTCCCTAAGTGCAGCCATGGTGGTGGAAATTTTCATCTTTTTTGATAAGAAGTGCTACACATCACAACACAACCTCCAACCTCTTATTGCCCTGCTGATGCTTTATGGGTGGGTTTTGTGTCCTTTGAGTTTGTGCTGGTTATCACTATTTAGTTTTGTCTCGTCTTGTCCTTAAGAAATCCATTGCTACCATTTAGAGAAGGTTAATTTTGCTTGGTATTAAACCATGACAGTCATCATGCTGGTCTTTCTGCTCTCCCTCAGCTGGTCTGTGACTCCCATGATGTACCCCATGTCGTTCATATTCAGCGTCCCCAGCACAGCCTATGTCTCTCTGTCCTGTATCAACCTCTTCATCGGTATCAACAGCAGTGCCATTACCTTCATCCTGGACTTGTTTGAGAGCACCACAGTGAGACTGCAGAGCTTCTTTCTATAAATTTAAACCTTCCTCTTGTGTATCTCTCATCATCTTTAATTATTAATGTTGTCTCTTTCCCCTGCAGACCCTATACAAGTTCAACCAGCTGTTAAAAACTGTGCTGCTGGTCTTCCCTCATTACTGCCTGGGCCGAGGTCTCATCGACATGGCTATGAACCAGGCTATGACTGATGTCTATGCTCGCTTTGGTAATCAAAAAACATTAACAAATGAGTTACATGCCTCACAGTCAACATACTTCAACTTTCAGCCACCAGCTAAATACCTGTACAGGCCTCGCTTAAACTATTGCCTGGTTTCCACCAGTCGGTCAGGGCTGTAAAGTCCTAATCGACTGGTCGACTTTTGGTCGATTTTTTTGTCAATTTACAGTTAATGGTTAATTTCATCAGGAGGAACGTACCAAGTGCTGAGCTGCATCATCCCCCACTGCAGAAGTGTTTGCAATCAGAGTCCCCCCCCCCCCCCACCCCCACCCCCAACCCCCATTAGGCAATTTTTGGTAAAAAATTTCAGGGTTTTAGTCCACCAAGAATTCTTTTCTTTGGTTTACTGCCCTACAGTTGGTACATGGTGCCTAGAAATCCATAAATAAACAAATGATACTTGTAGTGCCCAACATCTCAATGGGGGAAGAGAAGCTATCTTCCAAAGCTGCTAGTTTTAGCTAATATTTCACGAATCTGACCAGGATGTCAAATTGATGAGGATAATTTGAATGTATGTATATAACCATATTTCAACAGACTGGTCAAATTCACAAAGCCTTATTTTTTAAATCATACAAAGTCACTCAAAAAAAAAAAACAACCCAACATCTTAGCTGGAAAAATAGTGGAGCTTAATCTGAGCCCTAGTCTGAGCTGTGATCCCTCCTCTCAGGTGAGGACTACAACCCTGACCCGTATGACTGGGACTTCATAGGAAAGAACCTTTTCTGCATGACTGTTGAGGGATTCATTTACTTCATCCTGAACCTCCTCCTCCAGTATCGGTTCTTCCTGGACCACTGGTGAGTGGGAATGCCGGGATCTAGCAAGTACATGGGGTGTTTTTGAAGACATTTTCTGTGGTGGTAATGAAAATAAAAGCATCCTGTAACTTTTTCCCCTCTATGAACATTATCTAAAGCATGTAAGTAGCAGGGTGGTGTTTAAGTATTTTATCCTCCATTGGCAGGATCTCAGAGCGCCCACAGCCTTTAATTTTAAATGAAGATTTAGATGTGGCTCAGGAGAGGGAGCGGATCTACAAGAGTGAAAAATCTAATGATATTTTACGAATACGTGACCTGACTAAGGTGAGACACTTCTCTTCTTAAAGATGATCAGTGCTAAAGAATTCAAACCGTAGAAAGGTGCTAATGTTTGTCAAACTGGAAGAGTATATTCCAATTTGTCCTTGACTTTCCAGATATATCCGGGAACCATCATTCCTGCAGTGGACCGGATCTGCTTTGGAGTCTCAGCTGGAGAGGTTTGTGTCGTTTAATGGGTTCACAGAAGAAACAATTGGGTTGATTTCTTGTTTTTCTATCATGATGTCTGTCCTGGTTTCTCTGCAGTGCTTTGGTCTGCTGGGAGTGAATGGAGCAGGAAAAACCACCACATTTAAGATGTTGACTGGAGACATCGATGTCACTTCAGGAGAGGCCTCAGTGGTTGGTCACAGGTTTGTAATGTGTTCTTTTTTTCCCCAAGTTCCCAAAGTGCAAGTAAAACTTTTAATCTTGTTTTCTGTATTTATGAATCATGATGACTGTAACTCCCAGCACTCTCCCTTATTACTTTGCTTTTAGATGTTGTTTTATTTGAATTTTAGGACAATAAGATAATTCAAATTCATTTATTTCTACTTTTGTTACTCATTTTTATTCCCTTCTCAGCATTTTGACGAGCATCCTGGACGTCCACCAGAACATGGGCTATTGTCCCCAGTTTGACGCTATAGATGAGCTGCTTACCGGCCGAGAACATCTGCACCTTTATGCACGACTTCGAGGAGTCCCCGAGCACGAGATCACCAGGGTGAGGTTTAAGTTTTGCAAAGAAATGAATAATTTTTAACTGTTTTAAGCAGCCCTGAAAAATATGTTACAATAATAAGATGTAATTTGATGCATGTTATGTTCCAAAACTTTATCAGGTACATTACAAGTGCTTTATTATATACATGTTCAGACAAGCAGGTTGTTAATGTGGGTGGTTCTAGCTCTGAAAAACATATTTCTGTTCCTCTAGTCATTTTTGGTTCTAACCAGTCAAAATCAGTAATCTAACACAGCTGAGTATTAATCTGAGTCAGGGACCCTGTAGTAAAGAGGATTAAAAATAGTTATAAACTTGTTAATTTTGTTTCCATTTATGAGTAAAGCAGCTTTTTGATTTGTCTGTATGACTTATCCTGTTCATGCTCAGGTTGCAGAGTGGGCCATCCAGAAGCTGGGTCTGTCTGAGTACGCTGGGCAAAGCACTGGGACGTACAGTGGAGGGAACAAGAGGAAACTGTCCACAGCCATCGCCATGATTGGCTGTCCAGCTCTGGTGCTGCTGGTGAGCAAAATCACAGAGAGGGTTACTGTCATGTTTGGTGTCTCTGTCTGATACTGGTGTGCTTACTCTTCTTATATTTCTGTGTTAAAGGATGAACCCACCACAGGTATGGACCCTCTGTCCCGGCGGTTCCTGTGGAACTCCATCATGAGTGTCATTCAGGACGGACGAGCCGTGGTTCTCACCTCACACAGGTTAACTCTCCTCTGTCTGCACATCAATTCATCCCTATTAGCTCATGTTTGAACTTTGTCCTTTGTGTTTTCAGTATGGAGGAGTGTGAGGCGCTGTGCACCCGCTTAGCTATCATGGTTAACGGATCCTTTAAATGTTTGGGGACCATCCAGCATCTCAAATACAAGTTAGTCAGGATACTTGTTCCTGATATTAAACTCCTGTAAAACTCCTGTAAAAACTGTAAAATATGACATTTATAGAATAATGAAAACAAAACACAAAAAGCTTTATGATATCTTTGATTTTTAGGTTTGGTGACGGCTACGTAGTGACCATGAAGATCAAATCAGCTAAAGCCGGTTCCCCCCCAGACCTTAACCCTGCAGTAGCGTTCATGGAGAGCACGTTTCCCGGCTGCATCCAGAGAGAGAAACACCACAACACGCTGCAGTACAAGATCTCCTCCTCCTCGCTTGCTAAGATCTTTCAGAAAGTCCTGGCTAACAAAGACAAGCTGAAAATAGAGGACTACTCTGTGTCACAGACTACTTTAGACCAGGTCAGTGTGATTTTTCCTCAGCTTTGTTTTTTTTTAACTTGAAAATAAAATGACACATTTCAGAGATGAGGAGAGGGGGAACAACATATCACATTATAAACTGAACTAACAAATGCTATCAAAGGTGGTGTAGGCAGGAATCCATTAAAGAAGCATCTTTTTTGTGGTGTATACAAAAAGCTTTTAACATCAGTCAATAGCTATTAGTTATTGATGACACTTGCGAATATAATGATATTGCTGTGTTGTCTGATGCCTGTGTAATCAAAATTATGAAAAGTGTGAGCGTACACAAGCGTCTGTTTGTGGGCAGGGCTTGCTGGAGCAGACAGGGAAGGGAGAGGAGGAGCTGAGGGGAAAACCGGAGGGGAGGGGTAGTGTTTACTTTCAAGATTTCTCCTAAAAACTGGTCTTCATTCAGATCCTGCCTCTACCACCTTTAACTCACATGTCATCATCTATTTTTTTCTGTATCTCCGCAGGTTTTTGTGAGTTTCGCCAAGCTGCAGTCCAGGGAGGATGACACTATCGTGCTTCATCCAAAAGCTGCAGGAGCTCAGCGATACAATGAACACATGCCCATCAAATCAGTGGAAAAATGAACTTACTGAGGAGAACTCTGTGGGAAGACTGAAGGTGTGCACATTAAAAGACTGAAAACTGGGTGGTAGAACTTGAATAACCAATAAGAATGTGGTCTTTAGCGATACCAGAAGCTGTTTTGGAATTCTAAAAGCACAGAGGATTCCTGTGTTCCCCATATGAAGACCTTTTGCAGCCCTTATCGATCCATTATAAGGTGCTTTGCCTTAAAGTGTAGTCCATGAAGGAGGCAGCCACTTTGATGGGACTGTACTGTCATTTGTCATGTGACAAAACTGCTGGTAAACTGTGTTGGAGAGATTTGAATCCAGTGACTGTGAAGAATTAATGTGCCTGTTAAATTTTTATCTTCTTACCTCTTCAGCCTTACACAAGACTGCAACTGAATGTAGTAGGAGTTCTACTCCTAAGTGATGGATAAGTGAGGTAACAATAGAGTTTGAGTATTTTGCTTTAGATGCAAAGCAAAATACATCTTTGCCTTGTTAAGTTTTTAAAGAACTAAGAAGAATGTAGTCTTAGCACTTTATTGATGTGATTGATGCATCTGTTTTTAAATGATCTGTTAAAAAATCTGGGAGGGGTCTTTGATATTTTTGTGCTGATGTATTTCTTTTCATATTCATGTGACTTGTTTCACATGCACCTGCTGTCAATAAAGACAGACAGCACTCTGTCACATAAATGATGAGTCTGAAATGAGCTTTCATCATGTTGTACATTTTGTTTTTTTTCTGGCTCAGGATATCAAATCTGTTAAATCTAAATTTAAAAGACACAATGCAACTACAAATCCCTATCTGAGAGGCAGCAATAAACTTCAAATCCTCAGACCCTGGTAAAAATTCAAAGTGCAATCATAGGTGAGAGAGCAGGTCGAGACTGGACCTTAAGGCAGGTTGTGGGAACTGGGAGACATGAATATCTAATAAATCAGCAAATTTAAAATGGTTTAAAGTATTTATATATTTAAATGTTTATTTCCTATGAAAGAGGATGGCAAGCGTAAAAAGAGATAGACAAGATTATTTCTTTATTTGTCTGTATAGTATGGCTCACAAAAGAAAAAAATGCTGTTTTTCTGGATTACCAGATAATTATCTCAGAAATACAGAATTACAAGAAACTTGTTTTTACAAAAATGAGAAAGAAATCCACTCTTACTGGACAAACCCCAAAGGTATCTTAGAATTATGAGAATTTTTCATGTTAAAAAAAAATCTGACATTATTTCCAAAATTTAAGATTAACTCATTAACCCCAAAAAAAACAGGGAAACAAAGGTTTAATTTACAAAAAAATTAACAACATCAACAATAACAACAACAAAACCTAATTCAGAAAAAGAGCTGAGTGATTTTTGTCATTAGTGAATGCATTTTTCCTTCCTATTAAATTCACAAAACAATTACATTTCATCAGCTTTTTTCTGATTCTCCCATACTTTGCCCCTGTTTATTCCTGGCCACTGGATCCTTTCCTAAACTCTGGTCCAGTAGGTGGCAGTATACATGGTAAATGAGGGTTGCAATCCGCTGAAATGCACAAAGAGACAGAAGACCAAAGGTACAAATGGGTTAGCAGCACTAGCTGTTACACCCGGTGACATAAAAGTTAATGAAGTTTTAAGTAGTTTCAAAATTTACTCTCTAAAAAGTTGGCAGTCCACTTGTTTTTGTGAGTGAATTTAGTGAATACCTGTATGAAATGTAGCAGACATCAAACTGCAACATTCATTGTTTCTTCCCGTTTGCTTCCAATGAGCGCCACCTTTGTCCATGTGGCAACATATGGCTGCAAAAAATTAGTCATTAACCATAGACTGCCTGTCTGTCATCAACACAATCTCACATAAAAAAACAAACAAAAAAACAGTGTCATTTTCAACATTCCATTTAATTGCCTGTAAATGCAGCATAGTGAAGAGATAGAGGTTTATGTCATCTCATTAACGCTAAACTACAATCAGAGTCATTATAAAATTAGAAGTATCTTTAGTATTTATAAGAAAAAAACATCTCCAATAAGGTTTGAATGATGAAGTGTATTGCTTTGATTTTATTGCTTTGATTTCCACCTGGCTCAGCTCATAGATGATGTAAAAATACTTGCATAGTGTCAGGTATTTCTTTGCAGAGTGTAAAAATAGTTTCCATTAATGAATATATACTCCTTAATTGTGAGGAAAGTATTTTTTCATTGTCATAGGATCAGAGGGAAGATGGCCGTCCTCTGGGTAGGATAGTCCTTGAATTCTCTGCTATAGGCTCTGTGCTTCCCTTTGGCCCAGATCGTCATCTGAATGAAGCCCAACAATGTGTACAAGGCCACTGCAAAAACATGCAAACAAATAATTCACATTTTAGCTCAAGTTATCAGACTAACAGTGGATTTATGCTTGTAGAAAATGTCTACACACACCCGGGAGACACTGAGTCATAATGGAAAAGCTGGCCCAGGCTCCAACCTAGAGCAAAGTGTTAAATTTTCAGTTTCAGAAGTAAAAGCACAAGAATGGGGGATATTTATTTTTTATATAGCACATCACTTCAAATCCTGTGAAATACCTCGTATGTGTAGTTTGGACAGGACACAAAGTAAAACAGCCATGTGAAGGGGTTCTTCGTTGGCACAGGAAACCTGCGGCATCTGGATCCTGATAAAAACAATCATCTTTCATTATCAGGTAATTAAGACAACCATTAACTACTGCTGCTTCTACTGTGACTTACATGTGTTTTATATTTATTACAGTCAATCTCTACTACTGAGAGCCTTCTAAATTTTACACCCTGGGGCTTTAAATTACAAAAAAAAGTTTACAGAAAAACTTAACTCACCATCTCCTCTGACATTATTTAGAGTCAGGTGAATGGAGAAGTTTCCCAGCTCACACATCTGCAGCAGAAATAAACATTTCACTGAAATATAAACTGTGAATTTAAACTGATTTTACCGTAAACCAACAAAAAGCTTACTTACCACAAATAGGATTAATGCACAGTTGACCTGAAGTTCTCCATATGCTGTGGAGGAAGATATATCCTATTAAAGTGACAGTTTTTTTATTTAAGTGTGGATATATATTTGGTAGTTGTCATGTTTGGACCCTCAGAGGATCTTGGTCAGTTCAGCCTCTTTGCTAATACAATGGCAGGAAAACCAGAACCCCTGCAGACAGGGTCAGCTTTATCTCCTTGCTTGAACAAACTCTGACCCCAACACTTACGTTGGCCTATACAGTATATTTGTAGGCTTTTCAAGGCTGTCCTCCATAAGAGAGCAGCAGCTGATAGTCTAGCTTCAGTTCATGTTTCTGGAAAAGTTTCTCAACAAAGGGGCAGAGCTGACATGGATCATTGTGTTTCTAATACACCTACCATTACCTCCTACAGTCAGACTTCAAAAATAATACTTGTTTATATGTGGTTCAAGGACAAGAAAGTGTGTCAGTGTGTGTTTCTTACATGGAGGTGTATAAAGAGGGTGGTTGATGTAGTAAGCCAACCAAGCTGAGAAACCCCAGTAATAGGCACAATTCTGGGAGAGAAAAACAAGAACAATGAAGGTGTATCAGTTCAGGTATAAAACAAAAAGCATATTGGTGCACTTTGGACACTACAGTCTGTGGGTATACAGAAGCTTATCATGGTTTTATATCCTGAGAACTGGTGTAAAATCAGAGTGAAACACTCAGAAACCAATTCAAGTGCTCAAGCTCACTCCACACGCCAGCACTTTTTAGATTCAGGTCATCTTTAATTTGGCATGAATTCTACTTTGTAACAGGTCCTGTTTAGAAATAAATAGAGCATGAGTTTTAGGGTGGAGCTGCCTGTTGTTGACATGTCTCTACCATGGTGACAATAATATTGAATATCCAGTATTTGGTTGTACAAAAAGACTCTGAGGAGTTGGATTTTTATTGTTCAGCATATTTAGTTGAAGGTTTGTTTTTGTCAGTCAGCTGATTGCTTAGTGTTGGATAACTGTACACATTTTTGAAGTTCCTCTCTTTGGTCCAAATCTTGTCATTTCAGGCTGCAAAAATCCAAGATAGTGGTGTTTAAAACACCCAAACTTTTGGCCTGTCATGTCTGTTCATGTCTGTCAAGTATTTTATTTTTCCCTTCATGTTTCATCTCTTGCGCTTCCTGTGTTATTTTGGTGACACTCACCATTGTCTGTTTCAGGTTCCTGTCTGCCCTTCCCCCCGTCTTGTCTGTGTGCACCTGGTCCCTGATTATGTCTCCCCACCTGTGTCTAATCACAACCTATTTACCTCTTGTACAGAATCTCTCTTGTGTCACAGTCTGTGTCGTGCATTTTGAGTCCTCCCTGTTCTGTAGACTAGTTTATGACATGACCTGTAATCACAGAAATTCATGCATCTTTTCCCACAGGTAAACTTGAGTTTTTGAGCTATCATTCCCCTTTGATTAAGTTTCATTGACTAAATCTAGAAATAGACGACTTTAAATTTCCTTTCCTCTTAAGCACACTGAGGTCTGAGACACTCAAAAACAGGTTTCTGCATCAGAAGAAGTCCCCAGGCTGAAACCTTAACAAAACCGCTGGTGAGGGACAGAGAAAAGAGGCCACACTTTGTAATTAAAAAAATAAAAAAAAGGTGAGCACGCTTTCGGAGGCTGGTCTTTTCAAGGGTAGTCACGTCCTCACCCTGATTATGATCCTGAGGGGCATGGTCCCAGGAGAGAAACGATGCACAAAGATCGTCTCGATCAATCTCTTTGCATAGTGAGAGGTATGACAGACACAGGCGAGCCTGACAGACAAAAGGGTGGGAAAAGGTCAAATATGAACATGAATCAAGGGCTTTTAATGTTGTATGCAACCTTATCTACAAACTACTTAAGATTTTATCTGGAAAGAGACTGAAATGAATCCTTCTTTGTCAAACTGGGTTACTGCAACAACTTAACCTGAAACACAAATGTAGTGTACTGTAAATATTAGAACAGAACAATGATTTAAACATATGCAGAGAAGCTTTGGTGTATTTTAGGACACAACAGGTCTAAAAACAAACAAAAACCAGATGCTGATAGTCAAAAAGTCTAATATCTAATATCTAATATCAATGCAAGAGATCATGAATCAATAAGCAGATTAATACCAGTAAAACAGGCTCCTAAAAACATGCGGTCTCTACAGCATGGTTTATAGTTTTTGTGGTTATTATAGAGGCCCAAATCTCTGCAGCGTGGACCTTTAACAGGATTCATTTTACAGGCTCTGACTTTAACTGCAGAAAAGATGTAATGTAATTTATAATCACATATGAAGTCAGATGAAGGATGAAGAAGCAGTAAAAATATCTTGAAGTTACACCTTGTAAGAAAAATTTGAAATAAATCAAATACTGTATTCTCAGCTCCACTTCATTTTTCAGCTCAGTCTCAGAGTAAGTATTGTATTGCAGTTTATGGATAGTGATATGTTTGAAATTTTAAGATCCTGTGCAACACTCAGTACCATGTTAGAGTTGAAGTTTTTTCCCTCTACTTACGAGACAACAGGTTTGGAGCTGGAGGTCGAAGTGTATCTGTGCGAGTAAATGAAAGGCACCCGGAAATAAAAGAGGAGGTAGATGAGAAGAGCCCCAACGCTTTCAGCCAGAAACACCTGCCAACAAACAAACAAAGTAGAAGGAATCAAGTGAGGTGTGATGGTAGTCATATATATATTGTTTATTTATGAATTTAAGTAAGATGAGATAAGATACTCTAGCTGATGTGCAAATAAGCAGAACAGAAAATAAAAATCACAGTAAGAGAGCAGTTCATTTCAAATAGGTCATGGTCATAAATGGTACCACACCCAGCATTACAATCATGACATGAAGTCAGTTTTCTGACTAGGACAATCGGATGATCCTCACCAACCCCGACTTGATGACAACATCATAATCCAAGATGGCAGCGCAATGCATCAACAGAAAAGAGTAACATTGAAAGCTCTCGTAATGTATTATTTATTAGCACTTCTGTTTTGTTTTTTGAAATTAAATAAGTGTTATTTGTTGTACTGCCCAACATCTAACTGTGAACACAATGCTATGGCGTTTGTAGAGTAAAATACTGTTATGTGTTGTTTACAACTGGTATAGCTAACAACAGCTAACAACAGCTGACAACCGCTAACAACAACAACTGACAATTGTGAACAACAGCTACGAACGGCTAACAGCAGGCACCCATCTTGGTTTTTTGACTTGTTCATTGGAACGCTGTCAACTTGGGCGTAACATCATTCCCAGCTTCGACATCTGCCTTCCGAGGTAACTGGAACGCATAAGCCATGAGTTCCAGTCTGACTATTTCAGTGTAAGTGTATTCATGATTTTCTCACCATAGTCCAGCCCAACTGTGGACCAAGATCTCTGAAGTAAAAGGTGGCAGAGGTTCCAACTGGTAGATTCTGTAAGATCTCATCATCTCTGAGGGATTTGTCCTCTGGAAAGGAATAAGATGTACTCAGTTCATGAGAAATGGAAATATAGGGCTCTATTTTCGTGCCCGCCGGTGAGGCGGCGGAGGGTGGCGGACCCCGCGCAGCGGTATTTTTGTCTGGCGGAGCCCGGCGTACAGCCAGTTTGGTATTTTCTTGGACTGATGCGCACTGAGGTCTGCCAAGCTGGGCGTGGTGGCGTGGCAGAGGGAGGTGTCAACAGAGTCAGCTGCGGCAGTGACATTTTCATGCTTGCCGGGGGTGTGTAAAGTGCGCTGTAACCTCGTGATTCAAACCTAGTCAGCTTTCAGCGCAGGTGGAGCGCAGCTGGTCTAGTGGTTTTTTGGTAGACCTGCGGCGTACTGGCATACATCACCGATGCCTCACCAGCAGGTTTCCACAGTGTCAGGCACATTTCAGTGCAATAAATAATCATCAACAACTAATAATCTGAGTCAGCACATACATTTAGATCTATATAGATATATTCTAATCTACATCTGATCTGATCAGCATGTTTAGCATGTGTTTGGACACACAACCTGACTGAATCAACACAGCTGAAACCGCATTAAATGAAATTAAATATCTAGTAAATAAACAAACATGATGAAGTTAACAAGATATGTAATTTGTCTCCCTCCTTTTCTTTCTTCCTCTTCCTCTTATTTCTCGCGCAGCTTGACCTGGACACGTCTCTGTGTCCTCTCCCCGTCCTGCTGTAGCTGCTGCTGCGGCAGCTGAACAGATGATTTGTTTTAGTGATCAGATGAGTTATTTACTTTTTTACATATGAATATTATAATATTCAGTTTTGTGAGCCAAATTTATTTTATATGCCAACATCTATGAAAGAAAGAGCACAGCCACGGAGCGCGATGCGTCATTACGCACAGATGGTTTCAATTTTAATGTGATGTGATCTCTGTGCACAACACACCTTTGTCACGTGAGGTTTGAATCTGTGCAACTTTATGTGAGTGTCTTTATTTGTGGAAAAGGGTGTTTGTCTTACCAGTGGGTCCAACATTACACACACCAAATCCATCTGGGCTCATATGAGAGAGTGTGGAGGACGCCCAATGCAGCGCTTACAGTGACACTTGTTGAGGGGCTGCCTTCTGTCGCCATCGTGTGGCATTACTGTCTTCAGACATCTCTTGATCTCTTTGACTACTTCACGAAAATAGTAATACGCCTCGCCGGTGGCGTATTTAAAGGCGAGGAGAGGAGCTTATGTTATTGGTCAATACAGGTCTCAGCTGTGATAAACCCACTCCACGTCCTCTCTCCCCCCTCGCTACAACTTACGCCGCTGGGAGGAGCTGAGTTAGGAAGGGGGGGATACTTACGCCGGGCTGCGCCGCTCACCAAAATACCAAATTGTGCTTGGGAACGCCTTGTCGGCCTGCGCCATGTCTCTGGCGAAGCACGAAAATAGAGCCCATAAGTAGAAGTAATAGGCAGAAGTTACCATCAGAGAGATTTGTTTTAATTAAGATGCATTTGGGTCAAAAGTACCAGGAAATAAATGGTTCTTGTGGCCTATTATTGACTTCTTTTAGATCAGAAGCCCCAGAACCTAGTTAAGACCCTGGTTCCTTCTGCATCTTTAGTTTGAATCTAAGTTGTCACCTGCAGGACTCTGTGGTTTAACTTGCCATTTTCAGTATTTTTGAATGATCAGGTTTTCAGCACACGTCCTCCCCCCTTGCAGCCCTTGGAGACAGAGACACAGTTAATGTGTCGAACTAATTGGATGACATTTTTAGCACGTCCCAAGGGAGAGGTGGCCCACATACTGTAGCTCTCCACCTGGAGTCCCTGTCCTGCTGCTTAGTGAGACAGCTTTCACAGTCCAAAGTCACAGAAATGCCTTGCAACATAAAATCACATACTGTGGTTCCTATTTTGTTGATTTAACCCTTCAGCTTGGATATTGTGTTTCTCTAGGTAAACAAAAAGGGAAACTGTAGCTCTGTAGAGGAGCTTTAGGGTTATTTTTGTACAGTGGCAAAGTAAAATGAATATAACTCAAGGAAGATTAGATTGGATACAACTTTACTATACCAATTACCACAAAATTCAGTGTGTTAGACACATTTTTAATACCTTTTTTATTTAAAAGAAAATAATATAAGCTATGCCCTTTATACCTGTGGGACCAATACATCAATTCACTGAAAGGCAGAGAGGTAGTTTAATGCAATACTGTATATTACGGTATATTAACCGGCAGATTGCGCTCAAAGTTTAAGTAACCACTTAGCTGCAAAAGCATAATGGAAACACTGTGAGGAACACAAATATAATGAGAGTTTTTTGCCCTCATTAGCTTATCATAATTGTGCATTATGTGTGCTGTGAGTCTCGATGTCTTGTACAAGCTACAGCTTACTTACTAGCCCGGTCCATCTATAACTAATAATATCTAAAAACACCACCTGGACTGAGTTCAACATACAGTAGCATCCAGTAAGGACAATGAAATCAGACGGTACTAGAAAGTGCTTCACAGTTGCAAAGAAACAGCACATTGTGGACTTGGTAGAAATAATTTATGCAGGATTATGGTTTGAAATATTACAACTTAAACTCTGGATTTAACAGAAAATGTCAAGGTGGGCTGATGCCACCCCTGGCCATCTTTCAGGAAAGACCCCTGAGATTGTTTTCCGCATACTATCTAAACTTTTTTAAAGTATAATAATAATTTGAGCTTTGAGTTTTGAAGTAATCGCAGTGCTCCATGTCCAGAGACTCGGGTCCTCAAAGCTTGCTAGCTATCTCTTTTTTCGTACTGTATCCACCACCCATAAACAATACATTTAAGGTCATATGGAGCCACATCTCGTGCTGCATCAAATTTTTTTACACTGTGCATATACAAAAGATCATCTAAACATGGCTACTTACTGGGGTCAAGCTTCAGGGCCTGTCTCGATGAATACCACTGAGGATCTGATCACAAAGACACAAAGGGTTGGATGGAGCAGAGTTTAATGTCAGGACCAGTAACAACTGATCACAAAGAAATAATATAAACTCTGCAGCTCTGACAGCATCAGGCCCTGAGAGATGTGCTTATTCATTTAGAGGGGTCAAGATAATAAGATACTAAGATAAAGATAAAATAAACGGGAACCCTCTCTGTTGTAAAACTGCAGTTACACTTACATGATTTATGGAAAAGGCTCTTGATGTCTCCAATAGTCAAGTACGGCTCCACCTGAGGCAAATACAGACAGGCAGCATGTTACCTGGATATTGCTGTAGTGACAGGTTGAACATGTTAAAACTCAGACTGTACAACCAAAAACTAAAAAACTCCAGGGGCTAATCTTCAAGATAATGAAGATTCAAAACCTGGTAGTTTGAATTTAAGAGAAATGTGAAATTCATCTTTGTGAAGTGAAGGAGCTCAAACAAGCACTGAAGAGGACTGTGCAAAATATACCTTTACAGAACTAAAGAAGACAAAACCCAGAAGTAAAAACTCAACACAGCTTCCATGTCACCTTCTCTAAAAAGCAGAGCTGCTCTTTGGTCTTGGCATCCAGGATCTTCACCTGATGAAGAGACAAAAAGAGCAGGTTATCAGTTTTTACACCCATTAATGTGAGTGAATTTCATTCACAAATTAAAGAGGCTCTGTCTCCTCATGCTGTCTCAGCGGTAAAACCACTCTCAGTAAAAGCTGGACGTCTCTCCAGACTTTCTCAGCGAAGGCTGTAAAACTTTTGTTTATTTAGAAGTGGATGGCTGGAAATGTGATCGAAACTTACAGGAATTCAAGCACAGTTATGGAGACTCTGCCTGTTGTAAATCAATACAAACATGACTATCTGACAAAGCTTATACACCCCTGTCCTCTCTGTGACTTACTGTAGGTCTCTAATATCGCATATATCAAAGTACTTTATCCTGGAGGACTCAGCCCTTAGAGACATTGATTCTCCAGCTCAGTTTCCTCTGTCTGGCTGTGTAAATATATCATTATGAATGGATTATAAAACGATCTATATAAATAATTGTGTGTTTTGTTTTTCTGATTGAGTCCAGTAATCTCATAATGAGTCTGGTTCAGCTTCAAAGGAAAGAAGTGGTCATGTTGTTGTCCTGCTGCTCTCCTATCACAACTTCTTCATTTTAATTAGACTGTGTCAGTGGTGATATACGACATATGCATGCAGGACAGCGGGTGGCGGCCCACAATTTGCCCTGAAAGCACTCCGTACTGTGCCACTCAGCAGAGCTGTCCTCGCTAAATTGGTTCCTGTACCGGACAGTGTAATAACCTGCTAATGGATACCTAGAGATCTGCTGAGTGCACAGGCACAGAGAGAGAGACACACACACGCACACACACACACACACACACACACACACACACACACACACACACACACACACACACACACACACACACACACACACACACACACACACACAAAGGGATGGAGCTCCGTGCATGTACCATCTGCTGTTTGCATTTCAAAAACACAATTTTGTAAAGTTATTTGATCTGGAAAATTAAATTACAATTTCTCTGTGTGTCAGCAGCAGGTTAACCTACATGAGATTAATTGAGCAACTGCTTTAGTTTTATTCATAACCCAATTACACAGTGGCTGACAACCAATCTGCAACAGCCCAAACAGTCTAAAAAGAGGCGTACTGCAAAATCGATGCAAATTCAAAAATATCAAAAACACAAAACCAGAAAACTACTTCACATCACTGTGAAAGTGTTCCAGGCCTGTATCACCTGTAAAATCATCCACAGTTCTCTGTTTCCAATCTTTTGTTGACCCTGTCCTAAATTTGTTGAAGACATCAAATTCAAAATGAATACTTGCAGAAAACTAATCAAGTTTATCAGTTGGAACAGTAAATATCTTCTTTGCCATATATACAACTGCATATAGGTGAAGAAGGATTGAAATTATAAGCGATTAGACCTGGAAGTATGTATTTTTTGTGTCTCGTGTGAATATACTTTATTTTATGGGGCTTTATTTTATGTATTTTTATGTCTATAATGTTAATATGAATTTTTTTGTGTGAGGGTCATTCTACAGATAATACATTCTACAGATGATACTCACTCTTTAAGATAAAGGGATGGAAAAAAATCTCATGAGGACCCAGCAGGCAACAAGCAGACCTGAGCAGAGGGGCTGTGTTAGCTTACTTTGCTATATTTCTTTGAGGGTTGGTTATACTGTAGTTCAGCTTGATAACACAAAGAGCGAGTTGTAGCATTTTCCAGTAGTACTTTTTACTGTTGACATTCACAAGGAGCGAAAGGTGAGATTTTTACCTTTAAAGACTGTAAATTTGCCATCTGAGAATTCCAGATATAAAGAGAGAGTATTTCATGCTGTGTCTTTGAGCAGAGTGTTGTCATGCTCCACAGGATGTGATCCCAGAGCATTCTGATGTTTCAGTGAAGTGCATCCTGGGAGATTGGTTTGTTTTGGCTTCCATCTGCTAACCTCCCCTGCTTTTTTCTCATGGCACATGTTGGTGCATCTGTGTGTTCATCGTGAGCATCCAGGGTGTCATCAGGGCTGTGTGTAGTAAAATGGTGTGTGTTTGGATGTGCGATGCCCTTGTAAATCTGATTATCAGGCGCTGTGGTCCTCTCAGAGGAATACAGGGCTCTGCTGACAGCACAGGTCAGCCTGAACATGTGCCGACGTGCCTGAGAGTATTTCCGAGGGCTTTCTGTGTGTGTGAGGGGAATTTCAGCAGTTTAAATGAGTTTTCGACTCTTCAGGTAAAAGTTAAAATATTATTTTTTCTCCCTCAGCATAACTGCTTTTATAATCAGAGTAATGAAGAGGTCTCCCACCTGTAATGAGTCCTCTCAAAGTGAGAGCTGATGAATTTAATTGCTGATCCTGAGCCCCTAAATCATTAGTTCAAACTCTGAGCATGATAATGTTAAAGCTGATTATCTAAATGTGGCTTTTGCTGTCATCATTTTTGCTCTACAGTGACACAACCTTGACTGAGATTATCTTTTAGGGAAATCATCTGGGCACCAATCTGACCCTCTGCATGCTGCTTATTCATGGTTTACTTTTTACCTCCTCTCCATGCACACATTTAAACAATAGAGAAACATTTCCCATTGGTTATAGGTAAAAAGAAAAAAAGTCAACTTTTATTTCTAGTTTTTACTGATTTAGCTTTTAAAGGCATGCTTTATGATTGGTAATTTTTATAAACCTTGTTTATATGGCGGTCATGATCCTATAGTGCGATCTCCACAAAGTGAAGAGAAAAAAGAATGGAAAAATCTGTTCACCCTAGCACAGTGTTGCCAACTCCTCAGTGAGGAAAGTCGCTAGATGACATCATCGCGCAATTTGCATGATTTTTCAGTCAAAACCACCCCGACACCCCCCCGCGGAATCTTCCGCAGGGTATTTGAGTGTCTGTGTTTTTGATGCATGCTGGCTACCCGTTGAGAAGAGTAACATCTATTCCTGCATTTAGTTGCTAGATTGGAAAATAAGTCGCTAGGGGGGTCTGAATTGCTAGGTTGGCAACACTGCCCTAGCAGGTGAAGGGCTGCAAAAACATTGACCAATGGGAACCATCCATCCTGGACATCTCCTATTGGTAAATCTCCTGCTCCGCCTCTCCAGCCAATCACCTTGCTGTATTCGATACACCCCTTTCCTGTAGTTCCAACTCATCCCCTCCCACTCTCCCAGCCCTCCTCGAGCTCTGAGCAGCTAAAAGTTGCGTAGCAGCTTAGTTACAGGAGCTGTGATGGAGAAGGATGCAAAAAAAAAAAAAACTCTTCTGCTTGCCCCACCGCCAAAAGAGGAAAGAAAACGCAAGCCGACAGAAGAAAGGGCAGAGTTGGAGAGGAAAGGTGACCAAGCAAGGAATCCAACTCGAATAAACATCGGGTCATCCTTCGAGCGGTGGAGAAAGCTCTGCCAGGATTTGGGCCTCAAAACAGACACCGAGACAGCAGAGTTTTTGTTGAACAGGTAATTTTAGCCTCTAATCATGGCACATGTTACACATATAACTCTTATAAGTCTCTGAAATGTCAACATGGTAGCTGTCCAGGCAGCTGCTGATGGTGCTCGCTAGCGGAGCTGGTGTTTACTGCCACTAGTCACTCGCAATCTGACATTGTGAATTCTACTTGAAGCTAGTGAAAGATCTTCTGCCGGCCGGTTTCTTGCTCTGCTAGAAGGGATGTGTCATGGGGAGGGCGATACAGGTTTTGGGGGGAGTTATTGTGGAGCATAGAGGGAAGAGGTTTGGGTGTGTTTGGGTGGGAGTTTTTTTTTTGTCAAATCGACCTTAACGGCTCAGTTTTTTTCAACTGCTTCTCCAATCGTCAACCATGCCTTTAAAATAACAGAGAGTATCAGAATTATGTGGAGTAGAATCACCATCACTGGGTGGTTCAGATGTTAAATGGCCATTGAAGGCTTGCCATTTAACACCTGTGTGACGTTCAGTGGTAATGCCACACAGCTTCGCTGAATGATGTTCAGTCACTAGGAGTAAAAATTAAAACTGTCTGCAAAACAGCAAGGACATTTTGAAGCTTGTGAGCTGCACACTGGGAGCAGAACAGAGCTAAGACTTTATTTGCCCTCTGCATGCACAGTTCGATTATATCTGCTTCTATATAATGAGTAAATAAATAATTTTGATAGCCTGAGTGTCCGAAACTTCATGCAATACAGTTGTAGACTTTATCCCAACAGATCTGATTTGTTTTGCATACCTGGCATCTCCACAGGTAGGAGCATTTTGTTGGCTTTTTCAAAAGCCAGGCTTCCCATTTTTTCCATCCATACCGCTAAAGTAAGTTCATATTAAGTGTTAAGATGTCAAACAACCAGTTTTATTCATCTAAACTTTCAACATCAACCTTAAGAAACCTACCCTTTCCTCATTAACCGTCCAAATATCTGCCCTCCTGGCCTGCAGCCTTGTTGTAACAGATATTGAAAGCATGGCTCAGTTCCCAGATCATGCTGTAAATCTTCCTGAGTTCATACGCCTCCTGCACTTACAGAGAATTACTCGTCTGCCTCTTCATTAGAGCTCATCAGGCCTGTGAGACGAGACTGAGGGCAGAGAGGAAATCATGAAAGGGCTCCAGCTCAGTTAGTTTTTTATGATGCTGAAAATCATACTTTATAAACCCCATGGACACTTCAGAGCAATTCTGCAGGATTTGAAAAGTCAGGAAGCTGAAAGTTTGTTTCCTCATGAGGCTGCTGAGATGAAACACTCCCAAATCAGGTGGACATTCAATTAAAAGGCACAAATTTAGTTTTTTACTTCATGCACTTCCTGAACTTCTGCATCAACATGTGGACATTAATTCACTTTCATTATTCAGAGTTTTTATTGCTACTGTAATGGTTGAAGTAGGTAGTTTGAACTTTATGTGAGCTAAATAATGATAGATGCTGGTCTCTAACTCAAGGCCTTGTGAAACAAATGCAAAACTATAAACTCTCAATCAAAAACTATAATACAAACCTTCAAATTTCCCTTTGGGGATCAATAAAGTTCTTGTACTGTATTGTATTCAAATGATTCTAATTCTGCAACTTGATACGTACTGTATATCTAGACTTACCTCAAAGAAGGTGGTCCGGCTCATGGTGGTGGGTAAGTTGTGAGTCTTCTGGGCCAAAAACATTAACCCTAAACATAAGGAAAGTCACAAAACACACAAATACACTCATGCAGGAACGGTTCCTCTCCTTTTAAGGATGATATCCACACTGACCCTTTATTCCTCCCTGCCTCCTCTCTCTCTCTCTCTCTCTCTCTCTCTCTCTCTCTCTCTCTCTCTATTTCGTCAGACACAGTGTGCTGGGACACAGCATCACTTCAGGCTCTCTGCAAACCCTTCGCACTCTTCCTCCTGCGTTTCTGTCCTCCTTCTCTCCCCCACCGTCTCTTTCCTCTCAGGATCTTTGGAGATGAGCTATTGGCTCAGGTAAGCAGAAACCCACCTGAGAGTGAGGCAGCTTTACAGAGTCAGGATGAGGAGAGTATAAAGTCAAAACACAAAGGGATAACATATAAAACTCTTCAAATCCTGTCTGGTATTTCTTTTTTGCAAAAAATAGTTTGAGTGGGTTGACTGGGTCTATCACAAATGGCTTCTCCAGTGAACCACCTCGACCCTGAAATGAGTCCTGTGATGTTGACCTGTATTTCAGTTTATTTCTAATATTACAATGTTGGATGTTCAAACTACACCATGATAAAGTTTCATACCATGAAAAACATGGATGATGCTGTGATCCCCAGGTGTGTTTTTCAGGTCTCTTGAACAGCTTGTTTCGAAACTTGTTCACAATCTGATGTCAGATGGAAACTCAGTTTCACGGCTCGTCTGTTTACTCATTTTTGCACTTCATTGATTTAATATATCTCTGAAAGTTGTGTGTTTGTATGCTCACTTTCATTCGTGCAGCGATAGCCAATCAGCATGGAGATTCATTCCCATGTGATTCCATGTCAACAACAAGCCAGCATAGATTTATTCATCTGGAAATTGGAGGATAAACTGATTGTGATGGTAGGATAAAACATAAAGTCTGGTACAGTAGGAGGTGGAAATTTCTGGTAAGTTGTTTAAACACAACAGATCCTCACAATGTGGTCAACCGCAACTACTGTATGTGTGATGTAAACATCATGTGTCTGGGTACCCCTGCAGACGGGATTGAAAAAGTGAACAGAGCAAGTTATGTCTGTGAATGAAATGAGTAACACTCAAATTACACTCAATAACACTCAAAGTAACTCAGTAACACTCAATACAGTCAAATTTAATAAGTAAATGATTTGCTTCATGCTTGGTGCAAAAATAATAACGTGTCTGAAACTCGAAGGCATTTTATTACAATGACTAAGACTAAAATAGCTGCTGAAATTAACACTAGTCTGTAATGATTAAGTACCACAAACTATAAGTAACATTATAACAGCGGGTGAGTGAATGAGAGCTGGCATATGCTAGTATGGCAAAACAGAGAGCAAAGTTACTGCCAACAGCAAGCCTCTGTCTTTCTTGGTAAAGGCATTACTTTCACTTTTTTTGATGCCTACACGCTTGTGTAAAAAGTAGCACCTATGAGTTGTGTCAAACTTTCTATCAGTGTAAAAGCAGCCGAAAGCAGAAGCTGAATAGTACTGAAATGACGGTTTTCACAGGTGCCAGAATTGGATAAACAAAGGTGCAAATCATGCAAAGCTACTCTGTAGGTGTCACTATAGATTAACTTTACATTGAAGGTTAAAATCAGTCAAATAGATCTCAAGTACGGCTTACTTCATACATTTTCTGATTTTTGAATAAAATGATGAGTTTTGTTGTCTTGTGTCACCGCCACCTTGTCTATCTGGTTCAAAATGGACACAAACCCCCCAAACTTTCCTTCATCCTGACAATCATGTTACAACTTACCTGGTTCAATGTTGGTGTAAATTTTAATTAAACCAGACAAGTAATCACAGAGGCCGGGTATGTGTGCAACAGCAAACACGGCTGTTTTACTCATATTTATACTTGTGAAAGACAATGAGAATGTATAAGGAAATCTTCCCTCACTGATTACCAGACTGGGTGTCACGATGGCTCTCTTGTGCTTTTTTGAAGAAAAAGGTGGATCTGGAGGGAACAAAGAAGTTTGCCAACATTAAAGAATGAAAGCTAAACAGTCTGTGCTTGTGGCTAATTCATTAGCTTGCTAATAAACTACTTTCCCCCATGTTTCCCCTAGACAGGCTCTATTTGTGGTGTTAGTAGAGAACAGCTGTTCATTTGTCAGACTTTGGAGGCTTACAAAGTTTGTGTAGCTCAAAGGACTCGCTCACATTTTTCTTTACGCTTATCAGACAGATTTTTGAAGGTCACAGGATTCTGTTTTTGGAGAACACATTTATTATTTTCTTTTTTCTAATGTCTTTATTAAATTTGAGTGTGTGGAGAGAAGCCTGCTCTTGTTTTTGCAACTCGGGTTTGATCATACGATGCTTTCTCCTTCCAGCAATCTGCTCCTGTGCTATATGTCTGTGCTTAAGTGCAGACATATTACTTTGAAAGCATGCATTCATGGATGAACTGTTTCCAGCAGGCTCAAGAGTACACACTAAAGCAACGTGGTTTCTATACTGAGGCTTATTTTACTTTCACCATTATGCAGTGTGTACTCTTAACTATTTTTTGAAAGTATTGTTTTGATGGAAAAAAAAACAGCCTGATGCTCTTTTGAAGGTTACACTTCTGGACACAGTTCTCTCCTCCAGATATCCAGTTATCTGCAAAACGAGTAATGTGTGTCTGTGGACACCCAGAGAAGCACCTGTTCACCTGTTTCTGGTGAGTCTCAGTTACAGTGTTAATAGTTAGTTACACAGAGGTTTCACTTTAGCCATTTGAACCTAAAAACAAAGCTTGTGATTAATAGGTTTTACAGGGATATTCCGGCATAAATTCAAGCCATGGTCAAACACACCGTAACACCAAGTTAGACACCCCCTCGAGAGATGAATGTTGCTGACTGTTTGCTTCTGTAGTTGTACCAACTTTAGTAAAGACCACACAATAGCAATACACAGCGGTCTACGACTCCTTGCGCAAACCTCTTCATCAACAGTACATATAGGGTCCCAGCCATAGTACTAGCCACAAAACATCTTTTTAACTTTGCCTGATTTCTTTAGCAAAGAGACTAAACACAACTCACCTACTCTCCTCCAGCAGCCGCTTGTTTGTGGGGAGGCTTTGATGAGTTGATCACTGAGTGCAGCGGAGTTTCACAGCTCAAGGAAGAACATTTATGATTATTACTTCATGGAAATGCATTCAGACTCTTTTTGCTAAAGAAACCAGGCAAAACTAAAAAGATGTTTGGTGGCTAGTACCTGGGGAATTTATACCGCCTATCTCTTCTTCTATTCACATGAGACTGGTATGTCTAGATAAACATCTCATGCGACCTTTCAAAGTATAATGTACCACTCAGCTGATGGTATTGCCTGCATTTGAAGGTCATATAGAGGCTTCTCTTTCAGCTTTAGTCTGTTTCTCAACAAGTTCAAAACTCTCAGTGCCTTTAACAGAATAATATTAAATGCATTTAGACCTGAGGTGTGAAAACAAAGCAGATCTGAACTATGACTGAAGCTCTTTGCTCTTATAGTTGAGGTACAGTGTTGCTGAAAAATGACTTTATGTTGCATTTTTTGTTTTTCTCTCCTGTGTATTGAGTTTATTCTCTTGGCCTATTTTGACCTCTTGTCTTACAGACATGCTTGCTCAGCTGTGTTTTCTTCCACTTGTCCTCCTTAAGTTTAGTGTGCAGTCACTCTGCTGCCTGAGGGGATTCAATTTGTGGAGAACAGGGAGATGCAGACCCTGAAGGCCTCGGGCGAATGTAAACAAGCAGAGCTCAGAGAAGAATGAGACTAAGAGACATGAGAGGGGACATGTTTCAACCAATGTAAACACTTCAGTATGTGTAGATTCGGTCAAGGTATAGACAAGAGCCCCCTGGATACTTCCATGCTGACATATCTGTGAAATGAATGTATAAATATTTCATCCCTTTAGGGATGAATGGAGTAAGATTGCAATCTTACCCAAAAACAGAGATCTAAAATGCAGCACTTAAAAAAAAAAGGCTGTCAGCAAAAATACTGGATTTCAAACTTCTCTCTTAAATAATTCTGCAGAGTCTGTGAAACAGTCAGACTTTGTGTGTTAAGTCCTGTTTATTCAAAATAAAGTATAAATAGGAAATAATTACTCCTCTTAGCACTGTTTCAACTGGTTTAAAATGATCATTTTTAATAAGCCACCTGGAATACTTTAACTCAGCTGTTTGATTTCTGAAGTCTTTAGTCTTTTCAGTCAGTCTTGATGACATCAAAGATTGAAGGGAAAGTGTCATTTCTATTCATGGTTAAAATGTGTATGTGGTTAAAAAGTGTTTTAGTCAGCCCAAGTTGGTATCCTAGATTTTTTTCTCAACCACATCATCATTATCTTTCTATCAGAGGACAGGAAGAAACCAGAAAATGATCACTGTGAACTTTTGTGAACCCAGCAGACCAGGTTATGGAGTCTTAAAGTCCAATGTTGTCCCATTCTTGCTTGATAGAAGATTTCAGCTGCTCAACAGTCCAAGGTCTCCAGTTTTACAGAAAGTTTTAGCTCACACAGTCTCTCACAGAGTGGTGAACTTTTATTGTTTTTACTTCTGAGAGACTCAGCCATTCTGAATGCCCCTTTTTTAATATCTAGTCATGTCAGTTTAGTAGATAACTTTTAGAGAAATATTATGTGAGACAACAAACAATTTAATTTCTCTTTGGGATTAATAAAGTTCTTATTATTCTTATTCTTACTAAACTGTTGTAAATGAACCTCATTTGGCAGGAGATGCTCCTCCAGCTGTTTGTTCTTGATTTGAATTTTTTGTGCCATTTCTGAACTTTTACTTAGGGTTTTGTTTTTCCTGCTTTAACTTTTTTGAAACATTTTGCTGACATCAAATTTAAGATAAGCATATATTTTAATAAAACAACAATATTTTCATTTTCAACATCTGATGAGTAGGCTAAGCTTTCAACCATTTTTAGTCAGATGGTTGAAATGATTTGCAGACCATTAAAATAATAATAATAATATACATTTTGGCCTGGTATTCTATACTTGATTTTTAATATACAGTATTTTTTTTTACTAAAGCTGCTATGGGTAAATTG